TGTGGAAGTGGACAGTGTCTGGAGGGTGCGATATTTCAGCTGCTTTCAGAGAATAATTAACTTATTCCTATATTCCCTCCCCCACTTTTTTTCGGAGCTTCACTTTGGCTGTGAAAAAAATATTCCGACACAGCACCTCAGATAGCAGAAGTGTTATTTTACTGACCGTGCAACAAAAGTTGCAGGACTGTACTCAAAGCCAAAATAGCAAGAGTACTGCCATTTCCTCTATCGCTTTCACTATTACAACTTTAATTTCTTTTTGTCCTCCTCCACCCCCCACTCCCCCGCACCCTCCCCCGCGCGCACGCACACACACACACACACACACCACCTTTACATCTGGGATCAAAGCCTAAGAAACCTGCACAATGCTGTGTGTGAGCTTTCGGGTGCATAATATGGTGAGCAAATGAAAAGCAAATTCTGTTATCTTGCCATTGGTGCCAGCGAGTCTTGTAGCATTGAATTCAATCTTTCGGTGTCGATTTTGAAGAGTTCTCCTTAATAATAATAATAATCCTCGCGTTTGATATAAGCGCTTTTCACGTCGGGAGGACGTCCCAAAGCGCTTCACAGAACACACTGTAAAGTGAATTGACTGTATATTTGTGGGCGAACGCGGCAGCCAATTGCGCACAGCAATGTCCCACAAACAGTCGTAGATTGAAAATGACCAATTTATTATTGTTTTTGGTTTTGAGGGATTATTATTAGGCTCTGTGTGGAGTAAGGAAACTTGCCCAAGGTTTCGCCCTCTGCCTGGGATTGAACTCTGGTCTCTCGCTTGCAAAGCGAGTGCTCTAACCACTGAGCTGCAGGACTCCTTGTTTCTATTCCACAGACGTATGTATGTGTAATACTGAAACCTATTCGCCACGCAGACTTGAGCAGTACCTGCTGGCTCCTCTCGAGTGGAATTAAAGCTTGCGAGTTTGTTTGTTACTAGACGAGAATATCCATCTTCTTCTTGTTGCTGCAGGTGTCACACTGGGGTAGAAATATTTTTATTTGTGAGGGTGACAACAATAGTTTCAAGGCATTAAGAAAAAGAGCCAAATGTTTGCGAATGTCGAGACCAGGAAGAATATTGAAATTCGAGCGTCGCTTATGTCATAACTTTAATAGTCGAGAGTTACACCCAAGATTAGGTGATTACTGGCTGAACGAGCGTGAGTTTCAAAGAGGAACGAAAGCGTTACTTTCAAGAGCAGTGGATAGAAGAAGTGTACGGGATTGTTTGAGGACTGCAAAAAAAAGAAAACGTTTGAAGTGGCCAGTATATTCGTTTTCGGTTTACGTCACGTGTCCGTTCTTCGCCCCAAATTTGTTCTCAATCTTTTTTTGTGGTTTTTTTTAAAAAACGTTCCTTCTCCTAATCATTCTGTTCTGGGTAGCAGTTTCTGCATTGTTTCCGTACCCTTCCATCTTTCCATCCATTTTTGTCTTTAAAATAAAGTGACTGCACTTTGCAGTAAAAAATCCTGTCAAGCTATCTCTTCGAGATGTTTCGACGAAGTGATAAGATGCTATATCGAATGCAAGTATCAATATTTTACTGTGGAAACATCCAGTTTTAAGAATTGTTTAATGAACCCTTCAATAGTATCTCAAGAATTGTAAGAGCGTAGTACACCAGTCTCAAAAAGTTAGTTTGCAGGTGCAGCAGCAACTGAGAAGGCGAATGGCATGTTAGTGTTCATTGCAAAAGGTTTAGAGTATAAGAGTAGGGAAGTCTTGCTGCAACTGTATAGGGCTTTGGTGAGACCTCACCGAGAGTATTGTGTGCAGTTTTGGTCCTTATTTAAAAAAGGACAGACTTGCCCTGGAGGGGCTGCAGCGTAGATTCACTCGGTTAGTTCCTGGGATGAGGGGACTGACCTATGAGGAGAGGCTGAATAAACTGGGGCTGTATTCTCTGGAGTACAGAAGAATTAGGGGAGATCTTATTGAAACTTATAATATTCTTAAAGGGCTGATAAAGTAGACTCTGTTTCCCCGGTAGGAGAATCTATAACCAGGGGTCACAGTCTGAAAATTAAGGGTCAGCCTTTTAGAACAGAGTTGAGGAAACATTCCTTCACTCAGAGGGTAGTGAACTTATGGAACTCACTCCCCCAGAAGGCTGTAGATGCTCAGTCCTTGAACATCTTCAAGGCTGAGACTGATAGATTTTTAAAAAACAGAGGGATTAGGGGATATGGGGATAGGGCAGGTAATTAGAGTTAGGTCAGAAGATAACCCCCCGGGGCAGAGGCTCGAGGGGCCGAATGGCCTACCCCTGCTACTAATTCTCATGTTCTTATCGCTCAAACCCTTCATTTTGATTACACTCGACCATTATCTTGAATATTTTACATGTTGCCGTCTTTCCTCACCTTCAAAGCTCTCCACGGTCTTGCCCCCCTCTGCTCCTTAAAACTCCTAACCCCATAATCAGCCGGTCCGCTCCCTCTGCAAGTCTCGTCTAAAGACCTTGCTCTTCATCCGTGCCATCAGCCACCCTCCCAGGCCCACCCGAACTGCTCTCCACCCTTCTGACCCCAACTCCCAGCTCACATCCAAATGCCCCTGGTTGTCCAGTGCCCTGGGATGTCTTTCTAACGTGAAGGGTGCTATGCAAGTATAATTTGTTGCTGCTGTTCCTTCCCATAGAACTAATACATTGTACTCTTTATACACAAGATTGGCTTGTTTGTGTAATTAATGTTGGTAAACAAAATCCTCAAGCACTAAAACTTCAATTTACAAGACTGAGGAATGTTTCCTTGGCTATATATTTTATTGTTTAGGGATGTGTGTGTATGTGCAGTTTCCCCCATTAATTACAGTGCATTAGCCAATAATATGGTACCAGCTTTTGGTGGTGTTTCTCCCCCTCCCCTCGAATCCTCAAGTCTGGAGACCTTAATATGGTTGTCCATAATATAATAATCCTTGCATTTCTTATAGTGCCTTATCACGTCTTCGAGGCAGAAGCGTGGGGAGTAAGAAAACTTGCCCAATGTTTCGCCCTGCCAGGAATCGAACCCGGGGGCTCTCGCTTGCGAGGCGAGTATTCTAACCACTGAGCTACAGGATGCCAGTATAACAGTGCTAATACCCAGTTGCTATACGTAAGAGTCAGTCAATTTCTTTATACTTCTTGACGTAGGGTACATTAAAGTGCCTCTTCCAGCACACATTAAGTCTGTGCCTTACAAAAAGGTAATTTATCTCAGGTGTTTTAACCAACGTGTGCTGCATTGTCAATGCTGCCATTGCATTGCGCAGTGCTTTGCACCATAAAAAGCTTTAAATAGAAGCTTTAAAAAGTAAGCAGCAAACTATATTTGGAGAGTCTGCTTGTCTTTGGAAGGAAATGGGTAAACCTTGACTTTAATAAATATAAATAATCATTGCATTAGCGCCTTTCAGGTCAGGAGGCCATCCCAAAGCACTTCGCAGAATTTACTGTGAAGTGAGTGGCTGTTTATTTGTATATTGACGAATAGTGCAGCAAATTGCTCACAGGAATGCCCCATAAATAATCCGGACCAATTTTATTTTTGTTTAGAGGAGAAAGGAATGCTTTTTGACTTTAGCAAAATACTCTTAATGTGCTTCACGCTGGCACACAGGATGTTATTTCAGTCCAAATAGTGACCGTAGTTTTCTCTCTTGAGCTCTCATTCTGTAATGAATACCCGAATGATGGTAGTAAGGTATGTAAGTTACATACTTTAACATTCATAACTGTGTGTGCCGCTTCTTGTTCATCTTTGTAGATGCCGAAAGTCTACGGGAGGGTAAAAAAAATTTCAATTAATTTTTTAGACTCATTATCAATTACGTCTTACTTAGGCTGACTGGCTGTTTTCTTAGCAAACTAATAGCAAACTACTTTATTGCTTGAGAGCTTGCCTATCAATTAGCTGCCCTGTTTCGCCCACAAAATACAGTTAGTTCACTTCAGAGTGTATATTCTGTGAAGTGCTCTGAGACGTCTCGGAGATGTGATGAGGTGCAATATCAAATGCAAGGATTATTATTATCATTGTAAGAAACTAGGTCAATGTTCACTCCTGTGTTGACAGAAGCCTAATGCTGCCTAAATACTTTGACTTTAGTGTCCCTGGTGTTTTTTTTATTCTTTCAACTTCCCTTCTACCCTCCTGCCCTTGTGTTGATTACGGTGTAGTCTTGTTCCAGTTCTTAGATGGTAACAATGCCTCTTTACACCGAGACAGCAAAAACTGAAGGTTATTAGGGATGGAGAGAAGGTGAATTGGTGAAATGTTCCAGCCCATACTGATCAGTGGTTGTAATCATCTGATTGATATATGGCTGGCAACCTCAACCTTGTGCCCTTTGTCCAAAGGTGCTTGTAATTTAGTTTAAATTGTCATCCATAAGACTTGTGTGCGCATAAGATAGGTTGACGGACAAAGAATTGGCTCAGCCGTGTATCAAGGAGTGTTTCTGAGGTTGGCACAGGCATTGGCGTGAGATTTACTTTGTGATCTCGGACACAGTCTGGCATCAAAGTTGTTAATACTGGCACTGGGTGAAACATATAAAAATGCCATCCGCTCTCGTACATTTCCAGCTCTTCAGTAAATCGCCAAAATTGCACATGAGGCTTTGTCAGTGCATCACAACTATGATTCTTTGAGCTCCTTGAAACATGTCTCGATGTGGTGAATTTTCACGTGCGCCACAAATTTTAATCCTAAACCAGGGCCAACGTTTCCAGAAGTTGGAGGCAAAAACTGTACTTTACACCAGCTTTTTAAAAAAAATCTATTCCATTTTGAAATGTGCTGCATTACAAATGAAAATCAATATTGCAATTTATTTAATGAGTAGCACTTGAATTTTAGCATTGGCAGATAAAAAGAATTGCGGTACTATCTGACATTTCATCAGGACGTGTGACATTCCATCCAGTATTAGATGGTGACTATTATATAATGGTGTAAGCTCCAGGATATGTGTAGTCAGCTAATGACTCCTAATCTATTGCAGGCATCTGCTGGCTAGCTAAAATTAAAGGAACCATGGCTCAGTTTCCAACAGCTTTTGGGGGTAAGTACTTTGTGCAACATCATAAATTATATGGAGTTGCTCATAACTTTTTTCTCTCTCTCTCTCTCCTTCTTTCACTTTGTCCCTCCTCTCTCTCTCTCTCTATACTGTATCGCATTATCTTTTTGCTCTCGCGTACTTTCTCACACATTCTGAGAATGTGTTGTTTTTTTCGGCACACAGTCCGATTTCTCATTTGATCTTTTTGCGTTCGGGGGAAAAAAAACACAATTTCAGCGCTAAGAAAATAGCTGAGTGTGTATTTTGTATTTTTATTTTTGGATTAGTCAGATCGACCACAATGGCCTTCGACTTCCTGTTATTCCTGGTTCATTTCAATATAAAAAGTTATTTTCATATATATATATATAAAGGGGTGAGATTGTGTTGATTTGTATTCACGACGGTTTGTGCTCACCGCAGACAATTTATTGAATATTATTATCCACAGCTTAATTGCAGCCAATTGATAAGCTATTTGAGGACATACTTAAAATGTGCTCATTTATGTTAACATAGGCGGTCAAGCTTTCAGCCTCTTCACACCCACTCTTTGAAACTCCATCGCACAATTCCTTCGCCTCGCTCCCTCTCTTGCCTCCTTCAAGGCACAACTGTTTTTCGACCATGCCTTCAACCGCCCTCATACTTCATACCCCCTCTGCCCTCCCTCATCCTGATCCACCACCCCAATGCTCGGGTCCTGACTGTTTGGAGCCTTGGGACATTCTCCCAACATGAAAGGTACTTTACAGATGTAATTTTGTGGTTGTTGTTGACGAAGCCATCCGTGACGCTATCCCGAGTGAAGGGCGCTATACAAATGCAAATGGTTGTTGTTGATGTAAATGAACTTGTGGTTGTTTTTGTTTAATGCAGGCGGCATGGATATCTGTGCCATTACGGTGGAAGAAAGAGCAAAACATGACCAGCAATTTCTTAGCATTAAGCCGGCTGGAGGGCTGATTACTGGTGAGAAGAAAAATAAAACTTGTGGAGTTCGATGATCTCTTCCCTCCCCCCCTCTCTTTTTCTCTCTCTATTTTCTGTTGATAATTTCATAGTGAGAAATGTATCTGACTTACCAGTACCTGGTGATGATCTAGAGTTTCTCTGCTGTTCCTCTCCATTTATCTTCAAGAAATTTGCAGTGAGGAACATGGAATTCATTAACTAGCTTGTACTTAGCCCGTCTTTTGGATGAGATGTTAAACCGAGGTCACGTCTACCTGCTCAGGTGGATGTTAAAGATCCCACTGCGCTATTCGAAAAGAGGAGGAGTTGAGACCAACAGTCCCAAATAAATCCCAAATACGGCTGTTTGGGACGCTGCTGTGCGCAACTGGCTATCACGTTTCGTCCACAAAATACGCAGTCAATTCACTTTACAGTATATCTGTCAAGCGCTTTGAGGGGTCTCAGCGAGGTGATAAGGTGCTATTTCAGGTGTTATTGTGATGAAACCTCAGTGCTGAAGCTTGAGTTGATTTTACGAGTGTGGGAAACTCCTCTGCTTTCTACCCGACTCCACCACCCAGTCTGAAAAAAGAAATCCCTTTTTTTTCCTTCTGCACTTCACCCGAATAAAGTGTCAATTTTTCAACTGTGTTAAATGGATTTTTCACAAACACTGGTCACTCTGGATGCATTTATTTTAGCTCCAAAATCTTTAAATGAAGCAGCTATAACTGGAGCACATGAAACTCAAAAAAAGTTGAATTTCTTCAGTACAAATGGGCCAGGCAGACAGGATACATCCCAGGATCTTTAGGAGATGGGAGAGGAAATAAGTAATGTTCTGCGTAATACTTTTAGAAGCTTTGTAAACACTGGAGTGACCTCGGGTAACAAATCTTCTCTCTTTATTCAAAAGTGTAAGATGTGTGCCTGAACATTTTTGCTTAATACTGTGCACAGTTGGAACAAAATGTAGGATGTTATCAATGCTCGTGCAAAGAGCAAGCGGGCAGAATACAACTTGTTATATACCTACCATAGCGTCCTCCCGACGTGAAAGGCGCTCTATAAATGGAATCTTGTTGTTGTTGTTGTTACCACCAAAAACCTAAAAGAGGAGGTCAACAGTTATTGACTGCTGCAGGATGTCCCTTTTCCCACCCGACCCCAAACCCCAGTGATTGGGCTCAGTCAGGTCAGAAAATGGATTGCAATTATCTTTGTTTTTAAACAGACGTGGAAAAGACAGCAATTATTTCGCCCACAAAATCCACAGTCAATTCACTTTACAGGATATTCTGTGAAGCGCTTTGAAGCGTTTTGAAGACGTGATGAGGTGCTATATCAAATGTAAGGATTATTATTACTGTGCAGTATTACAATGCTTTACACCAATATCTCATAAAGCAGCACTGAAACCAGGACTTTGGAGCATACATTGTTTTATTCATGTGGTACTTAACGCGTCATAATCTTCACCTTGAAACCTATATACAACAACAAGATTACATTTGTATAGCGCCTTTCACGTCGGAATTTAGATTTAGCAGCAATAGGTCATGCCTCGCAGACTTGATCAAGGGGGTTTGGGTTAAGTGGCAGTGGACTGAATTTGTTGTTTTCCTTTTTCATTGATGAATTGGGTATAACAACAACAAATTACACTTGTACAGAGCCCTTCACATCGGAAAGACGCCCAGGGCACTGGACAATCGGGTTTTGGGACCTGAGCTGGGAGTTGAGATCAGGAGGGGTGGAAGGCAATGGGGGTTGGGGTGGGAGGGTGGCCGAAGGCACGTTTGAAGAGTGAGGTCTTTAGGTGGGACTTGAAGGAGGCAAGAGAGGGGAGGCGGAGGGATTGCGGGATACAGTTCCAGAGTGGGGGCAGAGAGATGCTGAATGCCGACCGCCAATGGTGGGGCGGAAAGTGCGGGGAACCTGAAGCAGGCCGGTGTCCGCCGAGTGGAGGGAGTGGATGGGCTGATGTGGGGTTAGGAGGTCAGAGAGGTAAGAGGGAGCAAATAGAAAATGTGTGTATGGGACATTTTTAATAATACTACAGTTCTTGATTTGATAAATAACTATGGTATAGTTGGAACACTCAAGTGTGCCTGGTTACATTGCACTCGCTGTAGATGTGGGTGCTTTATCAGATCTACTTTTTTTTTAAATCCAGGTGACATGGCCCGAAATTTCTTTCTTCAGTCTGGATTACCTCCACCGATTCTTGCACAGATATGGTAAGTTTAAAATTTGTCAATTGGGATGACTTGGCATCCAACCCTGTCTTTGTCAAGCAGTCCGAGGCATTATCCTTTGCAAAGGCAACTGGGTGTGTTCACCCGGCTCAGTTGTAGCATTTTCATCTCTCGAGACGTCAGTTTGTGGGTTCAAACTCCTTGTAGGGACTTTGAACACTCACAACAACAAATTACATTTGTACAGAGGCTTTCACATCAGGAGGACGTCCCAAGGCTGGACAGTCAGGGATCTGCATCCGAGCTGGTGGAGGGCGGGAAGGGAGGAGTAGGAGGGTGACCAAAGGCATGGTCCTTTGGCTGGAATGTTAACTCGAGGTCCAGTTCAGCTGGACGTTTAAAGATCCCACGACATGTTCAAAAAGAGAAGGAAGTTTCTCCCATTGTTCTGTTCAACAAACCCTCAGGTATAATTAATTATTGATTTTGTGGCTGTTTGTAAATTGTTTTATTGCTGAGTGTAAATTGCTTGCCATGTTCGCCTACAAGATACACGGTCACCCCACTTACATTCTGTGAAATACTTTAAGAACTCATCCCGCCATGCTATATCAAAAACAAGGATTTTTTGTTTTCACTGTTACTTGCGTTAATTATTCGGTAGATAATTGGCTGGATCTGATTGAGTTTCAGTTTTGTTCTGTCTAAAAGAAACTTGCATATTGCGGAGAATACATTTTCTCTTGAGAAATCTAATGTCTGCATCACAGGCTGAACTGAATGAAATATAAATGAATTGATTTTTCTCCTCATCGGACACCCTCCTAACCCCGTTACCCCCTGCCCATCCACCTCTGCTGATCCTAACCTCCAGCTTGGGTGCAAACCCTTGACTATCCATCACCTTGGGACGTCCTTCCAACGTGAAAGGCGCTACACAAATGTAATTTATTGTTGTTGATGATAAGATGAATGGGTGAGATCAAATGAGCTGCAGGCAGGGCCATCTTCATCAGAACTTGTCTTGTACTTTGTGGAGTTGCAATTTAAATTGACAATAAATATCTATTTTGTGTATTTTTCTTCCAAATAAGGGCCATGGCTGATCTGAACAATGATGGGAAGATGGACCAGCTGGAATTCTCTATAGCTATGAAACTAATCAAACTGAAACTGCAGGGTCACCAGCTTCCCTCTGCACTGCCTCCCATCATGGTACAAGCACCAGCAGCACTGCCTCCAGCAGGATTTGGTTAGTGTCCGATGTTTTTATTTAACAAACCATATCTCTTACACCAGCCGTTCATAATGTGGAGTCCTTTAGCATGTTGGTTAGAGAACTCGCGTCGCAAGCGAGAGAACCTGGCTTCGATTCCCAGGCAGGGCGAAACTTTATGCAAGTTTCCTTACTCCACACACCACTGCATACCTAGCAGTAAGCACAAACCCTGTTGTTGGTTGATTGGCGGATCGCTTTTCTGGTGGCAATAATCTCTTAAAAATAAAGATAATAATTTGGTCACTCGATTCACAGTTGTCTGTGTAATCAGCGATAAGATAGCCTGATCCAAAGTGGGATCATATGTACAGTTTCATTTTGAGTTCAGGATTCTCAAGGCACTACAGGTGTATGGGACAGATATATAAAGCTAGTCCATTCTTACCTGCGGTTTTTAATTTGCTCAAGGTATTGGAAGTGTTGCGACAATGGGAGGTGTACCACCTGTGCCAATGGGGCCAATGCCAGTCGTGGGAATGTCGCCACCATTGGTGTCTTCTGTACCTACAGCTGGAGTGCCCTCACTACCCAATGGAACACCTGCTATGATACAGCCACTACCAGCCTTTGCTCATCCAGGTAAGTTTATTCCATTACACTGGAAATATTCACTGTGGTAGAGAATAAATAATATGGACGTTAAAATGACGAGATGATTATTTGCACTAATTTGGATTGACCCCCCCCCCCACGCCCCCATTACAGATCAGTAGACAGTCGGAATCATTAGACATAAATGCAAAATACTAATTGAAGATTAGTACAGAAAAGTTTTAAAAAATCATAATAATTTGGTCACTCAATCCACCACTGTTTGTGGGACGCAGCTGTGCGCAATTGGCTGCCGCGTTTCGCTCGGAAAATATCAAATGCACGATTATTGTTATTATTAGTTCCTTCAGGAAGTTTCCTGCACTGTGCTCGCCCTTCTCTCTCCTTCCTTTATTCTTTAACGTTTATTTTTCTCTCTCGTACGATGTCTTTTTTTGTCTTCCAGTCTTTCTCTTTCTATGACTTTGTCTATGTCTGTGTTTACCTCCTTCTCTAAACTCCCCCAACCCCTCCCCCAACCCCACCACTGCAGAAGAGTAACTACCCATGTAAAAACACTGCTTGAAAAAAAATTAATTGTGCGCAAAATTGCATGCATTAGCATGAGATTACTAGTCTTTGGGGCGTCCTCCTGACATGAAAGGCCCTATACTATTGTAGACAGAGTCCTATAGCTCAGTGGTTAGAGCACTTGCCTCGCAAGCGAGAGCCCTGGGTTTGATTCCCGGCAGGGCGAAACGCTGGGCAAGTTTCCTTACCCCACACTCCTGATAGTAATCCTTCAAGAAAAATAATAATAAATTGGTCACTTCAATCCATGAAAAATTCAAATCCCTTCATACCCTAACACCTCCCTACCTGTCCGATCTGCTTCCCCATCTACGCCACCGGCCGCTGCCTCCGCTGGCTGGCTTCAGCCTCCTGTTTGTCCTTCGGGAAGGGCGCTATATAAATGCAAGTTGTTGTTATTAGAGCTAATAATATCCTTTGTTGATTTGAAACAGACAAATTGGATTATATTAAAGCAGCAAAATAACTTTGCTCTCCATAATTTTTGTACACAATTGAAGTTTAGATAATGTTTAAATAAGTGGCTGCTTAACTTTTAGTTTCACTCTTCGCAGTGAAAAGAAATAAACTGAGTAACTTGAAAAGTTATGTTTTTTCCTTAAAACAGGAGCCACTTTGCCAAAGAGTTCTTCCTTTAGTCGCTCTGCATCAGCCACTCAAGCAAATGCAACAAAAATGCAAAAGGCACAGTCATTTGACATGGGAAATGCAAAGTGAGTGATTGATGTAATTGATTTTGCCTCATTTACACTGGCACAGATTGCTTCAGGTACAAAACCACTAAAGAGTGACTTTTATTGAGTGGAGTCCTTAGCTCAGTGATTAGAGCACTCGCTTTGCAATCACGAGACCTGGGTTCGATTCCCAGCAACTTCTATTAAAATCCAAGGACCACGTTGACTCTGGTTGGGTGGTATGACATATTAAGTGAGTGGTATGACTAATTAAGGACTTGAACGCATGGCTAAAAGAGTGCTGCGGAACTAAGGGGTTTCTTTTTATGGGCCATTGGCACGAGTATTGGGGGGAAAAGAGAGCTCTTTCAGAGAAATGGGCTGCATTTAAATCTGGCTGGGACAAATGTCCTAGCTAAACGAATTAATAGGGAGGTAAATAGGAATTTAAACTATTAAAGGGGGTGGGGGGGATAGATAGGTAAGAGAAACCATAAGTTAGCATTAGAAAAAATAAAGATGACAGTGCAGAATAGCAAGCCAGATAATAGGAATATGTTAACTAGGGGTAAGAAGCTTGGTAAAGCAGGTCAGGAATCAGAGAGTAGAGGAAATGGTAGGAAATTAAAAATGTTATATCTGAATGCGCGAAGCATTCGGAATAAAACTAATGAATTAAAAGCACAGGTAGACACATATGGGTACGATCTGGTAGCCATCACTGCAACATGGTTACAAGGAGATCTAAGGTGGGAGTTAAATATTCCAGGGTTCTCAGTTTACAGGAAAGATAGGCACTGTGGGAAATGAGGTGGTGGGGGAGCCCTGTTAATTTAGCGATGAAATGAAAGCAGTGGAGAGGAAGGATCTGAAATCCGATGACCAGGAGGTAGAGACGATATGGGTGGAAATAAAAAAAATAATAAGGGGCAGAAAATATTAATGGGAGTGGTTTATAGACCCCCAAACAGTGATCACAATATAGCACAAGGTATTAATCAGGAAATTGGTGGAACATGTAGGAAAGGTAAAGCGATAATAGTGGGTGATTTCAATCTCCACATAGATTGGGAAAACCAAATCGGCAAAAGTAGGTTAAAATAAGAGTTCATTGAGTGTATGAGAGATAACTCTCTAGAGCAGCAATGTGGAACCAACTAGGGGACAGGCCATCCTAGACCTCGTTTTGTGTAACAAAATGGCTAGTCGGCAGCGTAGGTATTAAGACTCCTCCAGGGCAGAGTGATGACAATATGATTGAATTCTGCATTAAGTTAGAGAGGGATAGAGTTAAATCCGAGGCAAGTATTCAGAATTGAAATAGGGCTAATTTTGTAGGTATGAGGAAAGATTTAGGTAAAATAGACTGGAGAATAAGATTAAGAGGTAAAAATGTAGACCAACTGTGGCAAATATTTAAGGATGTAGTGCATAATTCTCAGCGGTCGCATATTCCCTTGTGGAATAAGAGTGCCAGAGGGAAAGCAATTCATCCGTGGCTAACTAGAACAGTTAGGAAAAGCATCAAATTAAAGGAAAAAGCGTATAAAACTGCCACGAAAAGCAGCAAATCTGAAGATTGGGAAAGTTTTAGAAACCAGCAAAAAAAAACAAAGGAATCTCATTAAGAGCGAGAAAAAGGAGTATGAGGGTAAGCTAGTCATTAAGTCAGATTGTAAAAGTTTTTACAAATACATCAAGAGGAATAGCCTAATGAGGGTAAATGTAGGTCCACTTCAGTCAGAGACGAGAGAAGTTGTAATGGGGGATAAAGACATGGCATCTGTCTTCACCCTAGAAGACACACAAGTCTGCCAACAATAGGGATGCACCAAGGGGATAAGGACAGGGAGCAACTTAGGGAAATTTTCATTAGTAGAGAATTGGTGCTCGGGAAACTGTTAGCACTAAAAAGTGACAAATCCCCTGGTCCGGATGGCTTGCATCCCAGGGTTTTAAAAGAGGTAGCTTATGAGATAGTGGAGGCCTTGTGCCTGATCTTCCAAAATTCCTCAGATTCTGGAACAGTCCCCATGGATTGGAAGATCGCAAATGTCACACCACTATTTAAAAAAGGTGAAAAGGAAAAGATGGGAAACTATAGGCCAGTTAGTCTAACATCAGTGACAGGAAACATTTTAGAATCGTTGATTAAGGATGTGGTAGTGCGGTATTTAGGGGAGTTCAATATAATTAGGCCAAGTCAACATGGTTTTACAAAAGGGAAGTTATATTTGACTAATCTCATAGAATTTTTTGAGGATATTTTGAGTAAACTAGATAAGGGTGTATCAGTGGATGTAGTCTATTTGGACTTCCAGAAGGCATTCAATACGATGCCGCAGAAAAGGTTAGTCCAAAAGATAGGGGCCCACAGAATTGGGGGGAGCATATTAATGTGGATTGGGGAATGGTTAACGGGTAGGAAACAAAGAGTGGGGATAAACGGGTCCTTTTCAGATTGGTGGGATGTGACTAGTGGAGTGCCACAAGGATCAGTCCTTGAGTCTCAGCTATTTACCATCCACATCAATAATCTAGAAGAGGACATCAAAGTTAATATATCTAAATTCACGGATGACACAAAACTAGGAGGAAGTGTCAACACAGAGGATGACATTAAAAAAATGCAGCGCGACATAGATAGGTTAGGTGATTGGGCAGGTAGGTGGCAGATGAAGTATAATGTAGGGAAGTGCGAAGTCATCCACCTCAGTAGCAAAAACAGTAGAGAGGGTTATTTTTTAGAAGGGGAGAGATTGGAATGTGTTAGCGTCCAGAGGGACTTGGGTGTCCTTGTACACCAATCACAGAAAGTTAGTCTGCAGGTGCAGCAGCAATTAGGAAGGCAAACGGTATGTTAGCATTCATTATGAAAGGATTAGAGTATAAGAGTAGGGAAGTCTTGCTGCAACTGTATAGGGCTCTGGTGAGACCACACCTGGAATACTGTGTGCAGTTTTGGTCTCGTTATTTAAGGAAGGATGTACTTGCCTTGGAGGGGGTGCAGCGTAGATTTACTAGATAGTACCAGGGATGAAGGGGATGAGTTACGAGGAATGGCTGACCAATTTGAGTTTATATTCTCTGGAATATAGAAGAATTAGAGGGGATCTTATAGAAACCTATAAGATCATCAAAGGGCATGACAGAGTAGATAGTGGGAGATTGTTTCCCCTGGTTGGAGAAACTAAAACCAGGGGTCACAACCTTAAAATCAGAGGCAGCCCTTTCGCACTGAGTTGAGGAAAAACTTCTTCACTCAAAGGGTGGTGAATGTATGGAACTCACTACCCCAAAGGGCTGTTGACGCTCAGTCCTTGAACATATTTCAAGACTGAGATAGATATATATAATAATAATCCTTGCATTTGATATAGCGCTTTTCACGTCTTAGACGTCCCAAAGCGCTTCACAGAATATATTTCTTATTGCAAAAGGGATTAAGGGATATGGAGATAAGGCAGGGTTATGGTATTAGCTGGAGTTAGATTAGAAGATCAGCCATGATTGAATGACGGGGCAGGCTCGAAGGGCCGAATTGCCTACTTCGGCTCCAACATGTTACGTTATATTCATTCACATCTGTCAGTCTGGCAGGTTAAGATTAGACCAGCACAACTTAAGTTACAAGGCAGACAATCTCTTGTTGCGTTCATAGATAAACACACTAGGAACAGTTCCTAGAAGTGAACATTTATTCAGAGTAAAGGAACGAACATACAGTATTGTATTTTCAGTATGAGGAAAGATCTTGATGAGTTCTGAAGTACAAAGGTAGGGAGTATATATTAAATAATAATAATAATAATTGCATTTTAGACATCTCAAAGGACTTCACAGAATATACTTTGTAAAGTGAATTGACTGTATATTTTGTGGGGGAAATGTGGTAGAGGAGAAAAGGGGGCTTGGGATTGCAGGTGTATAAGTCCTTGAATGTGGCAGTACAAGTGGAAAAGGCTGTGAAAAAGCTAATGGTATCCTGGACTTTACACCGAGGGGTATGGTCTTCAAAAGTAAAGCAGTTAATGGTGGCAACCGGTTCTGTGTTCAGTTTAGGTACCTGACTTTAGGAAGAATGTTAAGGCCTTGGAAGAGGAGCTGAGGTGATTTATGAGAATGATACCAGGGATGAAGGAGTTATGATGATGTTCTGAGGAGAGATTGGAGAAGTTGAGTTTGTTTTCATTGGAGCAGCAAAGGTTGAGAGGGGACCAAGTAGAGGTATACAAAATTGTAAAAGGTTTTTATGTGGTGAATATCTCCACCGTTTTATCTTTTGGGTGGTTTAGAATATCCAAACCAAGTTGAGAATTCTAAGCATCCCATCTAACATGGAACTTCCAGAGATAAATTGTTGGAACGGATTATGTAGTTTTCCCCCCGGAGGGAACACACACCGCTTACCTAATTCCAGAAAGTATTAGGTGCAGGTTGGCATGAGCCAAGGCTTGGAGACCTCAGAGTGTGCATTGGGCTAACTTCTGGAGTCTAACCAGCTAAAACCGCATAGCTTGCCATTGATACCACTGCCTGGCAAGATTTCCCGCTGCTTGTCCAGCTAGGATCACCCTGTCCGTTAGGGCTTGGCTTGCAGGGTTAACGGGAGCTGAGGGGGAGGATTCAAATGCAACGATTATTCTGTTCCACAATCTTAGTCCTTAGAGAAAGTAATTCAGAGTATGAGATGGTACAGTGAATTTTGATTTCTGTATAGTATGGATGCAGGGAGAACGAAAGATTTGTATGACTGTATTTGGATAAAATGAAGCCATGGTTAATTTTCCATTTTTGTGTGCTTCAGTGCTCCACCCTTGACGACTAGTGTCGAATGGGCTGTCCCACAATCGTCCAGGTTGAAATACCGACAACTATTCAACAGCCACGATAAAACTATGAGCGGACATTTAACAGGTAAGAAGATCTGCCTGCCAGTGCTCTGTGTTCCTTGAGTTCTCAAATTATTTAATTCCCATTCTTGTTTCTCTGTTTCTACCACTTCTTGTATTTTTGTCGAACTGGGTTCGATTCCCAGCAGGGCGAAACGTTGGGCAAGTTTCCTTACTTCACGGGCTACTGTTTACCTAGCAGTAAGTAGGAACCCGGTTGTTAGTCGATTAGTGGATCGCTTTTCCAGAGGTAGTTAGTTTCTTCATAAAAAACTATTTGCTCACTCATTCCACGACTGTTTGTGGACACTGCTATGCGCAATTGGCTGCCGCGTTTCATGCACAAAATATACAGTCAATTCTTGAAGCGCTTTGAGATGTCACGAAGACGTGATCAAGAGCTATGTCAAATGCAAGGATTATTATTTTAGTCGTTTAACATAATTCACTCTGTAATCCATGGCTGCCAAATAGCAGCTGACGCTTAGTAAGATTCCCCTGAAAGAATATTGTGGAGTCCTGTAGCTCAGTGGTTAGACCACTCGCTTTGCAAGCGAGAGACCTGAGTTCAATTCCAGGCAGAGGGCGAAACCTTGGGCAAGTTTCCTTACTCCACACAGAGCCTAATAATAATCCCTCCAAAACCAATAATAAATTGGTCATTTTCAATCTACGGCTGTTTGTGGGACATTGCTGTGCGCAATTGGCTGCCGCATTCGCCCACAAATATACAGTCAATTCATTTTACAGTATATTTTGTGAAGCGTTTTGGGACGTCCTCCCGATGTGAAAAGCGCTATATCAAATGCAAGGATTATTATTATTATTATTGAGTCTCGCCTATTTGTTTTGGGGAACCTGCATTAATCTTCAATAGTTTTCAAAGAGATTAGAAACCCCAGGGATTTTATAGAATTTTATATTCTAAACGAGAATTCAAAATGCCCCATTACAGGGCCTTTTTTTTTAAAGGAATTATGACCGGTGCGGACTGAACTCAAAGGGACGCTTTTATTCCAAGTCCATAGACGTCAAAAACAGATTTCTACAGATGAAAAAAGCAATTCTTCATGTATTTGTTTCAAACCTTAGAATGATTAAAATAATATGAAAGCAGGAACCTAATAATTAATAATCATACAATGTCTTTAATTATCAACAATATTCCGTAAAATTTGCCTAAAATTCTGTAAAAATTGCCTAAACAGTGACCACTTGGTGACTTCCAAAGAAATCACCATTACCTTTATTATTAGTAGTAGTAGTATTATTATTATGGAAGATTAATTTACTTCTGGGGAATTCCTAGGGGCTGGAGGGGATGCCTCCATCACTTGAATATGTAAAAAAAAATGCTCTGCTGCATTGCATTTTTGAAAATGGAATAAATATGAATTTAAAAATGTCTGTTTCAGGTCCTCAGGCAAGAACTATCCTAATGCAATCAAGTTTACCACAGTCTCAATTAGCCTCTATATGGTGAGTCAAATCCTATCTCTTCCAACATGCCTATGACCCTCTCCCTTGCCTTCCTATAAGGCAGTCTGAGATGTTACCATATTTGACGGGAGCTATATAAATGTTGTTTTTTTATTTGATACTAATAAATAACCTGGGACAACTAACTTTGGTTAACCATCTTGTTAACTAAAATCTGGCAGGAATGCGTCTTGAGATTTGAACAAAGTGTGTCTTGATTTGGTTTATAGTGCCTGGGTGATGGTAGAACTGCTGGGTAGGAGTGATCAGTGAACTGCGTGAATAATTCATTGGAGTATTCAGCATCTCTGCCCCCAAACTCTGGAACTCTACCCCACAATCCCTCCGCCTCACCCCCTCTCTTACCTCCTTCAAGTTCCATCTAAAGATCTTGATAAAACACTGGTCAGGCCTTAGCTAGAAACTATGTTCAGGTCTGGGCACCACACTTTATAAAGGATGTCAAGGCATTGGAGAGGGTGCAAAGGAGATAGATTTACCAGGAATGAGGGACTTCAGTTATCAGGAGAGGCTAGACACGCTAGGATTATTCTCCTTAATAGGAGTTTTCAAAATTATGAGGGGATTCAATGGGATGGAGAAATTATTTCCACTGGTGGGTGGGTCGGTAACCTGAGGGCACCGATTTAAAATAGTTGTTAAAAGAAACAGAGGGGAGGTGAGGAGAAATTTTTTCATACAGCGAGTTTTTTGGATCTGGAATGCATTGCCTGAAAGCCGATTCAATAACAACTTTTGAGAGAGAAGTAGATAATTATTTGGGGAGGAAAAGTTTGCAGGTCTAGGGGGGGAGTGCGGGGGAGTGGGATTGAATTGGATAGCACTTTTCAAAGAGCCGGCACAGACACGATGGGCTGAATGACCTGTGCTGTAAAATTCTATGATTCTATGATACAGAACTCCCTGTTTGACCGTGCCTTCAGCCACCCTCCAAACCCCCACCCACCTGCCCTCCACCCCTCCTGACCCCACCTCCCAGCTCGAGTCTAAAAACTCCTGATTGTCCAGTGCCCGTGTCGTCTTTCTGACGTGAGGGGCGCTATACAAGTGTAATTTGTTATTGGAGGAAATCTGGGTGACCAATGCAATTCAGTAAGATAACAATGCATTATTTTGCGTTGACACCTTTCCCATACTGACCCGGTTGCAAGGTGATGTACTTTGCAACAGAATGTAAGACTCGAGTCAATGCTCTGTGGTGGTCTTGGTAGATCAGTCAAATATGTTTGAACCACCCCAGGGTAGTGCTCATGACAAACTACACTGAGCAGAGATTCGTCCCATTCATTTCCTGCAAGCCTCTTAATGGGTATGGTGATCCTAGCTGGACAAGCCATAGGAAGATGGTCAGGCAGTGCTTTCAATACCAAGCTTTGGGGTTTTAGCAGGTTAACCTCCAGCAGTTACCCCAACAAGTGTTCGGGAGTCCCGAAGCCTCGCTAACCTGCAACTCATACCCCAGAATTAGGGTGTGTTCTTCCAGGAAGAGAGTGCACATTGCATTTCAGCCACACAGAAATTTCTGCGAGTGCTTTGAATACTCAAAGTGAAGGGTTTGTGCATGTGTCAAGACACCTGGCTGCTAGGGGTGGTGGGGGGGAAAGAGGTTTTAAGGAAGACTTTTTTCATCTCTCCCATGAAGGGTGGGGAAGCGGGCAAAACAGCTTTTTAATGGCGATGTTCTGCTTCAATGGAACTTATTGAGTCATTGAACGGGTGATGTAAGCTCATTGCTTCTCTCGCCCCTTTCCCCAGCAGTGTTATGTTGACAATCCTGCAAATGGTATTTTATATGAATTTACAGGAACCTTTCTGACATAGATCAAGATGGGAAACTGACAGCAGAGGAATTCATCCTGGCTATGCACCTAATCGATATGGCTATGTCAGGACAGCCTTTGCCTCCTGGGCTGAGTCGAGAACTAATTCCACCGACATTCAGGTGAGAGGGAAAGGAAGCTTTTTAAAAATATATAAGTAAAATATAAAAAGAAGTAAAATATATAGTCCTTTCAGCCATTACGCCCTGAAGCTCTGGAACTTCCTCCCTCAATCCCTCCGCCTTCCATTCCTCCCTCCCCAATTTGAAATCCCACCTAAAGATCTTTCCTTTTTGATCGTGCTTACGGTCATCTCCCCCGTGGCTCGGGGTCAGATTCTGTGAAGCACGCCAGGACGCTACCCCGTGCAAAGGGCGCTATGTGAATAAATGCAAGTTGTTGTTGTAAAAATCATCCTTACATTTGGTACAGCAACTTGCATGGTCCCAAAACATTTCACAGGATCGATGTGTAAAGTGCAGTGACTGTGTTGTGTGGGCGAACGCAGCAGCCAATTTCCGCTTCACAATGCCCCACACACAGGTGTGAAGTGAATTATAATAATAATATCCAATTTATTTGGGCGATGGTTGGCCAGGACACCAGCGGGGGAATTCAGTCCCGTGTCAATGTTGTGCTGCTCATGTCATGGTTAAGGTTTTAAAAATGTATTTCCGAAACAATGAAGAACATTTGCACACTCACTCACATACATGATTTAATAGAACAAGATGAGTCCCTGGTTTTGTAAATTGAACTCTGTGGCTCTACAATTCATCTCATTGCAAACAACCTTTCTTGAAATTCTATGAGCTCCTAATTTTGTGAGTATTGCATCTCTCATACAATTTCTTAACATGATTTTTTTTTCCAGCCTCAATGCCTTCCCCAGTTTGAGGACTCTCTGGGTACCTCGTAGGAACAGGAGGAGGCCATTCAGCCCCTCAAGCCTGTTCCGCCATTCTATATCATGGTTGATCTATACCTCAACTCCAATTACCCGCTTTTGCCCCATATCCTTTGATACCCTGACCTAACAAAAATCTATCCACTTCAGTTTTGAAAGCGTGAATAGATCCAGAATCCACAGCCTTTTGGGGGAAGAGAGTTCCAGATTTCCACATCCTTTGGTGTGAAAGACTGCCTCCTGATTTCACTCCGAAATGGCCTAACTCTAATTTTAAGATGATGCCTCCCTTGTTCTGGCCCCAACCAGAGGAAATAGTTTCTCTGTAGCTACACTATCGAATCCCTTTATTATTCTCAACGCAACAATCAGTTCACCCCTCAACCTTCTAAACTCAAGGGAATACAGAACAAGTTTATGCAGCCTGTCCTCATGATTTAACTCTGTTAACCCTGGAATCATTTGGGGGAATCTATGCTGCATTCCCTCCAGGGCCAACATGTCTTTCCTTAGGTGTTCAGTAGAAGGGACACATGAGCCTGTGCATAGTGACGGTCCTCTAATATTTCCTCGGTGAGGAAATTCCCAGAATTTGTTGCCTCAACATACTGTTTTGAAAACTGATGCTACCTGTTTCTGCTCCAATTCCTTGTGCCACCCCTTTAACTTAGTCAAAAGAAAAAGTGTTCAAAGTCTAGAGCTGTTCTAGATCTGAATTCAGAGAAAATTATCTTAGTGCTAAACTGGACAAGTGGGAGATGATACTTCCTTCAAAAAAAAACTAAAAATAAATCAGAAATTGCCGACAGCTGTTTGTGGGATTCTGTGTGCACAATTGGCTGCCGTGTTTCACCCACAAAATATACAGTCAATTCACTTCACAGTATATCCTGTGAAGCGTTTTGAGACGTCTTGAAGACATGATAAGACGCTGTATCAAATGCGAAGATTATCATTTTTTTTCAAATGGAATGATTTTTTTTTGTCGTCGTACACAGTGAATCCAATGGATTTCATTGTTGAGATTAGATGTTACAGTCTCAATGTAACCGTTCTTATGTGACCGTTGCAGAAGAGCACGTTCTGGAAGCGGAATGTCGACCGGAAGCTCAGTGGGCTCTGACCAGAGGGTACCCGAGGAACCGCAGGAAGAGGAACCGGAAAAGAAACTGCCTGGTAAGCCTAATCTCTTCCCCTACCCCTCCTCCACCTCACTCCGTCCTTCCTCATCTTCAGGTCGCGCCTGAAGACTTTCCTCTTCGACCGTGCCTACGGGTCAAGTCTCCCTCTCCCCTGGGTCGGAGTCCTGCTTCGCCACTGTCAAGCGCTCTGGGACGCTACCCTGCATGAGTGAGGGGCGCTGTGTGAATCAAAGCTATCATTGTGATCTTGCGGTATAGTTTACCGCGTGGAAACGTTTTCAATAAATCCTTACTGTTCAGTGTAGTGGCAGCGAACGCCCACTGCGGGCCACATTCCTTCCGGGGGAGTGACAGACACTTAGTGGCTTTTCTACTACCTGCTATGAGGAAGTTGTCATCTTCCCTGTCTGACAAGCCTGCTGATAATTCCGTTCTTCCATTTGGGAGAGCTGTGTTGAAACCAGGCTCTTTGCTCTCAGCTTAGTGGATTGAGCTCTCGCTTCGCAAGCGAGAGGATCCGGGTTCGATTCCCAGCCAGGGCGAAGCATTGAGCAAATTTCCTCACTCCACATACAAGTTATCTGTTTACCCAGCAGTACGTAGGCACCCGGTTGTTAAGTCGATTGGAGGATCACTTTTCCGGGGGTAATAATCCCTTCAAAATAAATAAATAGGTAAAAATAATTTGGTCACTCGGTCCACGACTGTTTGTGGGACACTGGTGTGCGCCATTGGCTGCTGCGTTTCGCCCACAAACTATTCGGTCAATTCACTGTGAAGCCCTTTGAGACTTTTCGGAAGATGTGCTAAGGCGCTCTATTATTTGAATATATTTCTCTCACTCGTGTTCAAATCCCTTCACTCTCTGGCACCTCCCGACCTCTCCGACCTCCTCACTCCCCAATCCACTACCCACGTTTCCACTCGGCCGGCACCGGCCTCCTGCTCGCCCCTCGCACCCTCCGCCCCACCGTCGGAGATCGTGCTTTCAGTCACTACGCCCTGAAACTCTGGAACACTCTCCCTCAATCCCCCTTTTCAAGTCCCGTCTGGAAACTTTCTTCTTCGACCGAGTCTACGGCCCCATCCCCCGACTCAGAGTCAGGCTCCGCCGCTGTTAAAGCGCTCTGAGACGCCGCCCTGTGTGGAGGGCGCTATATAAGTGCAAGTTGTTGTTGTTGATTCTCTTTCACTCTGAATAGAAGTTCTTTCAAAGCTGGGTGGGGGTTGGGGAAAAGTTACATGTTTTCGTATGGTTTCTTTTAACCTGTGCTTGACCTGTTCGCAGTGACGTTTGAGGATAAGAAGCGGGAGAATTTCGAACGGGGGAATCTTGAGCTGGAGAAGAGGCGGCAAGCTCTCCTGGAGCAGCAGCGTAAGGAGCAGGAGAGGCTCGCCCAACTGGAGCGAGCGGAACTTGAGCGCAAAGAGAGGGAACGGCTGGAGCAAGAGAGGAAAAGGCAGCAGGAGCTGGAGAGGCAGCTGGAGAAACAGCGAGAGCTGGAACGTCATCGAGAGGAGGAGCGAAGAAAGGAGATTGAAAGGCGAGAGGTACTGTAATAATAATACTTGCATTTGATATAGCGCCTTATCGCGTCTTCAAGACATCTCAAAACACTTCACAGTATGTACTGTAAAGCGTAGTGACTGTATACTTTGTGGGCGAAACCAGCAGCCAATTGCGTACAGCAGAGTCCCACTGTCCCACAAACATTTTTTTTGTTTGGAAGGATTATAACCTTCGGAAGTATTCTGCATGGTACCAAATTGTTTTTTAACAAAAGCACAACTCTGTATTCCCAGCCTTAATAGGATTAATTTTGTTGATTCGGAATCGGTTGTAATTGAAACCCTTTTGGAAAAACATTTTAGTTGAATTTTATGGCCTTGTTTCGCACGTATTGGAGAATAAAGGGCGTTTCACAATCTGATTGATCCCAGTTTGGGTACAAACCTTACACTGTCCGATCGTCTTAGGACGTCCTCCTGATGTGGAATCCCTACATTAATGTAAATTTGTATTAATAGTAATGATAATAATCCTATCGTTTGATACAGCGCTTTTCACGTCTTCTAGACATCTCAAAGCGCTTCACAGAATATACTGTAAAGTGAATTATTGGTATATTTGTGGGCGAAACGCGGCAGCCAATGGCGCACAGCAGCGTCCCACAAACAGCCGTGGATTGAAGTAACCAATTTTATTATTTTTTTGAGTAAGGAAACTTGCCCAAGGTTTCGCCCTACTAAGAATCGAACCAGGTCTCTCGCTTGTGAGGCGAGTGCTTTACCCACTGAGCTACAGGACTCCACCTAATAATCCTTGACTTTGATATAGTGCCTTATCACGCGAGATGTCTTAAAGCACTTTACAGAGTATACTGTAAAGTGAATTGACTGTATATTTTGTGGGCGCAATGCGTATGGTATTGTATTGATTTGGCACCTGATGTTAATAACAACTATTAATCGTGACGATCTGTCTTTTAGCTCGCACGGTTGGTAGAACAATTATACAGAATGGAATGTCTCATTAATGAATTGTTCACTTATAGGTAATGAGGGAGCAGTGTTTGAAGGTTCGTGTGTTATCTTGTTAACTGTTATACAGCTTACAAACTTCTTGGGGTTATAAATTTGGTTCTCGTTTTGACCAAAGGCTGCAAAACGTGAACTCGAGAGGCAACGGCAGTTGGAGTGGGAGCGAAATCGACGGCAGGAACTTCTGAACCAGAGGAACAAAGAGCAAGAAGATATCGTGGCCTTGAAAGCAAGAAAAAAGACCTTGGAGTTTGAACTTGAAGCTCTCGTAAGTTTACATAGAAACAAAAGAATGAAGCGGCTTTTCTGAGACAATTCAAGACAATGAAACATTATTTGTTTGCTGTTTGTTCCTCCCCCCACGCCCGCCCCATGTTCCATTAGAATGATAAAAAGAACCAGCTCGAAGGAAAGCTTCAAGACATCCGATTTCGTCTCTCAACTCAACGACACGAGATTGAGCACACTAACCAGACGCGAGAGTTGAGAATTTCTGAAATCACACGTCTACAGCAACAGTTGCAGGTGAGTTCCAAGTTGCTTGTGGGTTTGGGATCCTTACAATCATTGCATACATCATTTTTATTTTTATTACCGAGGCCCTGATTTCCCCCCAGTTTAGGTCTGTGCATAAGCGCTCAGGCGACGGGTTAAAATTTGGGCTAGTTTGGAAATTATGCATCAATCTGCTCTTTTCTTCCCGCACTGCAGGAATTTCAACAGATGCTCAGCCGGCTGATTCCTGAGAAACAGACTCTGAATGATAAACTGAAGCAAGTCCAACAGAATAGTCTGCACAGTAAGCATTTCAGTACCAAGAACAAAAATAGAAGTCACTGGGAAAACTCAGCAGGTCAGGCAGCATCTATGGAGAAAGGAAAGTGAGTCACCGTTTTGGATCCACGACCCAGTTATGACAAAGGATCGTGGATCCGAAACGTTGACTCACTTTCCTTTCTCCATAGATGCTGCCTGACCTGCTGAGTGTTCCCATTGGTAGGGGAGGAATTATTACTCCCGGAAAGCGACCGCCAATGGACTAACAGCCAGGTTGCTACTTTCTGTGTTTTCATTTCATTACCAAATTTGATTTTGCTTTTCCAAAGCTAGTTTATTGTGTTATCCATACTAGAACTAACGATTGCCAAGGAAAAAATATTTGCCTTAAAGAAAGTTAAATAAAACCCAGTTAGTGCAACTGTTATTGCAAAAGTACTAGTTTTGTTTCTATATAAAAAAAAGCACTCGGCTATTTGGGTTATTTGAGAGCCCGTCTTCAGCTTCTGACAATCAGGTGTCAGATCGGCTTACTTGGTAACGCTTTTACCTCTGAATCAGGAAGACATGCTTTCAAGCCCCAAGTCGGGGGACTTTGAGCCCAAAGTCTAGGATGACACTTAAATGCAGTACTGGGGAGTGCTATGTTGTTGGTGGTGGATGGCACCAGACATTTTAAATCGAGATCCCGTCTGCCTGTTCAGGTTGGACTTTATGATCCCATGGCACGATTCGAAAAAACAAGGGACTTTCTCCTAGTTTCCTGGCTGAGAGTAATATATAATAATCCTTGCATTTGATAGAACGCCTTATCACGTCTGCTAGACGTCCCAAAGTGCTTCACAGAAAAAAATAAAGTGGATTGACTGTATATTTTGTGGGCGAAATTGAGAACTGCACAGATCAAATTGTCCGTTCACATCATTGCTATTTGCGGGACATTGTTGTGTGCAAATTGTCTACTGCGTTCGCCTACAAAAATACACTGTCACCGCATTTTACAGAAATCCTGTGAAGCGCTTTGAGACCAAGGCCTTTTAACAGTGAAAGCATACTATTCCTAGATCCCTGTCTTGCTTGTATGATGCATTTTTAAAAGGCCCTGAGGAAGGTGTTTTAGCATTCTTCTGTTTTTTAATCCATAGGAGATTCCATTCTTTCTATGAAAAAATCTTTGGAAACCAAAGAGGTGGCACGTCAGCGCCTTCGCAATCAACTGGACGAAGTTGAAAAGGAAACCCGGGCCAAACTCCAAGAGATAGACGTCTTCAATAACCAGTTAAAGGTAATGCTGATGTATTCAAAAAGATTTCACTTGCCCTTTCTCTCCTGACATGTGTGTTTTTTTTAATATCAAAAAAAACCTCTGAAGCTTGCTCACCCATCTTGCATCCTTTTTGAGAATTGTTCATCCAGAATCCAATTGGCTCTGTGAATGCCGTGCCCTGCCATCTGCCGTGGGATATGCGCTTCAATAGGAAAGATTTGTTTTCCTCTCTCTCTAAAATGTATAAGGTTTGAGGAGGAGGATTGTCTCTTCCACATGCCGGCCTTTTAAGGGACTTTGAAGTGCTCACATAGTTCTCTCGGTTGAAAGCAGGTGAGTTTGAGCGACTCGTGACATAGTGATCGAGTCTGAGCAACAACCACAAATTACTTTGTAAAGCCGCCTTTCACGTCGGGAGGACGTCCCAAGGCGCTTGACTGTCAGGGATTTGGACCCGAGCTGGGGGTTGGGGTCAGGAGGGTGGGGAGGATGACTGAAGGCGCGGTCGAAGAGGAAGGTCTTGAGATGAGCCTTGAAGGAGGCAAGGGAGGGGGGCGACACGAAGGGGATATCGGATGGCGCCACAGGGTGCAGAGAGGCTGATGGCCCGATTGTTGATGGTGGGGTGGGCCGGGCGGGGGACGTGAAGCAGGCCGGAGCCCGCTGAGTGACTGAAGCTTTCAAGAGTCTTAAGCCAAAGAACTTGAACGAAATAATTTTCCAGCGAATGTTTGTAACCATTTATCTTCTCCATTTTCTCCCTGGGTGGTTTTATGGTTTTACTGTCTCTTCCCCCAGCTCCCCCCACCCCTTATAACTCGCCGCCCCTTATAGTTTTTCTGTTGTGTTGTTCATTCTATTTCTGTGTTGATTCACTCCTTTTTTTTTCTTTGCAATAGAGCCTGAGTGGATTCTATCCCTGTCATTCAGTAAAAATAGAAAGAAACCAGCAGCTGAAGGAGGAAGAGTTTGTACGTAAGGTAGTGAGTTGACTAGGCTCTGCTCAGCTTGCTCCTTGTAACTGCTAGGTAATGAGATCCGACTGGATCGCATTTTGGGTCAGTTGGATCAAATGCACCTTAACCCGTCAGAAAATATTGCAAGATAACAAAACTAATCTTTAATTCTTTTTTCAGACGTTCAATTGAATGACTACTCCAGCTTTTAACCTTTTTTTAACTTTAGGCTGACTTTGTTTTGGGGTATCTAACTAATTAATGGTGTTATGTTTTTTTTTAATCTTATAGTTTTACTTCTCGATAGTACAAGCTTGTTAAACTTCCTGAAAATATTCTTTTTTTTCTCTCTCTCTCTCTGGAAAACAAAGCGTTCTATTCTGGTGGAGATTCTATTGGTAAAATTAAATTGGTGGTGGAGTGGGGGAGGTGATTAAAGCTGGCAAATGGAGTGCTTTTTTTCCTTTTGTGGAGTCCTGTAGCTCAGTGGTTAGAGCACTCGCCTTGCAAGCGAGAGACCTGGGTTCGATTCTCAGCAGGACGAAACGGTGGGCAAGTTTCCTTACTCCACACACACGCCTATGTTTATCCAGCAGTTAAGTAGAACCCGGTTGTTAGTCGATTGGCGGATTGCTTTTCTGGGGATAATAATTCCTTCCCCAAAAAATAATAAATTGGTCACTTCAGTCCATGACTGTTTGTGGGGCGCTGCTGTGAGCAATTGGCTGCCGTGTTTCGCCCACAAAATATACAGTCAATTCACTTTACAGTATATCCTGTGAAGCGCTTTGAGACATCTCGAAGACGTGATAAGGCCCTTTATCAAACGCAAGGATCATTATTATTTTTATTATTCTGTGTCAAAACACGGCACTCCCCACATCAGGCACAGCCTGGCAGAATGCAGATCGAAACTTCTTATACTGTGTCCCAACAATGTTCCTCAGGCCCTTACTCCATTTTCACATTAGCCACTCTGTGTCCTGTGTGCAAGATTGTCAATTTGATTACCAAAGTTGAGAGTAATTTTGTGCTGTGGGCTTGCTCCTGCTACAAACAGACTCCCATTGAGACCGGAATGGTTTCACTATCGAAACAAAGGTGATGTTCATCCTGTTAATCCTCACACTCGTGTTCAACTCCCTTCTCTCTCTGGCACCTCCCAACCTCTCCGGCCTCCTCACTCCCCAATCCACCACCCGGCCGGCGCCTCTGCTCGATCGGCACCGGCCTCCTGCTCATCCCTCGCACTCTCCGCCCCACCATTGGAGGTCACGCTTTTAGCCACTACGCCCTGAGACTCTGGAACACTTTCCCTGAATCCCTCCACCTTGCCCCCTCCCCTTTTTTCAAATCCCGCCTGAAAACCTTCCTCTTTGACCGGGCTTACAGCCCCCTCTCCCACCAGCTCGGTATCAGGCTCTGCCGCTGTTAAGTGCTCTGAGACGCTACCCTGCGTGGAGGGCGCTATATAGGTGCAAGTTGCTGTTGTTAGTCTGAGGTTGATTCCAGATCCCCGAGTCTTGCCCACAAAATATACAATCAATTCACTTTACAGTATATTCTGTGAAGCGCTTTGAGACATCTCGAAAACGTAATATCAAATGCAAGATTATTATTATATCTTATCAAATGCAAGGATTATTATTATTAGTGTCCTAGTCTATTACAGAAAGTATTCTGCATATCCTTTTAACTCAATTGCTGGAGAATTTACCCAGTTTTTTATTTTAGTCTCCTATGCACTATGGGTTAGTCCGAGATTAGCAGTGCAAGCACATATCAGGAAGACAGTTTATCTAAAACTTATTTCTGAGTAACTTTCCATGCCTCAGATAACTGATATTCACATTTTTTTATTGATAATGAAAGTAATGAGTATATGTAGACTTCAGAAACTTTTTATAATGTTTTTTAAATATGCTAGGATTTAATGCTTGAAATTATTTTTATTGCTGACTTAAATATTTGGGGGCCAGATATTAAAATAATTTAAAACACTTAGGACTTTAGATTCTGAAATTCACGCAATGGTCACAGAATATTTTTTTCTCTGTTGTGAAAATTGTTTTGTCAAATATCCTTGTGTGAGACAAGAAGTCCTGGAGTGCTGTGCTCAATGGTTAGAGCACTCGCCTAACAAGCGAGAGGGCCTGTTCAGTTCCCGGCAGCATGAATCGTTGGGCAAGTTTCTTTACTCCACGTGCCTCTGTTTACCTAACAGTAAGCAGGAACCTGGTAGTCGATTGGCAGATTGCTTTTCCGGGGGGTAATAATTCCTTCATAATTAATAATAATTTGGCCACTCAATTCACGACTGTTTGTGGGACGCTCCTGTGCGCAATTGGCTGCCATGTTTCGCCCACAAAATATGGAGTCAATTCACTTTACAGTGAATCCTGTGAAGCGCTTTGAGACGTCTCGAAGACGTGATAAAGCTGTATATCAAATGCAAGGATTATCATTTATTTATTATTTCCGCTAGTTTTTTGTTCACCACCCGATCTCTGCACGATTTCACTGATTTGCTTCTTCACGCATATTCAATGGAACCGAGCACATCATAAAAGGCAGAGCGGTTGAGAATATTAAGCACATTTTTCTAACTGATCCTGTTAATCTTGCTTCCGTTTAGTTTTTTTTCCCGTAGCATAGTTCTGCGATAGAGCACAACACCTCCTCGGTGTTAAGCTGAGGTGCCTCACAGCCACCAAATGCACGTTCAAAATGTTTTGGAGCATCGCAGCGTAAATGAACATCAACAACAACTTGCACTTATATAGCGCTCTCCACGGAGCGCTTGACAGTGGCGGAGCCTGAAAATTGGTTCTTGTCCTATGGTGGAGTAAGATTTATTTGGGAATGAATGGCTTTTGCAGAAGAAGTGTTATGGAATTTTGCCGCAGGCTGCTTGCACAGCGATGTTTGCACTTGATCAGATGTCTTGACTGTGTTGAGTGATTTACTTCTGTCGTTCGAGTGAGAGCCTGTTCTTGCTGGCTTCAGATGCTTTGTTAAATTTGGCCGTTTCTTTCTTGCAGTCTGTGGCTGTGGACGATGCATTCCTGCACTGCCTGGGCTACCTCCTGTCCTGCCTGAACCACTTAGACTTCTTTTTAAAGGTTTTCTTCCTTAAATGGGCTTCTACATAGCTGTTAAAATGTATTTTTAAAACTGGAGTGTGAACCGTAGCCTGTTTGTTTCATCGGTTTAAGTGCAAGCGAGCTTGTAGGGTCTCGTGGAATCCTGCTGCTCAGTGGTTAGATCACTCGCCTCGCAAACGAGAGACCTGCGGTTGATTCCCGGACAGGGTGAAACATTAGGCAAGTTTCCTTACTCCACAAACACGCCTCTGATTACCCAGCAGTAAGTAGGAACCCGGTTGTTAGTCGATTGGTGGATCGTTTTTACAAGGGTAATGATTATTTCAATCCATGACTGTTTGTGGGACGCTGCTGTGCGCAATTGGCTGTCGCATTTCGCCCACAAAACATACAGTCAATTCACTTTATATTATATTCTGTGAAACGATTTGAAACATCTGGAAGATGTGATAAGGCATTATATCAAATACAAGGATTATTATTATATTATTGCTAAAGTTCCATCACTTTTTAAACAGCGCACAGACATGTCACAGTTAAATCTGATCGGAAAGGTCAATTCCCCAGAATTTGTACTTTCTGGTGAATTGACTATTCCAATCCTATTTCACGCTTCTTCCAGTATTACTGTTTGACATATATTGGGGAGGAACGATCCCACATTTTCTCCCTGTAGTGAGTTTAAAATGTTTGTGAGTAACAAAACAAGTTTAAAAAAAACAACCTTATCGTGTTTGCAGCACAAGCATTCTTCTACAATGGGTTACTTTTAACAGCAATTTAATTCGGAAGATATTATGGGGGGGTGGGGGTTGATATCTAGTTAAGATTTTATTTTATCATAAGAGCAACAAAGAGGTGAAACTCATGACATGATTGTTTGAAAGCTGATTTTAAACCTAATTTGTCAGCTTTGTTTAATTCTGACCGGTCTCTGTCAAAGTTTAAAATAACTTGTCGTTGAAGGTAACCTTGGTGGACAAAGAAACTTCCGTTGCATAACTTGATCCTCACAGATGCACTGAAACATGTTTGGTAATGAGCATCTGAATTAAACCAAGGCTCCTGTTTTATTTTTTGTAGTTAAGTGGTGTTATTTTAATGGCAAGAAGCTTTTTAACATGAGGTACTTTTAGCTGCAAAAAAAAATGTTCATTTCCTATACTTGCTTTTCTCTTTAAATATCTGCAGTGTAGGGGTTACTACAGTTGCAGTACGGTTTCAGAGTCGCAGTTTGCATGTGAGCTGAAAGCGTACAAAGCAGTGAGAAGTCTTAAGGGCTAATAGTCTGGAATAGGATTTTTTAGATGTACGTGAGAATTTGCTCGGCGAAAGTTGACCGAGTTCCATCCAGTTCGGCTTCCACCATCCCGGCAGTCGCACATTTTGTGCGCCAAACTATATTATTTCCTAACAGAAATCTTATCTCATTTGTTCTTGAGAGAATACAAAGACTAGTAATGAAATGGTAGCCTTTCCAGAATGTTGCAATACAATCGCAAAATTACATCTGTAAAGCGCTTGTCACGTCGAGAGGATGTCCCAAAGCGCCAAACAGTCGGGGATTAGGATCTGAGCGTGGAGTGGTGGGTTGGGATCAGGGAGGGTGGAGGGTGTCCGAAGGCATGATCAAAGAGGAGGGTCTTTGAGGCGTACCTTGAAGGAGGCAAGGGAGGGGAGCGAGGCTAAGGGAATGTGGGATGTTGCTCATGATCTGTGGAAACACTGCGCTTACAGAGAGGTTTGCGTCAGCTTGTGCTCATCTGATTGTCCGCTCTGGCCTTGGCTGCAGCGCGCCGCACCTGAGTTTGAAATCCAAAATAAAAACAAAATCAAGTCACATTGGCAATACATCTCTGGGCCGTTTTGCAATTTAACTGTCGCTGTAAAAAATATGTAATGATGGCCAGCTTTATTGTTTCTTAGCCTTTAGCAAAGTTTATCCGAAGCTTTGAAATTAAGCAGAAGTGAGGGCTTCAGCAAAGAAATCACAGGGAGATCAGTCTTACCTCCTTATCTGCCTGTGAACCACAGAGTCACCTCCTTCAAGGCCCGTCTCAAGACCTTCCTCTATGACCAGTCCTTTGGTCATCTTCCCACCACGACCCCATTGCCCTCTACCCCTCTTTGACTCTCCAGTCCGCTGCTTGGGGGCAAACTCTGACTGTCCCAGTGCCTGGGGACGTGCTAGCGATGTGAAAAGCGTTATATACCAATGCAGTTTGTGCTATATATCAATGCAGTTTGTTGCTCTTAAACCAGGCAGTCCTTTTAAGCTATTAACACATGGCAACAAATCGCTTAGTGCCCTCGCAACACCTGCTCACACCACACAGTCTTCTGCATCCCCACCCCACCCTCGCTTGACTGGCCTTCTGAACGTCCCTCGATACTCCCTCCGCTTCTACCAGCGGCAGCTGTGCTTTCAGCCACTCTGCTCCGATCCTATGGAACTCCTTGCCTCAAACTCCCACCTTGCCCCTCATTGTCTCTCTTCAGGTCACACCTCTTCGGCCGTGCGTACACCAACAACAACAAATGACACTTGCACAGTGCCTTTCACGTCAGGAGAACGTCCCAAGACCCTGAGCAGTCAGAGATCCACACCGAGCTGGTGGTTGGGATCGGGGAGGGGGGTGCGGTGATGGGTAGGAGGGTGACCGAAGGCACAGTAGAAGAGGAAGGTCTTTGAAGGAGGCAAGGGAACCTTCCCCCACCCCAAAACCCTCCTCGGCAACAGGCTCTGCCACTGTTAAGCGCTCCGACCCTACCCTGGTGAAGGGAGTTATATAAATGTAAGATGTTGTCGTGTCGTTCAGCGCCTTGGGACGTCCTCCTGACGTGAAAGGTGCTCTATAAATAGAATCTTGTCGTTGTTGTGTCCAGTGGTTTTGCAAACGCAGTGGTCCTTGCTTTCATTACATCGCTTCCTCCATATTGCCATCCTACAGTCAGTCAGTGTGCTACAAATTATAACTGCTTGTGATGTGTCACAGAGTGGGATGTCAGATGCTTGATCACATGTACGTGGGATTTTGGGGGCTTGGCATGTGGTGTACTGTACCTTCCTCTGTCCTGTAACTCATCTTAAGAGTGTGGTGAATTGCACTCTGTCTGGGCAAAAAGCAGTGTGCGCGAGAGTTTAGATAACGCGTTGAGGGAATTAGCTGCTTCTATCTACGAGTCGCTGCTGATTTTTATTGTACCTTTCTGCCCTTCTTGACTTTCACAGTTGTAAGTCCCTGAAACCTTCATACGGCTGCTTAGTAACTTAGTGCTTCATTAGCTGCTCTCTGAACTGCCCCAAAATGATCTTGCTTCTCGATGGACTGGAGGATGGAGTGGTGTTTCTGTCGTTTTGAAATAGGTGGAGCCCTTCCACTCGGCTTCTGCTTGTGGTCACTCCTTGCTGTGTTAGTTTCTCTTGTTTTCTAACCTTGTAAATTGTCTCTCTTGTGCTTTTTTTTAAAAATGTGAGTCTTAAAATAAAGCCTGTAATACTTCAGGAAGACTTTGAACTTAGTTGTTTTAAAGCAGACTTTTGTTTAAGGAGCCAGACACAAGCCCATCTTTTCCTACAAAGGATACTTTTGTTTTGATGGTCCAATTTTTCACCACGTACTTTATCCATCCCACCATTGTGGAGTCCTGTAGCTCAGTAGTTAGATGACTCGCTCGCAAGCAAGAGGTTCTGGGTTTGATTCCCGGGCAGGGTGAATGGTTGGGCAAGTTTCCTTACCCCACAGGCCTAGCAGTAAGTAGGAACCCGGTTGTTAGTCGATTGGCGGATCGCTTTGCCAGAAGAGATAGTTCCTTTTTAAAAAAAATTATAATAATTTGGTCACTCAATCCACGACTGTTTGTGGGACGCTGCTGTGCGCAATTGGCTGCTGAGTTGCGTCCACAAAGTACAGTCGATTCACTTTACAGTATATTCTGTGAAGCGTTTTGAGACGTCTCGAAGACGTGATGAGGGCCTATGTCAAATGCAAGGATTATTATTATTACTTAAACGATTTAACATTGTCCAAGATCTCCAGACAGAACTCGTATTGTTTGTTTGATATTACAATATACCCAATAATACTCTTAATTTTATCTTTAACAAAAACAGAAGTCGTTGGGAACACTCAGCAGGTCAGGCAGCATCTATGGAGAAAGGAAAGTGAGTCAACATTTCGGGTCCACGACCCTTCGCCAGAACTGGGACATGTTGGGAGGGAGAGGCTTTTAAAAGGGCTAACAGGAGTGGGGAGAGGCAGAGCAAGGAAGACCAGGGAGCAAATGGGGTAGAGGTCAGGGGATGTTCCTCCCAACAGGCCCCATTCTGACAAAGGGTCGTGGACCCGAAATGTTGACTCACTTTCCTTTCTCCATAGATGCTGCCTGACCTGCTGAGCGTTCCCAGGGACTTCTATTTTTGTTTCAGATTTCCAGCATCTGCAGCATTTTGGGTTTTGTCTAATTTTGTCTGTACCCAGTGCTACTCTAATTTAATGTGTTGCTGTGGTCCCAGTATCAAAGAATATATTGCATCTCCTGCCTGGATATGCCATAAAAGGTTACCACATTTCTATGTATTGTTCTTAAAATTCGTATTCTTGGATTTAATCAAAAGATTATTTTGCACTAATACTTTCTGACAATATTCCAAATTGTATCACCGGGATATTGCTGGAGAGTGATGTTATTTTTAATACAACTGCGAGTGCAATGTTTGGAGGATTAAGAAAAGATTGTTAGTCCAATTTTCCTTTCAATTCATCTCTTGCTTCTATGGGCAGGAGTTCAAGATCCCACAATACCGTCTCTGTAACTTAAAGGTATTTGTGAAGCCGGCCACGTCGCGATTCTGTCGAGCTCATGGCGTATTTTTTTAAAAATTTTATTTTAATTTTTAGGATTTAAGAGAAATTCACAACAAACAGCAATTGCAGCAACAGAAGGAAGTGGAGCTTGAAAGGCAACAACGGAAAGAACAGGAACGAAGAACGGCAGAGATCGAGAGACAGCACGAAAAAGAATTGGCCCAGAGGTATTGGAATGTTGTTTTATAATGCGATTGATTGATTAATAATAATAATAATAATCCCTGCATTTGATGTAGCACCTTATCACGTCGTTGAGACGTCTCAAAGCGCTTCACAGACTATTTTGTGGGTGAAACGGGGCACAGCAGTCTTCCACAAATAGTTGTGGTTTGAGTGACTAAATTATTATTTTTTAATATTAAACAGTCTCTTGACGTTCAGGGGCTTCTGCTGTTATGGTCAAATGATGGTAAGATTGAGACAAACCCACCCTCCTACTCCCATCTTACCTCCTTCATATTTCTGGGGCCTACTTTCTTCAAAATTCTACTCCCTGGGTATCGAACAGATCAATTTAAAAAAAAGTTTTGTTAACTGTTGGGTGTTTGATGCGTTATATTTGACACCCAGCCATGTGCAATGAGGGTGATACACAATCAGTTGCTGAAGAGATTTGCCGATGTTTTTTCTGCTTCGTTCACTAAATAATAATACTCCTTGCATTTGATATAGCGCCTTATCATGTCTCAAAGCGCTTCATGCAATATACTTAAAGTGAATTGACTCTGTATTTTGTGGGCGGAACACAGCAGTCAATTGCGCTCAGCAAGGCCTCGAACTTTCAGTTGGTGTACTGTCTGCTACAGTAATAAAACCAATTAAGCATCAGTACAGTGTTTTTTTTTTACTGGTTATCAGATGTAATTCAGCAAGACAGAGAGAGATAAATAATCCACGCATTTGATATAGCGCCTTATCACATCGTTGAGATGTCTCCAGGCGCTACACAGAATATACTGTAAAGTGAATTGACAATATTTTGTGGGCAAAACACGACAGCCAATTGCACATAGCAGTGTCCTACAGATAGTCGTGGATAGAGAAACAGACAGTCGTGGTTCCTACTTACTGATAGGTAAACAGATGCGTGTGGAGTAAGGAAACTCGCCTAAGGTTTCGTTGGGGGTTGGAAAGATTCCGTCCTAAAAATATAAACCGCTGACTGGGTCCCTGTGCAAGTTTGACCTGGCTGTTTTTTGTGTATGTATTATTGCTAATTATAAGCAATTATTGTTTTAATATTTTCTTTTGTGCTTAGTGCTCCGAGAACAGACAGCAGTGTTAGAAGCTCAGAGAGAGGCAGTCTGCAGGCAGTGAGCAGCATGTCGTGGAGGGTTAGCCTCGCAATTCTTTTTCGAGAGCGACTGAACTACTTCAGTAAATTGTTTAGGTATTGTCACAGAGAGAAGTTTATGCATAGGGGAGAATCGCATCGAGCTTGAGAGTGGGGGGAAGAAAGATTTTAACCTGTACTTTGTACCTGTACATGGCCCCTGTGTTCTCTTTTTTTAACATCTTAATCGTTTTGCAGTAGTTCCTACTTTGTCCTTGGATTAGTGAGCCTTCGATTTGATACTGTGCCGTATGTTGTTGACGTCTGAAAGTGCTTCAGAGGGTTCCCTGAGAAGTGTCGTGACGGTGTATTTGTAAACGAACGCAGCACTCAATTTGTGCACAGCAATGACCCAGAAACAGCCATGAAAACCCATCACCGTGCTTAAGAGTAACAAACTGAGAATTCCACGCATCCCACCTACACATGGAAATCCCAGAGATAGATCGTTGGAATGGAATCTCTCTCTCCCTCTCTCCCATCCACCCTGGAGGGACGCTTCCTGCTTACCTAATTCCGGAAAGTATTAGGCGCATGTTGACAAGAGCCAAGGCTTGGGGGGGAGGGTGGGGAGCCAGCTATAACCATATAGCTTGCCATTGATATTGCTGTCTGTCAAGCTTAGACTGGCGAGAGAGGTAAAAAAGAAGTTAACTGTCTTGTCAGTGAGTAGGCGAGTAATCGGTCTGAGTGATCGCAGTTTAGGCCACCATCTACCCTCATCTCAAGCGAAAGAAATTACCAGCAGAGAAAAAGGAGTGAGTTACGACTGGAGAAATGTGTTTGGGAGAGGAAATTTACTGAACATTCTTTAACTGAAACTTTTCGATGAATTTGCAATAAACGTTGCGTAAATTTCAAATACATTTTTTTTTAGAAAAGTGTATTCCTGCTGGATGCAGTCCTTTAGCAAGAAATCTAGTTTCGTTGTTTTACTCAGCTTCCCAAAAAGATGTTGACATTTAATTCTACAAAAGTGGTTCTTGATTTCCTTCGGACTGTTATCAAGTGCACGTGACATAAGAACTTAAGAACATAAGAAATTTAGACAGAAAAAAGACCACGGTCTATCGAGTTCTTCTTCCACCTTCCTGGCGGTCGCTTGCACATATGTCCCAAACTCCCTATGTGCTGTATCCCATAACGTTATTTCCTAAAAGAAAACTATCTAATCTGTGTTTGAAGGAATCAACATTTCCTGCTTCAACCGTCTCCCTCGGGAGCCTGTTCCACAGGTTCACTATTCGCTCACTGAAATAGTGTTTGCGTAGATTGGTTCTCAATTTACCCCCTTCAATCGCAGGCTGTGTCCTCTGATTTTACTATACTGAATAAGTTGAAAAGGCTTTTTTTTTCGACCTTTCCTGGTTTAAAATTGAATATCGTATGTGTGTCTGTGTCCATGGTTACGGATCTACAACATTTGCTCACAGGTCTGCCCAAGAACGTGATAAACTTTGGCAGGAACAAGTGCGGAAAGATGACGAGGAACGACGCAGGAAGCTCCAGGAAGAGGAAAAGCAGAGGCAGGAAGAAGTTTCTCAACAGAAAGAGATCGAGAACAAAAGTAAACAGGAGAGACGGGAAATATTAAACCGAATGTTCCAGCAACATCCAGAGCCACCGAAAGAGCAATCTCAGTCAGGCTGGCAGGCATCAGGTTAGATAATATATAATAATCCTTGCATTTGGTACAGCGCCTTATCATGTCTTCGAGACGTCTCAAAGCGCTTCACAGAATACACTGTAAAGTGAATTGACTAGATTTGTGGGTGAAACACAGCAGCCAATTGTGCACAGCAGCATCCCACAAACAGCCGTGGATTGAGTAACCAAAGTGATCCGCCAATTGACTAACAACCGGGTTCCTACCTACCTCTAGGTAAACAGAGGCATGTGGAGTAAGGAAACTTGCCCAACATTTCACCCTGCCCGGGATAGAGCCCAGGTCTCTCGCTAGCTAGACGAGCGCTCTAACCATTGAACTACAGGACTCCTGTAAATTATAAAATTGTCTGCATATTTCGTGGGCGTAAAATATCCATTTTATTAGCAATCTTTCAATGCAATACCATACAAATTTAAATTCACCCAGCGCCTTGGGATGTCCTCCTGACGTGAAAGGCGCTATACAAATGTAAGTTGTTGTTTAGTGCCTGTCTTAATGTTAGTGACAGATTAGTTGAATGGATCTTTACCAGTATCGCGGCTCTTAAGAGGGCTGCTATCCTATCCTTGTCAGGCAGGTTCTACATACCTTTTCAGGGAGTGGGCTTGACAGGACAAAAGTCCTTTACTCTTTGCACGTTTTCTTGCATGAAAGGATTGGTAATAAGAATCCTTGCAGTTGATATAGCGCCTTATCATGTCTTCTAGACATCTCAAAGCGCTTCACAGAATTGAATTTGTGTTTTGTAGGTGAAACGCGGCAGCCAGTTGCGCACAGCAGTAACCCACAACAGTCATGGATTGAGCGGCCAATTTATTATTATTATTTTGAAGGAATTATTATCCCCGGAAAAGCAATCCGCCAATCGACTAACAACCGGGTTACTGCTAGGTAAACAGTGGCTTGTGGAGTAGGGAAACTTGCCCAACGTTTCGCCCTGCCTGGGAATCGAACCCAGGTCTCTCGCTTGCAAGGCGAGTGCTCTACCACTGAGCTACAAGGTTCCACGGGACTTGACTGAAGTTCACCGTCTTGCCACTGAGGACACAATTTGTAAAATAAATTCCATTCAATGCATTTTTTTTCCTCCTCTTTATCTGGATAGACAAACCGAGCCCTGTGAATATTGATCAAGATGGTGTTAAGGTGGTGTATTACAGAGCATTATATCCATTTGAAGCTCGGAGTCATGACGAACTAACTATTCAACCTGGGGATGTAATAATGGTAAGTGAAGCACATTCTCTCTTTTCCTCTTTCCTTCTTTCTTTTCTGAAATGCAACGGTTTATGTGTTCAGCACGGAATTGAAGTCCTAAACTTTGGTAGTTGAATGCGTTCTAACCCGTTTAATAAGGATGGTAATTATTCCTAACAAAGCTCTCTATTTCATTGTGATTAGGATCAGATTCATGCAGCATGGGATAGACTGCATGCTGTTAAAATTATTAGTTCTGGTAATCCACATAAATATTTGTCACAGCGGGCTGGTGTGGGTCCCAAGTTTTTTTTTGCACTGGATATTTTGCATCATTATTTTTAGTTTAATGAAACTATCTACATTATGTGTCGCACATTCTGCATTTTTCTAGCAGTACATTAGATTTGTTTTATCTTTAACAATTTGCCAAACATTTTAAAAAGATGCAAAGTATTCAAAATGTATTTAGGTGATGTACTTAAAACGATCTGTGTTCAAAAAGAAGCATTGGAATTGGAACAAAATTTGGTACCTGCACACCTAGGTTTTAATGTGCAAGAATCTTGCATGTGGGGGTTTGAGTAGATACAAGGCATTTGATTCTAATATTTTATAATTTGAAAGGATACTGGATCGTCTCTGAATACAACTTTCCCATTTTCTTGGTTTTATAGTTATGGGAATGCGAAGTAGGAAGGTGGATCTGGATATGTAGCAATCTGACTGGCAGTGATTGTATTGCAGAATTACAAACTGAACAAATCCATTTTTTTTTGTTCACCCGGGTGTCACCATTGCGTAAGACTCTCCAAACCAAACTGAGATTTCCATGCTTCCCACCTACACATGAACATCTTAGAGATAAATTGTTAGATTGAAATGCGCTCTCTCTCTCTCTCTCTCCCTGGAGGACTGCATCCTGCTTACCTAATTTCGGAAAGAATTAGGCGCAGATTGGGGCAACTGCTGGAGTCTAACCAGCTATAACTTGCTTGCTATTGATATCGCTATCTGGCAAGTTTTCCTGCCACTTGTCCAGCTAGGACCACCCTACCCGTAAGGGCTTTGACTTGCAGGGTTGACAGGAGCTGAGTGGGATGACTCCCAGCCCCTAATGACTGGTCGGCTCTTCCAGGTCCTGAATAAATCAAATGCACTGACATTAGCTGAAGGTTACATAGGGAACCTTTAAATTCACGAATGTTATTTAATCATTTAAGAACTGCAAGTATAACCTTTACGGAGTAGTATCTTTCATCATGACCCAAATCTATGACGTAAAGACGGAAAAGGCTAATGGGACATTGGCATTCACTTAAAAAATAAACAACTCAGCTCTTAAACCAATGGTATATTGTAGTAAAAACAGGTCTGAAGGTCGCTACAGTATATTTTTAAACTGGTATATAATTTGGTCCAAATCAAGGCTTGCATTTCTTATGCTGTCTTTGTCCATTGGAGGGCGGTGTCAGGCCTATGTGGCTCATTTGTACGTGAGGAGTGGGCTGGGGAAGGAAAGATGAGGCAAAACACGGCCAAAGAGATAGGTCTTGAGATGGACCTTATCTGTTCATCGGGCAGTTGTGTTCTAAGCAATGATAAATAACCAGATACACTTTGCACAGGAGAAAATGATCCTGTCCCTCCCGCCACCCCTCCGCTCCCTCCCCGCCGTGCGCTTAATCTTAATGAAGGCAAAAGTTAACAAAAAGGGTTAAAAAAAGAAGATGCTTAAAAATTTGTGCTGTGACAAATTTATACTTCCCATTTCTCCCAAACCCACCCTAACCAACTTGATCGATCCGTGATTTATGCATTTCGATACCCTGGCCGTACTTTTCTTCATATTTTTATTTAAAAGTTGCTCGTGACGTTTTATAACTCTGTTTGACTCCCTTTTTGATGTTTTGCTTTCCCGCTGGAGGTTAAAAGGGAATGGGTAAGTTGGCTTCGGAATTGTCAGGGTTCTCTCTACATGTGCATCTGTTTTGTCCTTGTACTTCATCCCTGCACTGGAAAGACCGATGAAAGACCTATCATGTCTGCTTGTCACGACTGTTTCATTGGCACTTTCCACATTCATACAACCATGTCAATCACCGGCACAAGGAAATATTTTGTGACCGAAATGCAATAACTCGTGCCGCGATACGTACCAGTGTTGAATCGGGCAACAGTTCAGTTCAATTTGTGTCTGCGCTGTGTGTTAAAATGTGTCGTGCCATAATGGCAATGGGTTCCAGATCCGAACAACTCGCTATGTGAAAACATTTCTCCTCATCTCATCACCCCTCCGGTTCTTTTGACAACAATCTTAAATCTGTGTCCTCTGGTTACTGGGGGAAACGTTTTCTCCCCATTTACTCTACAAAATCTCCTCACAATTTTGAACACCTCGATCAAATCTCCTCCTTAATCAATCTCCTCTGCTCCATGGAGAACAATATCTGTCGCTGTGAAACAGAGGCAACAAGAGTCGTCCTCCCTGTTACAGCTGTTCAGATGCAGGGAAGTGATTTGTGGATCTTCGTACAGGAACCGGTACCATAATTCTCTATAGGGAAACTATCTTCCTCTGGTGGGTGGGGGAATCCATAACAAGGGGGCTTCATCTTAAAATTAGAGCTAAGCCATTTAGGAGTGAAATCAGGAGGCATTTTTTTCACCCAAAGGCTAGTTGAAATCTGGAACTCTCTCCCCCAAAAGGCTGTGGATTATGGCTGGATCCATTCACATTTTCAAGACTGAGGGGGATAGATGTTTGTTAGGTCAGGGTATCAAGGGACACGGGGCAAAGGCGTGTAATTGGAGTTGAGGTACAGATCAGCCATGATCTAATAAAATGGAGTAACAGGCTGAATGGCCTCCTCCTGTTCCTAATTGCCATGAGTTTGCCTAATTAATGATGGAGGTTTAAGAATGGAAATCACGCTGATAATAAACAAAGGATTTCCTTGCAAGCAAACCAATTGCCATGGCTTCAATCTCTGTACTCTCTATCTCTATCCCCCAAAACTAGAGGAGGTAGCTGACCAAGATGGCCAGAGGAGAAACTAATCATCCTTTCAATCTTATTTATCCGTACAAAAATAAAAACCGACACTTCCAATAATCAAAATGGCCTCCATTTATTTCATTGTTTCCCTCCCCCCTCCACGTTCACATTGAACGATTTGGTGATGGCACTGGTTTAAAGAATGTCATTTTTAGACCCTTAAGAGTAAGGTGGCTTTTAGTCCTGATCAGGAAACTAAATCTGATGAGGATGTAATGGGAATGAGTTCATTGACGCATGTGAATGAAGTTTGCCTGATCGTGCTGTGACTTTTATCTCCTCTGCACGTTCCGAAACCTCAGGCCGTATTGTTTATCCTGACGCTTGATCTTGCATGCCTTCGTGCAGCTTTTCCAATTAATCTGCATTGTTGAGATCGAAACTTATTTGGGATTAATTGGAATATTGGCAGCAGGTTTCCCAGCTCTTCCAACTCAGTAGTCCTTTTATTAAAACAAAATATTGCACTGCAGATGCTGGAAATCTGAAATAAAAGAACAGAAGTCATTGGCAACCAGCAGCAAGTCAGGCAGCATCTATGGAGAGAGACAAATTAGTTTACGTTTCAGATCCATGAAACGTTTAGTTTCTGTTCTTAGTTTAATATCGACGAAAAGTCATAGACCTGAAACGTTAACTAATTTTCCTCTCTCCGTAGATGCTGCCTGACCTGCTGTGTTTGCAGCGACCGTGCTGTTTTTAGTCCTTTTAAAAAGTTGGGGCATGTTTTTTTTTGCACAAAATATATTCGCGATGGTGAATTGAAAACAGTTTTGTTTTTTGTTTGTGAAAATGTGAACCCTGGCGACTTGGGAGTGGGAAGGACATGGAGGAAAAGAGAGGATTTTTTAAAAAAAATTACACAATTAATGTTTGCTGCAAAATTACACCACATTCCAATTTCATAATCTGAATTTTTTAATTAATTTTTTAATCTGAATAGGACGTGGTTACTGATGTTTCGGTGTTCTTTCAAGACAAACGCCTATATATTTGTGCTCCCAATATATTGAATTGCTGCATTTTTATTTAAAAAGAAAAAGTATGTGAATGACGGGCAGAAATCTGAGGCATAGTTTAAATGTGTTGAACTCCTAAATTGCTGGCGAGAGTTGTCAATTAAGGATGACACACTTTGAGTGATGGTTCTAATACAATAATATTCCTTGCATTTGATACAGCGCCTTATCACGTCTTTGAGACGCCTCAAAACGCTTCACAGAATAGACTGTAAAGTGAAGTGACTGCGTGTTTTGATGCAGACTGTCGAGTGCATCTTGCAACCTTGTCACGAGAGTGTGTGTGTGTGTCCGTGTATGTGTTTACAGCAGTTTTCAAATAGGGAGAAAAGGGTCATGTTTATCTGATACTTATTTCTGTTTGATTGACTAAAACGCTGGTAACTTGCTTTCAAACAGGTGGATGAAAGCCAGACCGGGGAGCCTGGCTGGCTCGGAGGTGAACTGAAAGGAAAAACAGGATGGTTTCCCGCTAACTATGCGGAGAAGGTGCCAGACAGTGAAGTGCCTCCCAATTTGCATCCAGGACCCAAGCTCACGGGAAAGATCGCCCCCCATACTGTGGCTGCCAGCGTGGCTCAGCCAGCAACGGAGTCTACCTCCTCCTCCTCCTCCTCCAACTGGGCAGATTTTAGCTCCACGTAAGTGCAAGTTTGCTCTTGGACGTTAATGTCTTTGCTTAAATTCTGGTGTCAGCAACAGCTTTATAATACTACTATTAATAATAATAACCTTTGCATTTGATACAGCGCCTTACCACGTCTTCGAGACGTCTCAAAGAGCTTCACAGGATATACTGTGAAGTGAATTGACTGTATATTTGCAGGTGAAACGCGGCAGCCAATTCGCACAGCAGCGTCCCACAAACAGCCGTGGATTGAGTGACCAAATTACTATTATTATTTTTTTTTTGAAGGGACTATTACCCCCGGAAAAGCAATCTGCCAATCAGGTCCATCCAACTTCACAAGATTGTTTTGACACATCTTTCCTGTGGAATTCTGTAGCATATTGGTTAGAGCGCTCGCCTCGCAAGCGAGAGGACCTGGGTTCGATTCCCGGGCAGGGCGAAACCTTAGGCAAGTTTCCTTACTCACGCCTCTGTTTACCTAGCAGTAAGTAGGAACCCGGTTGTTTGTCGATTGTAGGATCGCTACATATATATACTGTATATATATTTTCAGTTTATACATTATTTTAAAAAAATATATAAAATAAAATGTACAGTCAATTCACATTGTAAAGTGCTTTGAGGTGATAATGCGCTATATCAAATGCAAGGATTATTCTTATGTATTTTTTAAAATAATAATAATCCTTGCATTTGATAAAATACCTTATCACGTCTTCAAGACGTCTCAAAGCACCTTTCAGAATATACTGTAAAGTGAATTGACTACATTTTGTGGGCGAAACACAGCAGCCAATTGCGCACAGCAGCGTCCCACAAACAGTTGTGGATTGAGTGACCAAATTATTATTTTTTTGAACATATTATTGTTTTTATTATTAACTCCTTTTATATATCCTCAGCTGGCCCACAACCAGCAATGAGAAAAACGAGAGCGATAACTGGGATGCCTGGTCTACCCAGCCTTCACTCACTGTGCCCAGTGCAGGACAACACCGTCAAAGATCAGCCTTCACCCCCGCAACAGTCTCCGGATCCTCTCCCTCTCCTGTCCTGGGGCAGGTAAATACAACAGCAACTTTTGTCTATATAGCGCCCTTCCTGTGGGGTAGCATCCTGGAGCACTTGACAGTGGCGGAGTCTGAAGATATTTAGGCTGGATTTGAAAGTGGGGAGAGAGGGGGCGAGGCGGAGGCATTACGGGAGAGAGTCTCAGAGCTCGGAGCATAGTGGCTGAAGACAAGGTCACCGATGCTGGAGCGGAGGAGGGGGTGAGGGACAAACTGGGAACCAGAACCGGAGTCAGCGGGTGGTGGAGATGGGGGGTGGGGGAAGCAAATTGGAGAGATAGAGAGATGCGAGGGCATGAAGGGATTTGAAAACGAGTGAGAGGATCTTGAAGTCGAGCTAACTGCATGAGCATGAATGTACATCCTCGAATTAATACAACAGGGTTAATTATTTTGTGGTGGGGGGTGGGGGGGCGGGATTGAAATGTGGGGAAATCACAGAATTAGCAGGAGCTTTCTTTCACTTTTTGGACCTGGATATAAATGATAAATGATTGCTTTTCTGGGGATAATCCCTCCAAAACTAAATAAATAATTTGGTCACTCAGTCCACGGCTGTTTGTGGGACGCTGCTGTGCGCAATTGGCTGCCGCTTTTCGCCCACAAAATACACAGCCAATCCACTTTACAGTGTATCCTGTGAAGCGCTTTGCAAGTCTCGAAGACGTGATGAGGCACTGTATCAAATGCAAAGATTATTATTAAAGCTTCCTCTCTCCTGCTGGCTATAAGGATCTCAACTGCAATGAAGGTTAGAAATCAGCACAATAGCCATCGTGAAACTGGTCATAATTCGACCTATTTGGGCAATGAATTTGCAACTTCACTCTGCCCGTAACTGATGTGTGACAATGTTCACTGTTGTAAGGTTAGAGTTCGTATTGTATTTTTTGCGAGGAAGGTTGAGACACCTCGAAGCTGTGATGGTAAGACAGTGGGCAGACTTGGTATTCTGAATAGATTAGATCAAATGGGGCTAAAGCATCTTTTTTTCAGCCAACAGCAGCTTGCATTCATGTGACTCTGTTCACCCCGGATAGAGTCTTGGAACGTTTAACAGTGACAGAGCTTGATGCTGAGCCAAGGAGAGAGGGGAGGTGACGGTAGACATGTTCGAAGAGGAAGGTCTTCAGGTGGCAGGGAGGGATTGAGGCAGAGAGTTCCAATGTCTCGGGTGAATTGACTGGGGAAAAAAAGCATGTCCACTGATTGTGGAGGGGAGGGGGCGACGAGGGATGAACAGGAGACCGGAGCCAGCTCTGCGAAGATGTTCGGTGGAGGAGAAGGGAGGTGCCAGGGCACGAAGTGGACACTGGCGAGGAGGTCATTGGGAAAATCGAGGTGGGGTGTGATCCATGCGTACATAAGGGTTTCAGCTGCTTTTTTTTCCCCTCTCTCTCCCCCTTTCCCCCCCATCCTCCACCACCATCACCACCACTGGCCATTTTCTGAATATACAACAGGGTGAAAAGGTTGAAGGGCTTCAAGCACAAGCACTGTATCCTTGGAGGGCTAAGAAAGATAATCACCTCAACTTCAACAAGAATGATATCATCACAGTTCTAGAGCAACAGGACATGTGGTGGTTTGGAGAAGTTCACGGACAGAAGGGCTGGTTCCCCAAATCTTACGTGAAGCTCATTTCAGGACCCGTGAGGAAATCCATCAGGTAGGATTTCTGGAAGTGGCGGCAGCTTTGAATCCTCGGCTACTCTAGCCAGCCACTAGGACGTGTGAGAGTGTGTGTGTGTGGTGTGTATGTGTGTATCAGTCTAGTTCCAGTTGAGTTTCTCATTGCAATCGGGAGCTCACTGTACTAAGGATTTGTGGCCACGTCTGACTACACCAAAGAACTAAGCCACATGAAATGAGTCCTTCGCTGATTGTGGAGTCCTGTAGCTCAGTGGTTAGAGCACTCGCTTCGCAAGCGAGAGGACCTGGGTTTGTTTCCCAGAGCAGCGCGAAATGTTAGGCAAGTTTCCTTACTCCACACACATGCCTCTGTTTACCCAGCAATAAATAGGAACCCGGTTGTTAGTCGATTGGCGGATCGCTTTGCTGGGGTTAATAATCCCTTCAAAATAAATAATAATAATTTGGTCACTATTCAATCCACGACTGTTTGTGGGGACGCTGCTGTGTGCAATTGGCTGCCGTGTTTCGCCCACAAAATATCCAGTCAATTCACTCTACAGTATATTCTGTGAAGCGCTTTGAGACGTCTCGAAGACATGATACAGCACTATATCAAATGCAAGGATTATTATAATTATTACTATTCAAAAAAATGAATCAATCATTGATCTGTGCACACACGTTTCCTACTTCTAATAGTCAGCAATGGAGGTTAGAATTGGATCACAGGATTTCAGGACTCTCATCTGATCCAGTGACTTGGCGTCCCTCACAGGAATTTGCACTCATAACCCAGGCTGACTGTCCAACGCAGTACATTATTGTTATCATCCTTTGAATGAGATGTTTATCCAAGGACATGTCGGTCTGGTTTGGAGCATTGCAAATTCCCATGATATAATATTGAGAAACTGGGAGTGTTTCCTGGCATTCTTGGCAATTATTTGAATTTTAAATTTGCAAAAAGCAGATGTATTCATTGCGTTGCTATCCGTGGAAGTTGCTAATGCAGATCGAATGTCATTTCGCCAACAAAATACAGTCAATTCACTTTACAGTTTATTCTGTGAAGCGCTTTGAGACGTCTTGAAGAAGTGATGAGGGCCTATATCAGATGCAAGGATTATTATTATTTATCTCCATAACTACTGACTTTGTAAGAAGCGCTTTGAGGCGTATCAATCTGACATGGTTATGTCCAAATCCAAACACAATCTTAATTTTAGTTTAGATAGCAAAGCCTCAAAGGTCATCAAAGCTACCTTCTTGACCAAGGAACAGTATGTGCCTTTGAACACACTGTTCCACGAACATCGAGGGGAGCGGGGAGTGATTTGCAATGTTTGTGTGGATGATAATTCGGGAGAAAGTTGGGGGTAAAAAAACTTTCAAAGTGCAGCTATATTCAATAACTGTTATAATCAGATTTAAAATATCAAATGCAAGGATTATTATTATTATAAATGCTTTAGCATTTAAATACAATTTCCAGCCACCTCAGCTTTAAACCTTGCTGAATGGAAAATAACTGCTTTCGTTTACATTCAGTAAATAATACTATTTGTGTTTGATACAGCGCCTTATCACGTCTTCGAGACGTCTCAAATCGCTTCACAGAATATACTGTAAAGGGAATTGACTATATATTTTGTGCGCGAAACACACCAGGCAATTGCGCACAGCAGCGTCCCACAAACACTCGTGGATTGAAGTGATCAATTTATTATATATTTTTTGAAGGAAATTACCTCTGCCAATCGACTAACAACCAGGTTGCTACTTACTGCTGGGTAAACATGTGGAGTAAGGAAACTTGCTCCAACATATCGCCTCGCTGGGAATCGAACCCTGGTCTCTCGCTTGCGAGGCGAGTGCTCAAGCCACAAAGAAGCCATTAAAAATATTTTTTTTTACTGTCGTTTGCTTCCCTCCTTGAAGTGTGGATTCTGCATCTTCCGACAGCCCGCCGAGCCTGAAGAGGATAACCACATCACCGTCAAAGCCAATACTCCCACCACCACCACCACAGCCAGAAGGTAAGCGCACAACTGCTGGACTTCAGTGTATTCAGGAAATACAATACCATACAAAATGACATTTGTACAGCGCCTTTCACGTCAGGAGGACGTCCCAGGGCGCTGGACAGTCAGAGATTTGGACCTAACACCACTGTAATGTAGTTAGTGACCACACATTGCACCAGACAACCTGGCACTTTGACTCACCTTTTAATGTCATTTCATTCCTTCTTTTAAAGAAAATCATAACATTCACAAATACCAATATATGAAATGGATGGTTTATTTTATAATAATCCTTGCATTTGATAGAGCGCCTTATCAGGACTTGTGAACGCCTGTAGCTCAATGGTTAGAGCACTCGCCTCGCAAGCAGAGATTTCCGGCAGGGCGAAACTTTGGGCACGTTTCCTTACTCCACATACCTGGTAATAATCACTCTAAAATAATAATTTGGTCACTCAGTCCATGAATGTTTGTGGGACTCTGCTGTGCACAATTGGCTGCCGCGTTTCACCCACAAATATACATTGAATTCGCTGTACAGTCTATCCTGTGAAGCGTTTTGCGACGTCTCGAAGACATGAAAAGCGCTATATCAAATGCAGGCATTATTATTATTATCATGATCGTCGAGACGTCTCAAAGCGCTTCACAGAATATAGAGTTTCATAGGCGAAAAATGTAAATGTGGAGTGATTATTACTGTGGCATTTGAATTATTGCTTTTTTCTCAATTGCCTTGTTAAATTATAAAAATTTGTCCCAGCTGATAAACTTGAAAGCACTGATAGTCAATTCGCTTCACAGTATATTCTGTGAAGAGCTTTGAGACGTCTCGAAGACGTGATAACACCTTACCTCAAATGCAAGAGTTATTATTGTACTATGCAGCATTCAAAACATTTAACACTGATGTCAGTACACTTAACACTGATGTCAGTACAGTTAATACTGATGTCAGTACTCTTAATACTGATGTCAGTACATTTAACACTGATGTCTATCAGTGTCTCCCTGCATTCCATAATGCCACGTTGCTATTCCAATGTACTTCAAGATCCTCACACTCATTTTCAAATCCCTTCATGCCCTGAAACCTCCCTACCTCTCCCACCTGCTTACCCCCCAACCCACTGCCTCCACTCGTCCCTCGGTGGCCGCGCTTTCAGCCGCTACGCCCCGAAACTCTGGAACCTTCTCCCTTTATCCCTTTATCTCTCCGCCTCGCCTCTTCTTTCCCTGTCTTCAGGTCACGCCTGAAGACCTTCCTCTTCGACCGTACCTACGGTCACCTCCCCCCTCCCCCCGGTTCGGAGTCGTGCTCCGCCACTTGTCAAGCGCTCTGGGATGCCGAGGCCCGCTATATAAATGCAAGCTGCTGTTGTACTGTGTGCGCAACACCGAGATCGCTGTTAGCAGCTGCAGTGAGCCGAACACTTCTGGTAATAACCAGGAAAATAGAGGGCTTCGATCTGTTTCTTTTTGCAAAGAAATCTCAATAATAACGATATTCTAAATGTGGGAAGAAGATAAGTCAGATTCCTGCAGTCGAAAGTGAATTCATAAAGTAGATATCAAATGCAAGTTTATTATTACTATCGTTCTGCTTTGAACAAATAGAAATCCGTAAACTTAGTCCATTATATATACTGTATACCTGTCACCAGGAGCCTGAATTTGAACCCATATTTTTCAAGTCAAATGTAATATTTTAAGTCCGTTTAAATGCTTTTTTCTACGCTTAAAAATATTTTGCTGGGTTGAAGTGCAAATTCAAAACAAAATTACATTTGCGTGGTGCCTTTCACGTCCAGAGGAGGTCCCAAGGCGCTGGACAGTCAGGGATTTGGACCTGAACTGGAGGTCGGGATCATGGAGGGTAGGAGGGTGACCGAAGCCTCGGTCGAAGAGGGAGGGTTTTGAGACACGCCTTGAAGGAGGCGAGGGAGGGAGGGAGGTGAAGGGACTGTGGGATGGAGTTCCAAAAGGTGGGGGCTGAAGGCACGACCGCCAATGGTGGAGCTGGGCGGGGGACGGGAGACATGGAGCAGGCTTAAAAGGAGCGTAGGGAGCAGACAGGTTGATATGGGGTCAGCAGGTCGCAGATGTAGTGAGGAGCAAAGTCGTGGAGAGCCTCGAAGGCGAATGGTGGAAAGTTTAGTTACTGTGGATTGACAAATGGCAGTACTTGAACCCCAGCCTCGCTCGGTGTTTCTTCATCTTTCATAATAGACCGTTCAAGCCACACTCAACGTTTCCCGGTTCATTTTACCTGCAAATCTCCTTGACGCGAGAGATTATTTTGCGGAAATTGAGTCCCGACCCGAGTGCAAAATTGGAACCGAAATGTAGCATTTTAACCCGGTCTGTCGGCATTGCGGTACGCATAGAGAGTCACGTTGTTCTGCTGCACGTGGAGTTAACCTCCCAGCCATTACGTTCAAACAAAATTGTTTTAAGATCCAGCTTTGTATTCTGCTTTTAATCTTAGCTGCGCTCCCTCTCTCGTCTCCTTCAAGGCCCGACTCATGACCCTCCTTTTTGACCGTGCCTCCAGCCGCCCTCCTAGCCCCTCCGCCCTCCCTCACCCCAATCCTGACCGACCCCCTCCCCCCCCGCCCACTCGCTCAGATCCTGATCCCCGACTGTTTTTCAAGTTAAATGTAATTTTTGTTTTTTCGAATATCAAGACCTGAATTGACCAGCGAGCTGGTTGTATGCTAAAGTAAATCTTACCTAATAAATCACACAAAGTCTAATGTATTCTGAAAAAGCGCTGTGTCTGTCTATCTGTGTGTGTGTGTGTGTGTCTGTATGTGTCTGTCTATCTGTGTGTGTGTGTGTGTGTCTGTATGTGTCTGTCTATCTGCGTGTGTGTCTGTGTGTTTGTCTATCGTTCTGTGGTGTGTTGTCTTAACCCAGAAAATTCAGGTCACGCTAAAACACTTTGAATCCATATACTTAATTTACCTTCTTTTGGTACAATCTGTTGGTTGCAAATTACTCTGCTGCTAGCTTGTGGTTGCCATTTCTCCTCATTTTCATGTACGTCACTTTGTTTGGATGGACTCCTGTGGCCACGTCACGCTGCTTCATCGCTGTCCTGTTCTTTCCTTTGTTTTCTGACGTCTGCTGTAGGGCTTTGCAAAGACGAGGTCTCTTCGCCTCGACCTCCCTCTCTCCCGAGAAAAGGTACAGTNAAAAAATAACCCTCACACTTCTTGTGAAGCAGTTGTGATTCGCTCAATCAAAAGAAATTGAACAGACAATCTGGTTTAGATTCAAAAGCAGAGTCTCGGCTCTTGGCTTCGCATGATACGTTTTTATTTGGGTGGGAGGCGAGGGGTTGGGAATGTTCAATCTTCTCGGTAACGTTTGAGGACTGAAAGGACGTACGTTGTAAAACGTTAGCACTTTATTTTGACTGCTTGGAATGTTAACCGCACTTGGAATTGGAAAAACGTAGGAAATTAATTCGCCGTTCTTCAATCGAAAAGGGAATTTCATCGCCAGGACCCACCTTTATAACTTATTTAGCATTTTAAAAAAAACTTTTTAACGTTAGGTTCTTTTAGTTCTGTCCAGTCCAGTCAAAGGTATCGAAATATCCCTTGAACCTTGAGTCCTGCTTTTTTTGTGATGCTGTTTTACTGTTTGCCTGACTGAGAAGGATTCTGAGCCCATCAATGTGAATGAAGCCAGATGTGGTGTTTTTGGTTACGAGTTGCATCTGGTTAATCGTCTATGGGTTCAATAAAATAACTTTGTGTGTGGGGGAGAATTCTCCACCAACCACACTTTTTTTTTACCCTATTTCTTTACGTTTTGCTGAAAGTGGTGCCGTTATGGGTTCTACAGGATAGATATCTGTCCAATACCTCACCAAAGTGGCCATTCTTCATGTTTTTTCTTAGATGGAACTGTCAGGATGTTGAACCGTGAATCAACATATGAACCTAATCACATAATAATATTATTAATAATAATACTTGCAGTTGATATAGAATCTTATCACATTTTTGAGTGATTACCCTTTTAAAAATAAATAATAATTTAGTCACTCAATCCACAACTGTTTGTGGGGCGCTGTTGTGCGCAATTGGCTGCCACATTTCACCCACAAAATGTAGTTAATTCACTTTACAATATATTCTGTGAAGCACTTTGAGACGTCTCGACGACGTGATAAGGCGCTGTATCAAACGCCACGATTATCATTATGATAGGCACTAACACAGTGAGGCTTTTTGCCTAGTCATTCCGAGCGAGGTTTAATGCCAGGTCCATTAAGTGAAATCCAATTAGCATTGTTTTTTTCTTACCCAAAAACAGTCCAGGTGGCGATTATTTTTTTTTAATTTCGATATAAAATCCTGCCTTCAGTCCTCAAACGATTGCGTTTAATTGTTCTGTGTGAACCTATTTTAATTTCAAAGCAATAGAAAAAATTTCTTGTTGGTAAATAAAGAGCATTGGAGTCAGGTCACTTTCATCTCTTGGAGTCTGGTAGCTCAGTGATTAGAGCACCTTAGGTAAGTTTCCTCACTCCACACGCCTGTCTACCGAGGAACCTGGTTGTTAGTCGATTGGCAGATCGCTTTTCCAGGGATAATAATCTCTTCAAAAGATAATTAATTATAAAAGTAATAAATTGGTCACTCAATCTGACTGTTTGAGGGACGCTGCTGTGCTCAATTGGCTGCTGCATTTCGCCCCAAAAATATACAGTCAGTTCACTTTACAGTATATTCTGTGAAGTGCTTTGAGACGTCTCGACCACATGATGAGGTGGTGTATCAAATGCAAGGATTATTATTCTCTCCGTGCCAGTAACTGAAATCTGTTCAAGTGATTTTTTAAAAAAAAATAACTTTTTCTTCCTCGTCTGGAGGACTTATTATAGTCAGTTATAATAATAATCTGTTATAGTTATGCTGTAACTTATAATAATAATAGTAATTCTTGCATTTGATATATCACATCCTCGAGACGTCTCAAAACGCTTCACAGAATATACTGTAAAGTGAATTGACTTTTTTTGTGGGAGAAACGCGGCAGTCAAATGCGCACAGCAGCGTCCCACAAACAGTCAAGGATTGAAGTGACCAATTTATTAATGTTTTTTTGAAGGAATTAATACCCGGAAAAGCGATCCGCCGATCGACTAACAACCGGGTTCCAATTTACTGCTGGGTAAACAGAGGCGAGTGGAGTAAGGAAACTTCCCCAATGTTGTTCCCCGCTGGGAATCGAACCCAGGTCTCTCACTTGTGAGGCGAGTGCTCTAACCACTGAGCACTCCACATAATAATGATAAGTTGTTGTGCTTCAGCTGTTGTCCTGACTGGGAACAGCTAACTCAGCACAGACCCTCAAACCTGCAACTTTCTGGGCTGGGTGGCCTTGAGTGACACCTGTACCCGTTAAGCTTTAAGCGTTTCAAGCAATCGCAATCTTTTCCAGCTAACTTATGTGAACAATTGCTTCTGTGTGCTGCGAGCAATGTTTTTATCTTAAGTCATATTTGTGTGAGGGAGGAAATAGGACTTGTAATTTGTAGTCCTGTTTGCTTTCTGTCATATATTTGTTGTATGTAACGTCTTGCCTTTTCTATCTCCAAATGACACAGGGAAAGTGGGCAGGGCCTGGGGAGGAGGGTTAGGTTGAGTGTCTGCATTTACGTGGTGCTGGTCAATGTTACTCAAGGTCATATGATAGTGTTAGCTGAAACTGAAGCTTTCTCCTCCTCAATACATTTGCCCCTTTGCTGCATAACTGATTCTAGTTTCTATGGTGTAGGAGCGTGAGAAGTCAGTAATAACATAAGTGTAGATACAATGGTTTAACAATGTGCCTGAAACACGTCATTAAACAATAGATGATCCATCCAGTATTAATTTTATTAATTATTTTTTCTCCAGGATTAAGTCCCGGAGAGTTATTATCTGAAAGCGGGTTGGCCATTCAGCCCCTTTAGCCTGTTCTGCCATTCTATAAGATCATGGCTGATCTGTACCTCAACTTCAATTACACGCCTTTGCCCCGTATCCCCTGATGCCCTGACCTAAAAACATCTATCCACCTCAGTCTTGAAAATGTGAATGGATCCAGCCATAATCCACAGGGAGAGAGAGTTCCAGATTTCCACTGCCATTTGCTTTTNAAAAAAATGCCTAGCTCTAATTGTAAGATGATACCCTCTTGTTCTGGACCATTGATGGCCCTAAAGCTTTTCGCCTACAAAATATGCAGTCAATTCACTTTACAGTATATTCTATGAAGCGCTTTGAGACATCTCGAAGACGTGATAAGGCGCTATATCAAATACAATGATTATTAGTATTATAATAAAGCTCTGTGGATGCAGAGAGGCCATTAGCACCCCTTTGCTTTTTCTTACTGAGCAGCATTGACAAGGAAGGGGACAATATTCAATCCCAGCTCTGGCCACCTCCAGCAAACGGTGGCAATACAGACAGAGCTACAGTTCTCCCGAAACCTGCATTTGAAAGGGAGGTAGGCTGAAAACGACACTCTGAGCTACATTCACAAACCTGGCTCACGTGAGGACCATCCGAGTATTTGATGTGGTTCCTCGTTTACTTGTACCAGTTTATTCCAGAGAGACTGCTTTTTAATCAAGATGTTCTTTAGGAAAATTCTCATGTTTTTTTTAATGTCTAGTCCTCACACATAGTTCCTCCTTCATTCAGATTCCTCCTTGAGGGTTCCCTGTCCTTCGGAGATTTTGTTTGCGGCTTCTGGAGGAGAAGGTAATGCGTTTTCTGCCAAACGAAAACAAAGCAACCGAGGGCCTGTGTTTGACAAAGTAACATTGCAGCCATCAATTGCTGTTTTGTGTTTGTGTTTCGATCCCAGTGGGGGAATGTCAGTTTACTTTGCTTTGCCGTGTACATTACGTTGCACTCTTGTTCAAAAAGTAACCTTATGCTTTAGCTTTCCGTGTGCACTACTCACCTGAGCTTTCAATAGACCAAAGCGAAAGTTCACAGAATAAATAAAAATCTGATTTTCTTTTAACTGGAAATGTGATCTCTGCGATTCTCGAGATTCCAAATAAAACGGACGAATGAATCTTTTTTTTTTATTTTTAGCGAAATAAAAAGAAGCTTCGGGTTTTCCTCACGCAATTAAACTTTGCGTGGCATTCCCGCTAGCCTTGCAAGCAATTATTTTTCATTTCAAGTAAATATCCGATTCCCCTTTGAAAGTTATCATTGAATCTGCTTCCACTGCCCTGTCAAAAGGCAGTGCATTCCAGATCGCAACGACTCGCTGTGTAAAAAAACAAAAACAAAAATTCTACTCATCTCCCATCTTGGCTACTTTGCCAATTATCTTAAATCTGTGTCCTCTGGTTACAGACCCCCACACACACACACACACATTGTGAGAATGTCTCCTAACGGTACTTTAATGGCAGGGCACACAAGCTGGGTGGTGGGAGCCACAGAGGTAAGTCTGGAGGCAAGGTTTTGAACATGTGGAGAGGGGGGAGCGAGTCAGACAGACTCTGGGATGGAGTTCCAGAGAAATGGGGGCAGAACAGCTGATGGTGGAGCACATTGAGTGGGGACGTGAGGCTCAGTATTTGCTGAGCGAAGGGAGCAGCTGAGGGTTGCAGAGTGAGGGTGAAGCGAGATTTGTACCTAATCGATTTATAAGGTTTCCAGAATATAATTCAGGATAATTTTAGACCATGTAATAGTACAGAGCCCTAGTGGTAATAACAACGTGCATTTATATAGCGCCCTTCACGTAAAGTAGCGCCCCGGAGCACTTCACAATGGCGCTCCGGGGCCCTACTTTACGTGAAGGGCGCTATATATGTTGTCTGACAACAAGCCAGGGGGGAGAGGGAGGGGGGGTGGTGACCGTAAATACGATCAAAAAGGAAGTTCTTTAGGCAGAACTTGAAAAGGGGGAGAGAGGGAGCTAGGCGGAGGGAGGGATTGAGGAAGAGAGTCCGAGTTTTGGGGCGTAGTGGCTAAAGGCACGGCCACCGATGGTGGAGAGGAGGTGGCGAGGAACAAACAGGAGGCCGGAGCCAGCCGAGCGGGGGCAGCGAGTGGTGGAGTGGGGGGGGGTGGGTAAGTAGGTTGGTAGGTAGGGAGGTGCGAGGGAATAGTGATAACAATAGCTTTCCCGTTCATGGCTTGAAATGAAGATCACCAGGCACCAGGCTGAAAATTACCAGGCACCAGACAAGCAGCGAGACTGAACTTGTCAGACGACCAACATAATGGAAACTAAAGATCGATTTATCTGTAGAACCAAAAAAACACAGACAATTTGTGAGCCAGTCAATAATACTGACTCTTGTGAGCAAGTGGTGATATTAAAATTCTAACCGTGCCAGACAGTTACAAAAATATACTGGTCCACTGTCTTGGGACGTCTTTCCGACGTGATACGTACTGTATATATGTGTGTATATATATTATATATATAATTTGATGGTGATGGATTAAAATTGGATTGATCTGGTGTTTGAGTATCAGGAATGATCTTTTTCACTGGAAGTGTAACAAACCATTCAAAGTATGTTTGATGGTTAAGAATATCTAACCTGAATTAGGATCAATTAACAGCTTCAGTAGCCCTTTTTTTTTCCTTATCAAAATAATAATCATCCCTGCATTTGATACAGTGTCTTATCACATCTTCGAGACGGATCAAAGCGCTTCACAGAATATACAAAATATTTTGCGACGTCTTGAGGGCATCATAAGGCTCTATATCTAATACAAGGATTATTATTATTATAATAATATAATTCAATTCTTTTAATCCTTCGATAATTGCTGGTAACTTGAGATTGTTTTTGTCCACGCAAACCTGCTGCGCTTGGCATTTTCAGAATAAATGTATCCATTGAATCGCTTCTATTACAGAATACTTGGCCATGTACACCTATGAAAGCAGTGAACCGGGAGATTTAACTTTCCTGCAAGGAGATCTGATCATTGTGACAAAGAAGGATGGAGATTGGTGGTCAGGAACTGCTGGAGATAAAACTGGTGTCTTTCCTTCCAACTACGTCAAACAAAAGGACTCTGAGGTGCATTGTCTTGACTTCCTCCTCTCGCACCACCGTTTCTTTTGGTCGGTCAGCCGGGAGTCTTGCACGTGTGGAAACCTCTCACTTGTGTTTTTAAGAGTCTCCAAACTAAACTACTGACAGCTCTACTTACATGTGGTTTTGATTTGTCTGGTTTGCGCAGGGCTGCTCCTCTGTTTACCTAATCGTGGAGGGTTTAGTTAACAGGTTACTGAAAACTGAGGCTCTGGGATCTTAGATTGAACATTGGGAGGTGGAGTTTAACCAACAAACTACACAGTTTGCAAACATTGCAAACACTGGCAGGCAGCAGCGTTAAATCGTTTGATAATTAATAACCTTGACATTTGGTTCTAATGCCTTTCACGACGTGAGGTTCTCCCAAATGCTTCACAGGATATAATGTAATGTGCATATCTAACTAGCACCCCCTCATCACCATTAAGGGCTTTCACTGTTCAATGGAAGCCAAGCGGGAAGAATCCAAGCCTCAAGGACTACTGTGCACCTCCAAATCCCATGTGTTGTGCGTACACAGTTACAAAATTCTGTCGTATCTAATAGGTCCTTGTGTTTAAAGAGTGCAGTGCTCACTCCTTAGGAATTTGTGGTAGATAACAGGCGACTTCCCGATGTTAAATCGTTTGATAATTAATCACTTTGACATTTGGTTCTAGTGCCTTTCACGATGTGAGAGACGTCCTCCCAAATGCGTCACAGGCTATAATGTAACGTATTTTGGAGTGGTTTATTTCAGTGAATCCTAGCAGCCTTGTCAAATGAGATAATTCTGATGTCAGTGCTTTCCAAATCACATGAGCAGTGCACGGAAACCTGTTTTCCATCTTAACAGGCTTATCTCAAGGCTTTCTGGTGATGGTAAATGTAAGTTTCTATGTTAGGAAGAGCTTACTCTCTGGATTGATGCTTAGATTATATATTAAAACCACTGTTAATGTCCAGACGCAAACTATTTTTGTTGTACTCAGTGCACTCAATCTATATATATTGTTATATATAACCATATATTGTTACTGCAGGTACCTGGTCAGGCAGGAAAGACTGGAAGTCTTGGAAGAAAGCCAGGTAACTCTTTAAGCCATATTTAAAAACTAAATATGGACAAATAGGCAATTGACGTCTGAAATTTCAGACGGGTTAACCAGGATCTACATTTTTTTTATGAACACGGGCTAAATTGGATGCATTTCCCGTCTGCTTTGAGGACCCACGTCTTCAAATATGAAGTTAGGTCTGTTGTGTATAATGTAAAAATAATTGCATGAAACAACAGTTTACATTTAGAGTACGTTTATCTTGTTTCATAGACTTTAAACAGCTGGGAGCCCGAGCTGGTGGTGGGGGGGGAGAGGGAGAGAAAGTGTCCGAAAGTGTGGTTGAAAAGATGGGTCTAAGGCAGGTTTTGAAGGTGGAGAGGGAGTGGGCAAAGCTGAGGGTCTCCAGGATGGAGTTCTAGAGAACAAGGGAAGGCAGAATGGCTGAAAGCTCGATAGCGTAGGGGCAAGAGGTCACAAGTAAGGTGGGACAAGGTAGTGCAGGTATTTGAACGTGAGGATGAAGATCTTGGAAAACTATTCTCTGGCCATGTGAGGATGGAGGTGGTGGGCTTGTGAAGCCTGCTGCAGGAGAGGTCACTGGCTACAGAGTTCCGGCTGGTCTGTAGTTGCGTAGGGATAAACTGGGGATACCAGCGAGCAGGCCATTGGAATAATCAAGGCGAGATATGGATCAGGTTCTTTGACAGAGGTATTAACAACAGCAACAAATTACACTTGTACAGTGACCTTCACGTCGGAAAGATGTCCCAGGGTGCTGGTCATTCGGGGATTTTTGGACACGAGTTGGGGTCAGGCGGGGTGGAGGGCAGGGGTGAGGGTGGGTGGCCGAAGACACGGTCATAGAGGAAGGTCTTTAGACGGGGCTTGAAGGAGGCAAGAGAGGGGGTGAGGCGGAGGGATTGCGGGATGGAGTTCTGGAGTGTGGGGGTAGGGATACTGAATGCCCGACCACCGATGTTGGGGTGGGAAGTGCGGGCGACCTGAATCAGGCCGACAAGGGGAGGGAGCGGACAGGCTGATACTGGATTAGGAGGTTGGAGAGTTGAGGGAAAATCCGAGCAAGTGAGAGCCCAGATGAAGGGCTTGAAACTCCTCCTTCCCTTCTTCAAGCACTGAACCACCGGAAGGAAAAACTCGATTAGACTACTATTTTTTTCAAAAGTTGACAGGATACACATCCAGTAAAGTGCTGTTTAAATGCCATGTGTATTTTTTTTCCCTTCCCCCCCCCCCAACTTCCCCTCAGAAATTGCTCAAGTGATTGCACCTTACACAGCGACAGGCGCTGAACAGCTAACACTAGCTCCCGGTCAGTTAATTCTGATTCGAAAGAGAAACCCTGGAGGGTGGTGGGAAGGAGAGCTTCAGGTAGGAGAGCTCTGTGTTCATTGTTTTGTCAAGTCGTTGCAGAATGTTAAACACGAGAGAAATTGGTATGCATTGTACCGGCTGCAAATCTATTAATAATAATAATAATCCTTGCATTTGATAACGCCCCTTATCACGTCTTCGAGACGTCTCAAAGCGCTTCATCACAGAATATACTGTAAAGGGAATTGACTGTGTATCTTGTGGGCCAAACGCGGCAGCCAATTGCGCACAGCAGCGTCCCCACAACAGTCGTGGATTGAGTGAGCAGATTGAACGGTCACATTTGCTAATTGTTCACACCAGTGACTTCAGCTTTTCACTTCCGTACTAATCCACTTCAGTTTGGCTCAACAACCACAACAACAACTTGCATTTCTACAGGGCCCTTCAAGCGGGGCAGTATGTTGAAGTACTTAAGACGGTGGCGGAGCCAGTGGGGAGGGAGGAGGTGATCGTAAGAGGAAGGGCTGAATTGAGTTGATAACGCTTTTACATCAGGTCCGAAGTCTGTGGGTTCAAGCCCCGCGTCAGGATGTGAGGTGACAATCGAGGCTGAAACTCCAGAGCAGTACTAGGGGAACGCTGTTTGATTTGAGGTGCTGTGCTTCATATGAGTTGATGTGACGTCCTGTCTGCCTATTCAGGTTGACCCTAAAGACCCCATGACATTTGGGAAGGGAATTTTTACCCGGTTTGTTTAACCTCTAGATTAATTGGTCGATCACCTCATTACTGTTTGTGGGATTTTACTGGTGCAAATGGTATCCCAGATTTGTCACTGCACTTGACTGTCATGACCTCTGAAGGTTTTTGAGACGTTTATATGTGACGAGGTGCTATATAAATGCAAGGTCTTTGTTGATTTTACAAGGCTGCCTTATCAGTGGAGTCCTGTAGCTCAGTGGTTAGAGCACTCACCTCGCAAGTGAGATGACCTGGGTTCGATTCCCATTAGGGCAAATCGTTAGGCAAATTGCCTTACTCCACACACCTCTGTTTACCTAGCAGTAAGTAGGAACCCGGTTGTTAAGTCGATTAGCGGATCACTTTTCTGGGGGTAATAATTTCTTTTAAAAAAAAGTTATTGAAATAATAATTTGGTCACTTAATCCATACTGTTTGTGGGACGCTGCTGTGCGCAATTGGTTGCCGCGTTTCGCCCACAAAATACACAGTCAATTCACTTTACAGTGTATCCTGTGAAGCGCTTTGAGACGTCTCGCAGATGTGATAAGGCGCTATATGAAAAAAAAAGCAAGGATTATTGTTATTATCAACAGCACTTGTTTGCAGAACAATGTGAGGGTCCACATTAGCACATCGCATCAGTTTTCCATGTGGCCTTTGCTTGAGATTGACGTTTTTTGTTTGACTGATTAAGAAGCTAAAATTCCCTATTTCTCTAAGCCATGAAGATGCTACGTGAAATGAGTTTGGCTCCCGTTAAACTAGAACCAACTGCACACAGGCTTGCAGTGTAAATCCAAATTGGCAAATCCAATTTAAGGGTAGCTTATGTGTGCAGATGGAAACACTCGCATTCTGGGGTTCATCTGAAGTTAAAGTGAAGTTGGAAAAAAGTGGGAATGCTCCATGATTAAATACTGGGTGACACAATCAAAAAATATTCCAGTTTTCATAATAATTCTTGCATTTGATATAGCATCTAATCATGCTAGTCGAGACGTCTCAAAGCGCTTCACTGGATATCCTGTAAAGTAAATTGATTGTATATTTGCGGGCGTAACGCGGCAGCCAATTGCGCACAGCAGCGTCCCCACATACAGTCGTGGATCGAGTGACCGATTTATTTATTTTGGGGAGGGATTATTACCACTGGAAAGCAATCCACCAAATGACTTAGAACCAGGTTCCAACTTCCTGCTGGTAAACAGAGGCGTGTGGAGTAAAGAAACTTGCCTGAGGTTTCGCACGGCTCGGGAACCGAACCCGGTCCTCTCGCTTGTGAGACCAGCGCACTAGCCATCATGCTACGGGGGTTGAACTCCAGTTTTTCAGCTGGGGCATTTCAGGGTTTCTAATCAGATTGTTCTGTCCTAAAGGCTCGAGGGAAGAAACGACAAATAGGCTGGTTCCCTGCCAATTATGTGAAACTTCTGAGCCCTGGAACAAATAAAAGTACGCCAACCGATGCTACGAAACCTCAATCAGCCACTGCATGTAAGTTTAACCTTCACTTATAAATGCTTCATTCATAGCAAAGGTTACTGGTGGCATAGCTCAGTCTGGCAATAGAGAGACCCGAAGCTCTGGAATCTTGGAAGTTTCTAAGAACTCCGGTGGCCCGAAGATGCTGATTAATCCCCAGTGCGAGAGAAGACCCCTCGGCCTTTTGTGTCGCGTAAAATTTATCAACAGTCAGGGGACACACTTACCTACCTGTGTGCTCACGTGGTCAAAGCTGTGGAATCTCCCCCGCTGAGCGGCAATGTGAGCACATTGTGTAACTGCAGCTGCTCAAATCAGGTCACTCTCACCTTAGCACAATCAAACCAGGACATTGACTTTACTTCACTGAAATGTAACTTTATTTGGAAATGATGAAGTTGGGTGCGAAAAGTTGAGAGTGAGCAGGCTGAGCCAAGGCTCTAATCTATGAAATTCACAGTCAGGTCTCGGAAAGAGAGAGAGAGAGAGAGCGCGCGCGCGAAGAGAAAGAGAGAAGAGAGTAGTGTCGAAGTTGAGGTGATGAGGAGGGTGGGAAAGGTAAAGGAGGGGGTAATGCTTTTGAATTGGAAGTCTTATAGAATTATACAGCATAGAAGGAGGCCTTTCGGCCCATCGTGTCTATTCTGGTTCTTTGAAAAGAGGTGTCCAAATCAATCCCACTCCCCCCCATCTCCCACGCTCTCCCCATAGCCCTGCGAACTTGCCCTCCACAAATAATTATCTAATCATCATGGAGTATCTGAAATTGTTGCACAAAAGTCGTGGGTGGCTCGAGAGTTGAACTACTTTTTACTGTAGTTATATCTATAGACATGGCAGCCAATTCCTATCAGTTACGTCCCTCTACAAGTCATTGCAATGAAATGCACTACACAAATGTCGGTGCTGGACAATTGGTCTGCTTTGTATAAATTTAGATGAGACTGGAAACTCGTGTAGGACACTTGATGAAACTCTGCTCTTCATATCATGGAATATTTAACATCCACCTGAATCACCAGAACAACACCTGGGTTTCATGCCTCATGTCCCACCAACTGAGCCAAGCTGCAGGTTAAATTCTCTGCCCCACCAATTGTCTCCAGATAAATTCCTTGACCTCTCAGGGAAATGAGCTGCTGCTTTTAGTTACAGACGTACAGTTACCACATTCAACGGCAATTATCTGAGAAGTGTTTTGAGAGATTTTGCCATTAACTGTTGACCTCGTCAAGAATAATAATAATCAGAATAATCCTTGCATTTGATAGCGCGCCTTATCACGTCGTCGAGACGTCTCAAAGCGCTTCACAGAGCACACTGTAAAGTGTAGCGACTGCGTGTTTTGTGGGCGAAAACGCAAGAACTGTCAACAGTCATCATTGAATAATAGTCTTTATGGGGAAGGGGTGGGGTGCGGGCGCGGGGGCAAAGAGAAGGCATACATACGAGTGGAAATTAAATTTCACAACACTTGAAAGTTCCCTCCCATCTGGAGTTTTTCCAGGAGAAAAATTGAAAACGATTCCAAGGAACCAATTTCTTTTTTTTTTTTAACCTCCTCCCTCCCACCTCCTCCCTCCTTCCCTCCGGTGTCTTGACAGTGTTCCAAGTGATCGGTATGTATGACTACATCGGGCAGAACGACGATGAACTCGCCTTCGCCAAAGGCCAGCTCATCAGTGTCCTCAACAAGGACGATCCCGATTGGTGGAAGGGCGAGCTGAACGGGGTCACGGGTCTGTTCCCATCCAACTACGTCAAGCTGACCACGGACACGGACCCCAGCCAGCAATGTGAGTACCTCAACACTCCTTCCTGTCTTGTTTACCGCCTGTGTTTTTTTTAAGTCGGTACGGAAAAAAAAAACCCAACATGCAGCGTTGCTGTGATCCTGCCATGCTGCTGCATTTAATCGTCTCTTTGAAGACCTTCTGTTTAAAAAAAAAGCAGATTCTTTTCAGTTCCTGTCTCCCCATCGTGTCCCGTCCCGTCCCGTTCCCCCCACCCCCCTCCACCACCACCACCCCCTTTTTTTGATCCACCCACCCACCCCCACTGTGGTTAGCATGTCCATTTCTTGTTACATCCAGTATCATCTGATTTTTTTTGGAGGGGGAGGGAAGGGTGGGCGGGAGAGGGGGTGGTGGGGGGCCGGTTTGTAGGGTGTGGTGGGTGATGATGGGGTTTTTTTTTTTGCTTTGTTTCTTTCCTGTTTTTGTTTGTTCGTTTGTTTGTTTGTTTTGCATCTCGCTTCTTCCATTTGCCTGACTCATTTCCGAGCTCTCGGAGGTTTTTCGCACATGTTTTTTTGTTTGCTTATGTGTTGTGTTTTTTCCTCCTTTTTTTCTAGGAGCTCATATGTTGCCCACCCCCCTACTCAGGCTTGAAAGGCCCTCAAAGAGACCCACTATCCCATATCACTGCCAGAGGGATGTTGGGGAGATGCAGCAGCCTTGATCATGTGACTTCTGCATGATCATCATCTGCCTACTGACTAGAAGATCACTGCAGAGCAGTTTTACCTCATTTTTTTTTGCTTTAGTTGCATATATTCATAGACATANTTTTTCTAGTTTTTAAGTCGATTAAAAACCAATTGAAAAAAAAGGATAGTGGGTCCTTTTGTGGCTTTTGCTGAACTCCCTCCCCACCACCCTCCCACCCCCCCGCCCCGATCCCTTCCCCTCTCCCTCTCCCTCTCTGTTTATTATTTTATTTTCCACCCCCACCACCGACCGCCCGACACCCCTCGTATATATAAATCTCGCACATCTGTGTCTTTTTTAAACCATTAATTTAAAATGCTTGCTTGCCTTTTTTATTTGATTTTTTTGATTTTTATTTTTGTCTGTCTTGCAAAAAGACCCACTATCAAGGAATGCTGCATGTGGTATTAACTCTATCCCGGTTCGTCCTCTTTTTTTTTTTTTGAAAGCTTTTTTTTGTTGTTTTTTTTAAAAAAGAAAAGTTTTGTTTTTTAATTCATTGTCAGTTTTTTTTTAACTGAACAAATTCGTCCGTCACTCTGTCCAGTATTAAAAAAAAGATGAACGTCAAATAGCCATTCTGTGAAAGTGAGAGGTGCTCTTTTGAAGGGGGTTGTGTGTGTGGGTAGGTGTGTATGGGATGGGGGGGCGGGGAGTGGGGGGGGGATTAATGATTTGCTCAAGTACTTTCCGAATTGTTTCCCCGCTATGATCATCCGGCTTCACGTGAAACCCCATTCGGTTTGTGGTTTCATGCGAGCTGGCGCCAACCACCACCACTTTAGTGCAGCAAAAGGAAATGTATTTTTACGCCGTGCCCCTCTTCTCTCTCTCTCCCTCCCCCCTTTCCCCCCGCCCCCCCACCCCAGCACCTACCCGTCTCCTTCACGTGAAGTTTCCTTCTACATTTTCATTGGAAATTGGTCTTTTCAGAAAATGGTCATTCAAATAAATAAAACAACAAAATTCGTGACAACGAAGAATGTATAGAAAATGTTATCCTTACAATTAACTACAACGTTTACAAATTATAATCTTTTAGCGCATTGTATTTATACAAATTAACAGGATGGAGCTTTTACTTAAAAAAAAGACATTAGATTCCTTTCCGGCTTCATCTAAGTGTTGCCATCAGGTGCTGTAAGTATGAGGAAAACCTCATGCTTAAATGCATAGATTCATTTTAACAATAGTAATATGGTTTGAGGTCTTTCCATTTTATCCCGTCCCGTCTGTCTGCAACAACACTGTTTCTTAACGCAAGCAGTATTGTAAATGTTTGCTTTTCCTGAACGCACAATCAACTGAGGCTTGTTCAGCTTCACTTGCTTGTGGAAGTATTTCATTGTTATAAAGCATATAAATATATACAGTATATGGCATTATCAGCTTGAACAACTGGTTGGCACATTGCATCCTTGAACTACATGTACAGGTTAAAAAAACAAAATTAAAAGCTCCATTTAAAAATTGACCGTAATGTGTGTTCTCATTTCTTTACCTTGTGTGTAGGGAATTGGATATTTGGTGATTTGGGTCATTAAAATCTTAGTCATGATTTTCACTGTGGTTTATCAGTCTAACCCTCCCAGAGCTAGGGACATGTGAAGCGCTTTGAGACGTCTCAAAGACGGGATAAGGCGCCTATATCAAATGTAAGGATCATTATTATTTTTGACGAGCAAAATTGAAGTTACGATTTTATTTGAATTCGCCCAAATTCTATATTATTATTTTTAATTTATAAATTTCCAGAGGTGCAGAGTTGAGAGCAGATTTTTAGGACTACCAGGGGATCTATGGCCTGAATTCGCATTCTTATCCCGAAGACAGTGACTTAAAATTAAAGATTGTATCGAGTTTTAGAAATTCTTAACTTCAGCCTCAAATGTGAAATGAGCTTTTCCTCAAAATAACCGTTTTCCAGTTAGGTATATTCTGTAAGTATATGCTGTGAAGCGCCTTGAGACATCTCGAAGATGTGATAAGACGCTACATCAAATGCTTAAAGGATTAATGCTTAAAGGATTAATATTATTAGGTCTAAATTTAAGAATTTTGCAATATTCTACACTAACTTAAATTCGAAGGCAGTGACAGACAGTAGTGTTAGTTTCAGGCCAGGCATAGTGTTTTAAGTGGTTGCCATTGCCGGCAACATGACGTAATTTGACATTCAACGCATTTCCTGACTGTGGGAAGCTAGTTCAATGCACATGTTCCAACGGCTCACTGTATAATGTACATCCATGGTGTGCAATGCAATGCGAGCGCTGTAAATTTGATTTGCAATTTGATTTTGATCAAAATTGCAGCCTTCAGATTTCAGAACAAAATGTGGAATAAATTGACCAGTTGAATAATTTTTCTTCAAGCACTGTTCAACAGCTTGGCTCAAAGTTGTTGAGGTTTTTTTGGTCGGTTCCTGACCAATTGGTGAGCAAAGAATTTGGGTTGTTAAAATGCTTTATTGATTATAGTTTTTGATTCCTACTTTGGGATTGGAAGGAAGGAGCGAAGGTTCCAGGTTTGTTTCATGATGGTGTGCTTTAGAATAAGTTATTGGTATAGGAATGGAGGAATCATAGAATATTACTGCACAGAAGGTAATATTCTGCCTGTGTTGGCTCTTTGGAAAGGCCAATCAGTCTCACTCGCCTGCTTTTTCCCTATAGCCTTGCAAACTTTTCCTTTCCAAGTATCCATCCAATTCCCTGGAGCACTTGCCTCACAAGCGAGAGGACCTGGGTTCAATTCCCGGGCAGAGCGAAACATTGGGCAAGTTCCCTTACTCCACACGCCTCTGGTTACCGAGCAATTAGTAGGAAGCCAGTTGCTAGTCGATTGGCGGATCACTTTCCTGGGGGAAATAATCCCGTCAACAATAATAATAATTGGTCACTCAATCCACTTGTTTGTGGGACACTGTTGTGCGCAATTGGCTGCCGCGTTTCGCCCACAGAACACACAGTCACTACACTTCACAGTATATTCTGTGAAGCAATTTGAGACGTCTCGAAGACGTGATAAGGAGCTATTCACATGCAAGGATTATTATTGTTGCTGTTGTTTCTTACCCCGTTTAAAAAAGAAGCCCATGGTTGACAGTGTTAATGAGAATAAGTGGCTGTTCTACTGTACTAGATTTGACCTGTCCCAAGACAATTGAGCCTAAAACCTGCCTTAATTGAACGTCTAGTTGACTCTCCCAGTTCAGTGTGTGCTTCTGGCCAGCCTCCTATTTACAAGGTTTGGAAATTGGCAGAATGCATCTCTCTCCTGAACACAACAGCGGTGGTGTATCCTGGCATACGTACTTCCAGTAATAATACATTATATCCATGTTTTACAAAAAAAACCAAAGCTAATTTCCTCATTCGTTCCCAATCCAAGAACAACAACAACAACAATTGACATTCACACGGCACCTTTCATTTCAGGAGGACGTCCCAAGGCTCCTCACCCGAGCTGGTGCTTGGGATCAGGAGGAGGTGGAGGACGCGGAGGGTAGGGGCTAGGAGGCCTGGTCGAAGAGGGGGTCTTGAAGGAGGCAAAAGAGGGATTAAGTAGTCTTCCTAGAATTAAGGATATTAATATATTACGGATAGCTTTCAGACAAATGCTCCTTTAGGAATATGGCCGTTTTATCCGTCACATCAATTCATCTCTCTCACCTGTCACTTTTGTTTTCATCATTTGCTTCTCTTCAGGTTTTAGCAAAATTATCCATTTCCTGACTGGGAATACCAGCCCTCACCCCCTCCACTCCACCATCAGCCACCACGCCCCGAAACTCTGGAACGCTCTTCCTCAATCCCTCTGCCTCACCCCTTCCTCCCTCCCTCTCTCCCTTCCCACTCTCAAATCCCGTCTAAAGACCTTCCTTTTTGATTGTGCTTACGGTCATCTCCCCCGCCCCCACGTGAAGGGTGCTATATAAATGCAAGTTGTTGCTGTTGTAGTTTTCTGCTCCCATCACTGAGGTGAAGTATTCTGGAATGGCTCTGTAAGGAAGGGAGGAAAACTTCAAACTAAACTAACTGCTGGGAGTTGGTTTTGAGGCCAGAAATCCTGGAAATGATGCTTCAAAGGCTGGGATTTATCACCCAAGACTATTTGATTGAAAACGGAAAAGCAAATTTTCTTCTATGAAATAAATGGTCCTTGCGTTTGATATATCACCTTTCATGGCAGGAGGATGATGTGGAGTCCTGTAGCTCAGTGGATAGAGCACTTTCCTCGCAAGCGAGAGATCTGGGTTCGATTCCCGCCAGGGTGTAAACCTTGGGCAAGTTTCCTTACTCCACACACCTGATAATAATAATAATAAATCTATCTCATTTGTCCTTGAAACAAATGACATTTTCTGCTTCCACCGTCTCCCCTCGAGGGCCTGTTCCCTATGTTTACTACTTGCTCACTGAAGTAGTGTTTCCGCAGATTTGTTCTGAATTTTCCCCCTTCAATCGCAGTCCGTGTCCTCTGGTTCTACTGTTCAGTACAAGGTAAAACAGCTTATCCTGGTCTACATTATTGGGTCCCTTCAGAATCTTAAAGACCGTAATTGTATCTCCCCCTCAACCTTCTCTTCTCCAGTGTGAACTTGCCCAGTTTATCTTATCGCTCCTGTTAGTCTTCACAAAGTCACAGGAGTAGAGTGGATGCAGAAGGCTCTTCAGCCCATTTGATAGCTTTGCAGAATATCACGTCTGACTATCTTCCCAAGTGCAGCAACACCTAGTGTTTTAAATGTGTTCAGCGACCGGGCCTCAAGCATCTCGGTGGGAACTCGTTCCACCTGTTAATTACCCTGAAAGTTGCCATTCACAGTGTGAACCTCTGCCCTTTTTTTTTGAAAGTCGCGTCTTCAAAAGCTTGATTCTTGTAGCTCAGCGGTTAGAGCACTCGCCTCACAAGCGAGAGGACCTGGGTTCGATTCCCGGGCAGGGCGAAATGTCAGGCAAGTTTCTTTACTCCACACACACGCCTACTGTTTACCCAGCAGTAAATAGGAACCCGGTTGTTAGTCGATTGGCAGATCGCTTTTCCGTGGTTAAAAATTGCTTAAAAAATAATAATAATTTGGTCACTCAATCACGACTGTTTGTGGGACACTGCTGTGCGTCATTGGCTGTACTTTGAGATGTCTGGAAGACATGATAAGGCACTGAATCAAATGCAAGGATTATTATTGATTCTGTAAAGTGAGCTGCGTTCAGGTTCACATCTACTGTAAGGTCAGAGTGGACGGTCTCACTTTCTTATTGAAGTGAGACTGAGACCCAGCCGCTTTGTGAAGCAAACGCAATCAAGAAGCAATGTTTCATGTTACGATACTGATCGAAGTTTAGAAGGGGGCAGTTGATTATTCTTGCATGGCGCTCACTTACACAAACAACTCAGATTTAAGATTGTTGTCAAAAGAACCAGAGGGGAGATGAGATGAGGAGAAATGTTTTCACACAGCGAGTTGTTGGGATCTGGAATGCACTACTTGAAAGGGTAGTGAAAGCCGATTCGATATCCGATTGTCTAACCAAACTTTCAAGAGAGAAGTGAATAGATATTTGGAGAGGACAAGTTTACAAGGCTAATGAGGAGAGCGCGGGGGAGTGGGATTAAGTTGGACAGCTCTCTCAAAGAGTCGACACGGACACGGTGGGCCGAATGGCCTCCTTCTGTGCTGTATAATTCTATGATTCTATTAACTTGCGACGATTAATGAAATTAATCTTAAGTTTTTAACAATCAAATAGAATATGTTGGTTCCAGCTCTTGTAGAAAGGCAATCCTTCACCTTGTTAAACTTCTGAAGTTGAAGCCAGTGTTTGATGTCATTGCATGTAATCGCCTCAAATGTGTTTGACGTTATCGAGATCTAATTTGTGGGATTTCTTAAAGAGGTTCCTTAATAAGGAATTTGAGCCGCACAAATACTGACTTGGGCAACTTTCCGCACTCCACATGCCTCAGTTTACCTAGTAATAAATAGGAACCCGGTTGTTAGTCAATTGCTGATCCGGGGGTAATCATGCTGTCCAAAAATAAATCTGGTCACTCAATCCAAGACTGTTTGCGGGGACGCTGCTGTGCCAATTGGCTGCCGCGTTTGGCCCACAAAATGCACAGTCAATTAATTTTATAGTATATCATGTGAAGAGCTTTGTGACATCTCAACGACGTGATAAGGCGCTATATTCAAGCGCAAGGATCGTTAGTATTATTAAAGATCCTGCAAATTAGACCCCGTTCATTTCTTAAACTTGGGTTGCCACAACTCCTTTTGTCTAACCAAATTGTGATCTGAATAGTTCTCGCATTGCGATCTTGAAAGTAAAACGCCGTGGGACGTTACCCTGTGCGAGGGGCGCTGTGTAAACGCAAGTTGTTGTCGTCGTGGTTGCATTCTAACACAAGGCTCAGGGTTAACATGAACTCGCGGGAGCCGAAATTTCTCGGGTCTGTGCGAAGTTGGATGTCGGTCTATTCCACTTTATTCAGTGTTCTTCCCCCTCCCACCTCTTCTGTACAGGGTGCGCTGACTTGCATTTGTTGGATATGTTGACCCCTTCTGAGAGGAAGAGACAAGGCTACATTCACGAGCTCATTGTGACAGAAGAGAATTACGTCACTGATCTCCAGCTCGTCACTGAGGTAAGATGAAGTTCTGAGCTATTCTTTTTTTCCATCGGGTTTCGCCACAAAAATATGCAGTCACTGCACATTATAGTATGTCTGTGCATTTGTGAACCGCTTTGAGATGTCTCGAAGACGTAATAAGGCGCTGTATCAAATGCAAGGATTATTATTCTTATTATCAACAAAATGTAAGGTTAGATTAGACTGTCGCTGGGGCAGTCATCCCACTCGTAACGGGTAGGGTGGTCCTAGCTGGACAAGCAACGGAAAAGCTTGCCAGATAGCGATAACAACAGTAAACTACGCGGTTTTAGCTGGTTAGACTCCAGCAGTTACTGCAATTATAATAATAATAGAGAGTGCGCGTTCCATTCCAATACAGGGAATTTCCACATGTAGGTGGGATGCTGGGAACGCTGGTTGGTTCGGATTTGCTTAAACACGGCAATGGGTTTCCACACATGTCGGACATGGCACTGAAACCCCCCAAAATATCAACAGAATGATGCGCTCAACTGGTAAATGCATGTTGTGCTGTCGCACCAAGCCATTGGGGGACGAGGAGGATTCCTGTACAATTCCTTCCCCCCATCCCATACCCCTGCCCCCTTCCTATTCCCTGGGATTCTGGTTTCACCCACAAAATATACAGTCAATTCACCTTACAGTCTATCCTGTGAAGCACTTTGAGCCGTCTCGAAGATGTGATAAGGCGCCGTGTAAAACGCAAAGATCATTATTATTATTATTATTGTTATAAGAAGCCATTATAGTCCGGTTGAGCAGAATGGCATTTTCCCACTGTGCATCTCTCAGCCACTGCGCCCCGAAACTCTGCAATTTCATCCCTCTGCCTTGCCCCCTTCCTCGTGCTTACGTTCACCTCCACCCCACCCCCACCACCCCTTCCCCACCCCAGCCTTGACTCGGGCTCAGACTCCGTCACTGCGAAGCGCTCTGGGACACTACGCCATGTGCAGGGCGCGATATAAATGCAAGTTGTTGTTGTTGTCGTTGTATATTGTTCTGTGTGACTCTGTGTGACTGACCAAACCCTGGCCTTATTCAGGTCTTCCAGAAACCGCTGCTAGAATCTGATCTGCTGACGGAGAAAGAGGTCGCCATGATTTTTGTCAACTGGAAAGAGCTGATCATGTGCAACATCAAACTGCTGAAGTAGGTGTCCGCTGTCTCTCCGTCTTCTGGTTCCATGATAGGAGTCCTGTAACTCAGTGGTTAGAGCACTTGCCTCGCAAGCGAGAGGACCTGGGTTCGATTCCTGGGCAGCGAAGCAAGTTTCCTTACTCCACACACCCACACGCCTCTGTTTACCCAACGGTGAGTTGGAACCTGGTTGTTAGTCGATTGGCGGATCGCTTTCTGGGGGGTAATAATCCCTTCAAAAAAAATGTTTATAATAATAACAATTTGGTCACTCAATCCACGACTGTTTGTGGGACTCTGCTGTGCGCAAATTGTTTCGCCCACAAAATATATAGTCAATGCACTTTACAGTATATTCTGCGAAGCGCTTTGAGACATCTCGAAGCCGCTATATCAAATGCGACAATTCTTATTATGATAATGATAATAATCATCCTGCCATTTGATACAGCGCCTTAACATGTCTTCGAGACGTCTCAAAGCGCTTCACAGAATATAAGAATATATTGTGACGTGGAGTGACTGTATATTTGCGGGCGAAATGCAGCAGCCAATTGCACACAGCAGCGTCCCACAAACAGTCGTGGATTGAGTGACCAAATTATTATTATTTCTTGTTGCGCACTCTCTCTCTCCTCGGAGGGACGCATCCTGCTACCTAATTCCGGAAAGTATTCGGCTCAGGTTAACATTAACAATATCAATAAATCCCCCACTTAGAGCATGTCTTAGACTTTAAGCCTGACAGGACCCTGTGTGCTTACTTATTATTATTATTACTTTGTACTATATATATTATTAAATATTTTATTATATTATACTATATTATTATATTATATAATTATATTATACTATATTATTATATTATATTATATATTATACCATATTATTATATTATTATACTATACTATACTATACTATATTATATTATTGTATTATATTATTAGATTATCTGTATCTACTTCATTGAAGGAAGCACCTGTTCTAACCTGGAGCTGCTCTGTTTGTCCATATGCCCGGTCTCGCTGACACGCGCGCCTGTCCGTTTCTGCTCGCAGGGCTCTGCGTGTCCGGAAGAAGATGTCTGGGGAGAAGATGCCGGTCAAGATGATTGGCGACATCCTCACAGCTCAGCTCCCCCACATGCAGCCGTACATACGCTTCTGTAGCTGTCAGCTCAATGGCGCTGCCCTCATCCAGCACAAAACCGATGAAGTTCCCGAATTCAAGGACTTTGTGAAGGTAAGTGATGGGAGGGTCAGAAATCTCTGCCAACTTCTGGCCTTGTTTCAGAATCAAACCTTTCACTTAGGATACAACAGGAATTGTGAAAGCGAACTTCGCAAAGGTTCCCCGTTGAAATCGTAACGTTCCCTGCGTTCGACACTGCGCCTTTCATGTTGGGAAGGCATCCCAAAGCACTTTCTGTCACGTGTGATTGTATATTTGCTTACGAGATCCGTAGCTCAGTGGTTAGAGCACTCGCCTCACAAGCCAGAGGACCTGGGTTTGATTCCCAAGCCGGGGAGAAACCTTGGACAAGTTTCCTTACTCCACCTACACCCTCTGTTTACGCAGCAGTAAGTAGGATCCCGGTTGTTAGTTGATTGGCGGATCGCTTTCCAGGGGTAACAATCTCTTAAATAAAAGATAATAATAATTTGGTCACGGCTATTTGTGGGGGAAGCCCCTGTGCGCAATTGGCTGCCGTGTTTTGCCCACAAAATATACAGTCAATTCACCTCACGGTATATTTTTCTGTGAAGCGCTTTGAGACGTCTCGACAACGTGATGAGGAGCTGTATCAAAATGGAAGGGTTAGGATTATTCTTATTTATAGGCGAACACAACTGCCAAGTTGCCCACAACAATGTTCAACAAACATCTATGAAGTGAGTGAGTGAGCAATTTTATCTGGGGGACAGGAGAGTGGGAGAGAGGAACTCTCTTCTCTTTTTGAGGATCTTTAACGTCCACTTGAACAGGCAGACGGGACCTCAGTTAACGTCTGATCTGAAGGGGGCAAGTCCCCTAATTCTACTGGAATTGTCAGCCTGGACAGTCAGCTCAAGGTGTGACGTGGGTACTTTCCGACTCGAAAGCAAGAGTCCTCCTACCAACTGAGCCAATTTGTAAAGCAGGGCTGGATGAAGCATTAATAGTAATAATAATAATCATAAGCCTTGCATTTGATACAGCGCCTTATCGCGTCTCAAAGCGCTTCACAGAATACACTGTAAAGCGAATTGACTGTATGTTTTGTGGGCAAAAAGTGGCAGTCAGTTGCGCACAGCAGTGTCCCACAAACAGTCGTGGATTGAGTGACCTTTTTTTTTAATTCTTGAAGGAATTATTATCCCCGGAAAATCGATCCACCAATTGACTTAACAACCGGGTTCCTACTTACTGCTGCGTAAACAGAGGCCTGTGTGTGGAGTAAGGAAACTTGCCCAACGTTTCGCCCCCTGCCCGGGAATCGAACCCAGGTCCTCTCGCTTGCGAGGCGAGCGCTCTAACTGCTGAGCAACAGGACTCCACGATTCCTATTGATTGTCACGGAGCCACAAAGGACATGCTGTACAAACTTTTGCCCAGAGGGTATGGAAAACGAGACGCTCTTAAAGTTACTGAGAATGGGTTTGTGTTTTGAATCTGACAGAGACTAGCAATGGACCCGCAATGTAAAGGGATGCCCCTGTCGAGTTTTTTACTGAAGCCAATGCAGAGGGTGACCCGTTACCCCTTAATAATCAAAAATGTGAGTATGTGTTTCCCTGTACGGTTCCTCTTCTGGTCAGACCATCCTAGAGGCTGCCATTCTGTTGCGGCAATTGCAGTTTAGACAGCAGAACTTGCCCAGTCTTATCTTTTATAAATCGTATAATCGCCCACGTCGTACGTGGACGTGCGTCCCATTCGGTTTCCTATCCAAACCACTTAGATTTCTTTCCGCGAATCATATTCATCACCTCTTAACTTGTTGCCTCGCTCCCCTTCCCTCCGTTATCCCCACACTTACCGGATGCGTTGAATTGCGGCTAATTGACGTCCTAATTCGTCGATGAATGGCCCACTCACCAGCCGGCTGGAGAGGAGATCCCAAGGCGCTGGACAGTCAGGGATTTTGACCCGAGCTGGTGGTGGTGGGGGTGGGTGGTTGGGTTCAGGTGAGGTTGGAGGGCGGGGAGGGTATGGGGTGGGTAGGAAGGTGACCGAAGGAGAAGGTCTTGAGGCGGGTCTTGAAGGAGGGTGCGGTGGGAGGGGGTGGGGGCGGGAAACTGTGGGTTGAAGTTCCAAAAGGTAGAGGAGGAAAGGCTAAAGGTCCGACTGCCGATGGTGGAGCAGGTGAGGTCAAAAAGAAACACGTCAGTCACTGCATAATAGACAATCTCAGCCTCGGAAAGCGCTGTGACAAAAAACACAAACCCTGCTCTTGTTAAACTCTCCAGATCCTAGAAAACACCCCCGAAAATCACCCCGATTACAGTCACCTGAAACAGGCCCAGGAAAAGGCCGAGGAACTGTGCTCCCAGGTGAACGAGGGCGTGCGGGAGAAGGAAAATTCCGATCGGCTGGAATGGATTCAGACGCACGTTCAGTGTGAAGGTCTATCTGAGGTAAAATGGGCCCCCACCCACATCCCCCAATCCCCACCCCCATCCACTCTACCACCACCACCACCTGCTTCCCCCACCCCCCGAAAAAAAAACATGAGTCTCTACGCTTTTAGATCTTGATGAACTATAGGTACGAACGTTTGTGTACACAACAACTTGCATTCACATAGCTCCCTTCACGAGGGGAGGCAGGAGGTGACCGTAAGCACTGTTCTAGGGGAAGGGCTTCAGTTGCGATCAAAAAGAGGGGAAGGAGTGGGGGCACAAGGCGGAGGGATTGGGGGAGCTTCAACAACAACAGCAACAACTTGCACTTATATAGCGCCCTCCATGCAGGGTAGCGTCTCAAAGCGCTTCGGGACGTAGTGGCTGAAAGCCCGGCCGCCGATGGTGGGGAGGGGGAACGAGGGACAAGCAGGAGGCCGGAGCCAGCCAAGCGGAGGCAGCGTGTAGTGGAGTGAGGGAGAAAGCAGGTCGAAGAGGAAGGGAGATGTCGAGGCCTGAAGGGATTCGTCGACGAGCGAGAGGGTCTTGAGATTGATCCGTTTGGCGATAGGAAGCCGTGGGGCCTGGCGAGGGCTGGGGTGATGGGGGTACGGGGTTTAGTGGGTGTGTGTGATAGGGAGCCAGGGGGGCCTGGCGAGGGCTGGGGTGATGGGGGTACGGGGTTTAGTGGGTGTGTGTGATAGGGAGCCAGGGGGGCCTGGCGAGGGCTGGGGTGATGGGGGTACGGGGTTTAGTAGGTGTGTGTGATAGGGAGCCAATCCCACATCGAGCTGATGTCTGGCTCAGTTGAGGGGGTGCAGCCGCCTCTGTCATGGCATTTCATTGTCAAACGCACAGCGGCAAACACACTCTTCTCTCAGCAGCAGGGACTGAGACTGAGGTTTTCGATTTCAAGATCCTCTCACTTCGTCTTCAAATCTCTTCCTGCCCGGCACCTCCCTCCCTCTCCGACCTGCTCACCCCCCAACTCACAACCGGCTGCCTCTGCTCAATAGTCTCCGGCCTCCTGCTTGTCCCTCGTGCCCTCCGTTCCACCATCGGTGGCCGCGCTTTCAGCTACTTTGCCCCGAAACTCTGGAACACTCTTCCCTTAATCCCTGCCTCCATTGCCCACTGCCTTCCCCATCGTCAGTCGCGCCTGAAGACCTTCCTCTTGGACAGTGCCTAGGGTCTCCCCTCTCTCCCACCCTCCCTCCCTCCCTCCCACCAGCTCGCAGTCGTGCTCCGCCACTGTCAAGCGCCCTGTGGGACGTGAGGGGCCGCTGTGTAAATGCAAGTTCCAAATGGCCTCTTTCTCTGCTGTGACGTCTCTGATTCCGTGGTTTAAAGGCACATAATATTGGTGCATCACTGGTTAACCAGAATTCCCGACAGCCTCAACACAGGTAGAGCAGGATCTGTATAATTCCCTGTTCTCTCCCTACAAAGCACGCTGTATACATTGCAGGAATCTCCAGATTAGGGAGTGCTGAACCAGATACCTATCGCGTCAGTCATTTGAATTATTAGTATGTTTTACAGCAGGTAACAATCTTTTATATTAGTTGAAATTGTTTTGTTTTCACTCTTTCCCCCCCTTCTCTCTCTCTCTCTTCCTCCCTCCAGCAACTTGTTTTTAATTCCGTCACAAATTGCCTGGGTCCGCGTAAATTCCTTCACAGCGGTAAACTGTACAAGGCCAAGAGTAACAAAGAACTGTACGGGTTCCTCTTCAATGATTTTCTGCTGCTAACGCAGATCATTAAGCCGCTGGGCTGCTCAGCAACGGAAAAGGTCTTCAGCTCCAAGTCGAACCTCCAATACAAAATGTACAAGACTGTAAGTAATATAACCCTCTGCTCGGCTACCCCTGCACACCCTGTCGAACATTGATCAGCNAAAAAAATCAGAAGAAGAATAAAATCCTTGCATTTGATATAGCGCCTGATATCATCACCTCGCTGAGACGTCTCAAAGCGCTTCACGGAAAATACTGTAAAGTGAATTGACCGGATATTTTGAGGGCGAAACTCAGCAGCCAATTGCACTGTCCCCCCAAACAGTCGTGGATTGAGTGACAAAATGATTAATTTTTTTTAGGGGATAATTACGCCCGGAAAAGCGCTCCGTCAATCGACTAAGAACCGGGTTCCTACTTACTGCTCAGTAAATGGTCACTTTGTTGACGGCAGAGTCGTAGAGGTTTTAAGGTAGCAATCTATGCACCACGTAGTGCTTTCATGATGGTGCTTGTTGTAGGTCTTTTTAGTGGAGTCCTGTAGCTCAGTGGTTAGAGCACTCGCCTCGCAAGCGAGAGGACCCGGGTTCGATCGCCGGGCGGAGCGAAATGTTGGGCAAGTTTCCTTACTCCACACACGCGCCTCCGTTTACCTCACGGAAAGTAGGAACCTGCTGGTTAGTCGATTGGCGGATGGCTTTTCCAGGGATAATAATTCCTTCCAAAAAAAATAATCATAATAATTTGGTCACTTCAATCCACTTCGTTTGTGGGACACTGCCGGGTGTCGTTTCGCCCACAAAACACACAGTCACTACACTTTACCGTATATTCTGTGAAGCGCTTTGAGACGTCTCGAAGACGTGATAAGGCGCTGTATCAAATGCAAGGACTGTTTTTTGTGTGCGCTCACAGTTACAGGCCTTTTATTTTCTTTCCTTCTGCCACAACAGCCCATCTTTCTCAACGAGGTTTTGGTGAAGTTACCCACCGACCCCTCTGGGGATGAGCCCATCTTCCACATCTCCCACATAGACAGGGTTTACACCCTCCGAGCTGAGAGCATCAACGAGAGGTAAGGAAGAACGGATAAAGCTCCTCGCTCTGTTTGTGTTCGACGCCTCACAACCCAATGATTGGTTTCAATAACAGCAGCAACAACAGACATTTACACATCACCTTTCATGTCAGGAGGACGTCCCATGGTGCTGGACAGTCTGGGATCCACACCTGAGCTGGTGGTTGGGATCAGGAGGAGGTGGAGGGCGGGGAGGGTAAGGGGTGTCGGAGGGTAATTGATTGATTGATGGTCGAAGAGGAGGGTCTTGAGACGGGGCTTGAAGGAGGCGAGGGAAGGGGCGAGGTGAGGGGACTGTGAGATGGAGTTCCAGAGGGTGGGGGCAGAGAGAAGCTGAAAGCTCGCCCGCCAACCCTGGGGCTTAATAATCGATTCATTTGAGAAAAGGAACACAAGAACAGGAGGAGGCCATTCAGCCCATCGAGCCTGTTCTGCCATTCTATAAGATCACGGCTGATCTGTACCCCAACTCCAATTACCCGCCTTTGCCCCATATCTCTTGATACCCTGACCTGATGAACATCCATCCAAACTCTGTCTTGAAAAGGTGAATGGATCCAGTCATAATCCACAGTTTTTTTTTTGGTGGGGAGAGGGAGAGAGTTCCAGATTCCCATTATCCTTTGTAAAAAAAAAAAAAAAGTCCTCCTGATTTCACTCCTAAAAAGGCGCAGCTCTAATAGTAAAGTTGTTCTGGATTTGCCCACCAGAGGAAATAGTTTCTCCGGAGCTACCCGGTCGAATCCCTTTATCGTTTGACCTCAATCGGATCACCCACCCCCTCAACCTTCTAAACTCAGGGGAATACAGACCACGTTTATGCAGCACCTCCTCGTAATTTAACCCTTCAAGAACCTGGTATAATTTTGGTGAATCAACTGGGTTAACGTCTCTGCAGCTAAAGACTGGACCAGGGTGTGTGTGTGAGAGACTTTCTCCTCTCTCTCCATGACTCTGGCACAATGCACAGATACACATCAGCCCCCATCGGGATGTCCATTTGCCACCACGGATTGACAGTTTAATTTAATCCAACCTCTCGATAATTTTCAGTGGTTTACGCGAAAAGTAATCGTGGGTTTTATCACTCGAAAAAAACCTGTTCGTCCACCCAAATACCTTTCAGCGACTTTATTTGCCGAATGCATAAAATAGACACCCAGGTGTGGGTTGGGCAGATGCAGACAAGTGGCCTTGAGCTGAACTTAGAGAACGCACGGTGAGGATGTCGGCCCCAGTGTCACTCACAGAGTCCTCACAGTTTAAGGATTTAAGATATAGCCGATACTTTACAGGACTTAGGGGTCTTGTTAGGGTATTGGTTAGAGCTCTCGCCTCGCAAGCGAGAGGACCAGGGTTCACAAACCATCAGCGCTCAGACCGGTGAACCAGTTGTTATGCTAAGATTTTCTCATTTGTTTTCAAATCCCTTCATACCCTCGCACCTTCCTACCTCTCCGATTTGCTCCCCCCCCCACCCCCCCAAACTCCCACACTCCACCACCCGCTGCCCCCACTCGGCTGGCTCCGGTCTCCAGTTTATCCCTCGCCCCCTCCTCTGCTCCACCATCGGCGGCCGTGCTTTCAGCCACTACGCCCTGAAGCTCTGGAACTCCCTCTCTTCCTCTCTCTCTCTCCCCATTTTCAAATCCAGCCTAAAGACCTTCCTTTTTGGTCTCCTCCCCCACCCCCATCCCTCGGTCATTGTCAGACTCCGCCACTGTCAAGCGCTCCGGGACACTGCCCTGTGTGGGGGTGGGTGGGGGGGGGTGTGCTGTGTAAATGTAAGTTGCTGTTGTCGTCGTCTTTACGGTGGTTCCTATTGTATCTCCAAATCGTCACCTTCTCGTTGCTCAGGACTGCCTGGGTTCAAAAGATCAAAGCCGCTTCGGAACTTTACATAGAAACTGAGAAAAAGAAGCGAGAAAAGGCCTACTTGGGTAAGTCAGGGTGTTATGTACATCAAATCATCATCATCATCATAATAATAATAATAATCCTAATGCTTGAATTTGATGTAGTGCCTTATCACGGCTTTGTGACATCTCGAAGCGCTTCACAAGATAGACTGTAAAGCGGGGTGTCTTGTGGGCGAAACACGGCAGCCAAACGCGTACAACAGCGTCAGACAAACACTCGTCGAATGGGCGACCGCATTTTTTTTTGTTGAGAGAGAAATTATTACCTCTGGAAAGCGATCCTCCAATCGATAACAAATATGGCTGCCGCGACACCAATTTGCCGTATTAGACACACGTGCAATGGACGTCCGATATTGATTCCATTTTTTTTTTTTTAAATGTTGATCCGAACAAAAATACTCCCCCGGGTCAGGTTTCCAATGAGCAGAAAGAACTTCTCCGTCGAACGTGGAATTTCCAAAGCTTTTTCCGGAAACATTTCATTTTGAAATGAACCTTTTTTTCCCTCCCTTCCACCCTCACTCCCACCCCGACCCCCAACCCCGCTCCCACCCGCCATCTTTTCCCCACAGTTCGTTCACAAAGGGCTACCGGTATTGGAAGGCTAATGGTAAATGTTGTTGAAGGCATCGAGCTGAAAGCGTGCAGGTCGAATGGTAAGTCCTCACCTTCTAATACTTTGTGATTTATTTGCCAGAGAAAATATCACGTTACCATTAAGCGAAACAACACCAAGACGGTGACTTTAAAACGTGTGTAAGTTCAAGGTCAAGTTTCTGGCTTCGGTGAATTAATAATCCTCACATTTGAGACAGAACCTTTTACGTCAGTCAGGAGGACATTTTCAAAGGGCTTCCCAGAATTTACTATAAAGTGCAAGGCATGTTTTAACGCATAAAGTGGTGGGAAAAATTCTCATCAGCCCCCAAGAAACTCCCCAGCGGTAAATTGCCCTTCCATAATAATATAAATAATAATAATAACAATAATAATCGTTGCATTTGATATGGCGCCTTATCACGTCTTCGAGACGTCTCAAAGCGCTTCACAGACTATACTGCGAAGTGAATTTGGGGGCGAAATGCGGCAGCCAATTGCGCACAGCAGCGTCCCAGGAGCAGTCGTGGATTGAGTGAACAGATTGAACGATTACATTTGCTAATTGTTCTTATCGATCACTTTGACTTCAGCGTAATTGACTTCACTCGGCTGGTGGTGGGGTGGGGTGGGGTGGGGGGAGGGAGAGATACAGAAACCCAGTTAAAGTTTCTAGATTGAGATCCAACTCTTCAATCGTTTAACATCTGGACTCACAGGGGAAGAAGAATTGGCAACTTGGGGCCAGAGCCCTTAAAATTCACAGAAACTCTGCCTCAGCGGACCTCACTGTCCTTGGGAGCAGGTGGGGGAAAAGTAACGTAAGCTTTAATAATAATAATAATCCTTGCATTTGATACAGCGCCTTATCACGTCTTCCAGACGTCTCAAAGCGCTTCACAGGATACACTGTAAAATGAATTGACTGTATATTTTGTGGAAGAAACGCGGCAGCCAATTGCGCACAGCAGCGTCCCACAAATAGCCGTGGATTGAGCCATCAAATTATTCTTTGGATTTTTTTTTGGAAGGGATTATTACCCCCGGAAAAGCGATCCGCCAATCGAACAACAACCGGGTTTCTACTTACTGCTGGGTAGACAGGGGCATGCGTGGAGTAGGGAAACTTGCCTAAGCCTTGACTTTTAACCTCAGTTGAAAAACAAATTAGACCCCGATCGCTGCCGAGTGCGACGCAAAACATGTCGAACGCTTTCCTCAAAACGCGTCTCCCTCCTCCTCTGTGACTCCGACCACTTTAGGAAAGAGCAATCCCTACAGCGAGGTGACCATGGGCTCTCAGTGCCACATCACGAAAACCATTCAGGACACTCTGAATCCCAAGTGGAACTCCAATTGTCAGTTCTTCATCAAAGACCTGGAGCAGGATGTGCTCTGCATCACAGTCTTTGAGAGAGACCAGTTCTCCCCGGACGGTAAGCACGCCATTGCTTGGGTGCGCGGTACGCAGCAGGTTGACGTGATAATCCAAGCTTTTTGTCTTGAAATACAGACGTCGTTGAGACGTCTCAAAGCGCTTCGCACACTATACCATAAAGCGCGGCGACTGTGTATTTCTGTGGGCGAAATGCAGCAGCCAATGGCGCACAGCAATGTCCCCACAAACCATCGTGGATTGAAGCGACCGATTTATTATTATTGTTTTTTGAAGGGTTTATTAGCTCCGGAAAAGCCATCCACCAATTGCACACAGCACTGGTGACAAAGGCCTGTACAAAGCTTGACAACTCCACTGTTTTTGACTAAAAAGAAATTACAGGATACACACACATACACAGCGGGCGCACACATACACATACACAGCGAGTGCACACATACATATACACAGTGAGCACATACACAGCGAGCGCACACATACATATACACAGTGAGCACATACACAATGAGCGCACACGTACATATACACAATGAGTGCACACATACACAGCGAGCGCACATATACACAGCGAGCGCACACATACACATATACACAGCCAGCGAAAACACACACACACACACACAGCGAGCACACACACACACACAGCGAGCACACACACTTACAGCGAGCACACACACTTACAGCGAGCACACACACTTACAGCGAGCACACACACTTACAGCGAGCACACACACACACACAGTGAGCACACACACACACAGCGAGCACACGCGCGCGCACACACAGCGAGCACACGCGCACACAGCGAGCACACACACACACAGCGAGCACACACACACACAGCGAGCACACGCGCGCACACACACAGCGAGCACACGCGCGCACACACACAGCGAGCACACGCGCACACACACAGCGAGCACACGCACACACAGCGAGCACACAGCGAGCACACACACAGCGAGCACACACACACACACACACAGTGAGCACACACACAAGTGAAGAGAATAATAAATAATAATAATCCTTGCATTGGATACAGCACCTTATCACGTCTTCGCAACGTCTCAAAGCGCTTCACAGGAATACACTGTAAAGTGAGTTGACTGTACATTTTGTGGGCGAATTCCACACAAATCATTCAGCCACCCTGTTCCCACCCTCCGGAGCCCCATCCCGCACTCCCTCCGCCCCCCCCCCCCCCCCACCTGCTTCAAGACTCTATGAATGTGCCTTGGATCACCCTCCATCCCCACCCCCCCTCCTCTCTCCGTCTGAAAGCGCTTCACAGGATATACTGTATGTTTATGGTTTAGGAATGAAACAGTTTGTTTAACAATCGATTGAAGTGTCTCTTTTTCCCCCCTTTCCCCCCACCCCACCCCACCCCGCAGACTTTTTAGGACGCACAGAAATCCACGTGGCCGATATAAAGAGGGATCAGGGGTCCAAGGGTCCAGTTACGAAGCGCTTGCTCCTGCATGAGGTTCCCACGGGTGAGATCGTGGTTCGCTTGGACCTGCAACTGTTCGACGAAACGTAAGGGCAGCGACGCAGGTCATCCGGGCCCCGTCGGAGAAGCTGCGACTTGATCGACCTTCACATTCCACTCCCAGCTCCGTGTGAATCTGGACTCCCCGACCCCCCCGTCACCCAAACCACACGGCAATGAAGGCCGAACGTCTATTCCAAGCACCGACCGGAGTCTCCTAACGATGGCTCGGTCACCAGACGATTGATTTAGTGAGCCGCACTTTTGTTTCGGGGGAGGGGAGGGGTGGGGGAGGGACGGGGACGGGTGGGATGGGGAGGGGAGAGGGGGTGGGGGTCGGATTTTATTTTGTGACTTGCGTAAAGAAAAAAATTGGGCTGTATGTTTTTTTTCCGGCCAAAAATCGTCGAAACGCACCCCCTTTTTACACTCTCTTTAACGCTCCATTCCTTGGGGGCACTTCAAAAAGTTGACGGCTTCGCCTCTTGAAACAATTGCTTACAGTAATGTCCAGTGGGGGGGGGGTGGGAGTTGGAGTGGGAGGGGGTGGGGGTTGGGGGGAGGTGGGGGTTGGGGGTGGGCGAAGCTGGCAAACAAAGTGAGATGCCAAGCTATATGTGAAGTGTCATCGCTTACTGTGAACCGCTGGAGGAGAGAGGCTTCGACAAAAATGGCAACCAGGTAAAGAGCCCTACACTGCACAGCCGTGATGCAATTCACCCTCTGGGCACTTTCCTGCTCAACGAGTAATGTACAAAACTTTTTGATGGGATGAAGGGAGGGCCTGGATTACGAGGAGCGCTTAGGTTTGGGCTTGTTCACACCAGAGGGTCCGGGCAGCGACGAAAACGTTGGGCGAGTTTCCTTACTCCGCACACATGCCTCTGTTTACTCAGCAGCAAGTAGGAACCCGGTTGTTAGTCGTTTGGCGGATCGCTTTTCCGGGGCTAATAATCCCTTCAAATAAATAATAATAATAATAATAATTTGGTCGCTCGATCCACAGCTGTTTGTGGGACGCTGCTGTGTCCAATTGGCTGCCGCATTTCGCCGTTAAAATGAGATTCTTCCCCTTGTATATAAAAATCACCAGCGAGCAGCAGTCTAATATATGACAATCAGATTGTAATAATAATAACTCTCGCATTTGATACAGCGCCTTATCACGTCTTCGAGACGTCTCAAAGCGCTTCACGGAATATACTGTAAAGTGAATTGACTGTATGTTTGTGGGCGAAACCCGGCAGCCGATTGCGCACAGCGGCGTCCCACAAACAGTCGTGGATTGAGTGATTATACTCTGAAAAAAGTTTTGAGTTCCATGTTGTGCGCTCAACTTTAAATCATTGTTGTGAAGCCAGCTACGTCCACTTTCATTTTGTCGTTAGCTAACTATAACCCCCCCCCCTAAAATTAACACCTAAAGTTTATCTGTGCGTCTCTCTGTATTTATGAAATGCTACTATTTCTACCATAAAATTGCTGTCTAAGAAAACTCTTCCCTTTCCAATAATTAGTGATTTCCAAACCAAAAGGGAACCATTGCAGTTACGCTGTTCTGTATTTGGTAGAAATGAGCAGGAAATTGTTATTTACTTTGAGCGTTAACACACAATTCAATCATTGCTGGGCGAGGGAGTGGGGTGTGGGGGTGTCGATTATGGCTTTCAGAATACAGGATGTTTTTGAGTATTGCGCAGTCACTCAGCCATAACACATCAAGACCTCACTCTCGACCGTGTTTTCAGTCATCATTTCCCCTCCCTCATCCCACCTCCCACGGCTCAGCTCCCACCACACCCCCCCCCCCCCCCCACAAAGCTCAGGAGTCCAGCCGACAGCTTTGAGACGTCCTGCCGACCTGAAAAAGACGCTCCGGAAATGTTTCTGGAAGGGAAGCACAATAATATTGCTTGTGTGGCCCCCGGAAGTTTCTCAAATAGGGCGTCCGGATCTCCTCGGCAGCCAAAAGGTTGGGCCAAGTACACAATCACACTTATTAGTGAGATTGTCATGAAAAGGCTGGTGATATACGGAGTTCCGATACTTTGCTAACAATTGCTCTGGGTTTATTGTCCGTCCTCCTCTCAGATTCACACGTTATATTATACTTTCTTTCTCTTGACTACTTGTCTTGACCAAGTGATCAGCTTTTCATCATCTAAGCATGACTGGGTGTCAGAAAACCTTTGTGGAGTAATTATTTTTCCGGATGATTCCTAGGTGCTTTGGAGGAGGGGTTGAGGATGGTTGAAGGAAAGATCTATCCATTTGATATAGCTTCTAACGTATGACTATGTAGATGTCACATCTGTGCAGTGTTCTTACTCGATTAAAAACGTTTGCTAGTCTATTCAAATCTTTATTACATATTACCATCTTTTCTACTTAATTTTGAGAGGTGTAACATTTTAGGCGAGAAAACCATAGGAAAAATTATTATGTACAGAACTTAGAGGTCACTTTAAGCAAAAATATGGGTGCAAAATGCACTTTAACAAGGGGCTGTCGACTCAAGATTATTACTGGAAACATAAAAGGGTGTTAGGATTGTAGAACATGTTACCACATGTGGCTATTGAACCAAGACATTTAAAACAATTAAAAGAGAGGTAGATAAACACTGGAAGAACGACTATTCAAAAGGATGGATGGATGGGTTGGTAGGAAGAGCAGGGAAATGGGATTAGGTGAGTTGTTGCCTTTGACAAACTTGTTTGGCTTCCTTTCGTGTTGAAATTTCCACCATTCTATGAAGTGAGTTCAAAGCAAAATGTTGTGCTGCATAGACACTAAGGGGCTTAACCCTTTGGAAATGGGATTCAGCTATTGAAAACTCTTTGTGGGGGAAACTTACAACCGTATCTTACCCTTTTATGTGATGATATGAACAAAGTTCTAAATTTGACTTGGCACAGCGATGGTGGATTTCCAATGACAGCCCTTGCACTCTGAATCTGCCATGTTGATCCCCGCAGATTATCAAGCTGATCAAACTTTTGTTTGGTTCCTCAAGTAGATTTTATGCTGCCATATTTTATTCCAGAAGCTGTGGTCCAGCCTAGCGGCTGACCAGAGCAGTTATCAGTGTTACTATAGAGTGTGAACACTCCTCTGCTGATTGTGTTGTAACTTCTTTGTCCACTTTAGTCGCCGAAATGATGGTATCGTTTGGTTTAGATAATATTGTCTGTAATAATTAATCTGAAATATAATGGAAATAATTTATATAAAGAGCTACTAGATTTGTGTTGCGTTATCTTATCGGGGGTCGGATTAAGAAGGGAAGGGGAAACTCTGGGAGTTTTTAAACTGGAAAAATTGATTTTTTTTTAGAATAAGGTTCAAAAACGTTCAAACCAGCACATACAGTTTGTTGTATAATTTTAATTTGTATTTAAATCGTACTGTGTAATTGTAACCTTTCTTTATCGAAATAGGATTTTGAAAAAGGTTCTTTTTTTCTCCTTTGGTGAATGTTGTACGAGACTTAAATGGGCAGTGGTTGCAAGTTCTGAAAGCCACAGTATTTCACATTCCATCCTAAAAGTTTTCATACAACAATCAGAGGGCAACGCTCACAAAGATGATGAGTTGGGATGCTATCCTCAGGCAGTACAGCTCTGCTGTTAAAGTGGCTGTATGCACAAGCATTTTTCTTTCATATTCGATGTATTTTTAAGACGCAGGGTCTTTTTTGTGTGGGTGCAGGGGAACGAGATCATTCGTGTTGTAATAATAATAATCCTTGTATTTGATATAGCATCTTCGAGACATCTCAAAGCACTACACAGAATCTAATGGAAAGTGAATTGGCTGTATATTTTGTGGGCAGAACGCACTGTAAACAAAAAAATACTGGCGGGGGTGGGGGGGACCAGGGGGAGGTTTGGGAGGGGCGGGAATCACAAAAAAAATGTTACGTTCAGTTGAGTGAATGCCAACATTAACTTAAATTATAGATGGCCGAAAACAGGCTAATAACCAGATTAACCAGAGATACAGCCACTTTAAACTCATCAATTTCTGAGGATTGTTTCAAAATAAATTTATTGTTGATTCTTCATGGTAATACCATGAAGTTGGATGGTGGTATTAACAGTCACTCAAGAGTTAAAGTTGAATGAATAATCTATTTCCTCTCCGCCCCCTCATTCATTAGCCCTGAGCTTCCCAGATCATGGGGTCAACCTGCGGCTGAGATGACCCGGCATCATGATCTCAGACCTTCATTCCCGCTTGGCTTACCTGGAAACTGGGAAAGTGTCAAAAAAAGAAGCTGCGGGAAACTCTTAACTCCAATTCCCCATTTCCTTCTTAAGGACCATTCAGCTCCAGTTAACCCCGCAAGCCAAAGCCCTAAAGGTGGTCCTAGCTGGTCAAGCAGCGGGAAAGCTTGGCCAGACAGCAAGATCAATGGCAACCTGTGTGGCTTTAGCTGGTTGGACTCCAGCAGTTACCCTAACGCACACTCTGGGCTCCCCCCAAGCCTTGGCTCTTGCCAACCTGCGCCTAATGTTTTCCGGAATTAGGTCCCTCCAGGTTAGAGAGTGCACATTCCATTCCAACAACCTATCTGTGGGGGATTTCAGAAAAAAAATTCCTAGATGCTCCTCAATGCCGGGCTTGCCCGGAAGCTGGGAACTGTTTTGAGGTCAGCCGGGTGTCTGACACGTGCAGAAACCCAGCACCGTGCGTGAAGAGGATCTAAACCAAGCTGAGAATTCCACACACCTCACCGAGTGTCCAAAATAAATCCAGGGGAAACGTTTTCCAACCCCACCCCACTTCTTCCTTAAGGAGGCATACGGTCTCCACGAGGTGTCGCACAACTGCAATGGGCCAATTTACCTGTCACACAGGCTGGGCAGGTTATATTCACAACCACTCACCAATTCACACTGGCCCTCCATTGGTTTCTGTTGCCACCAAAATATAATTTAATCTTGAATGCGGGAAGCGGAGGGTAAAACGAGATTGTTTCGGTTGAAACTCTGATGCTGTTGCTTGAGCCAAATGTGTCCATTGCTTTCATCGATTGGATTGGAAATGCAATTTAAATATTTACCTGCGTGCACTTCACTTGCAGCGCTGGCGTAGGAGTTGAAATCTCGTGGTTCTGCTGATTAGGAAAGTTAAAGTTAAGTGTCAAAATAGATACCTTCTGTTGGTCTCAAAAGTTTATTGACATTTAGGAACTGTGTGGAATTTCTGGACCAAAGCCAGACGATATGTAGCCGAAATGTAACATATTTTGTATATCTTGTACCACTTTGGAAGGGATCACATCTAATTAATCTATTGTATCCTGAAATCCCGAATATTCTTGTGTTGATCACTTTCACTCTTACTACTGATATTATACATGTTCTGGGATTTCTCACACTGGCAGTTAGTTTCTCTTAGCTCAAGTATATATAAGATATATATATATATAATATGCATTTTTCGCATGGGGGGAAACCTCCACATCGGATGTGTGCGAGTTGCTTCAAATTTATCGAACAGGAAATTGTTTCCTTTCGACACTAGTGGAACCGACACGCATGAGAAAACATTTGCTTCGTGGTCTAATGAAATCAGATGGAACCTCTCTTAACGGCTCACGCTGTACAGTCGAGTCGGAAAGACTGCAAGAAACACTGAAAGCAGCAGCTTCGAACTGACCGAACGTTTAAACTTGAATGTCTTCGAGCAGTGAGGAGGCGGAGGCAGTGGGGAGTAAAAACCTGTTGTCCTACAAGAACGATCACGGCGGGATGCAGAGGTGATTCTGATCCGCACAGCATACCGTGTATTGTCCGATTGTGTTGTGCTTGGATCATGCGACGCGGTGTGTGAACTTAAATGTAACTCATTTACCAGAAAAATAAAAGTTCTCAAAGAAGTGTGCTAAGCAGGTGTGGCGAATGCTGACTGAATTATTCAAACACGATGCACCCGAAACAAATAGCTACCAAGCGGACACTGAGTATTGTGGAGGAACAGTGACATAAACAGCAAACTCCCATCACTGAGGCAACTCTGATTGAATCTGCTTTATAGTTTCACTATTTTGCTCAGTTCTTTTCATTCCTGTTACAAACATCAATGTATTATGGAGTCGTGTATTGGTTTTCCAGGCAGTCGCCTCGCAAGTGAGAGGACCTGGGTTTGATTCCCAGACGGGGAAACCCTAAGCCAAGTTTCCTCACCCCTCACACCTGTTTACCTCGCAGTAAGTAGAAACCTGGTTGTTAGTCGATGGGCAGATTGCTTTTCTGGGGTAATAACCCCTCAAAATGTTTGCTATAACCTTTTTTTTAATATCTAACTGACTTATTTTTGTTTTAAATTTACATGCAATCTTGTCCTAGCAGCTTATTTTAATATTAAACAATAATTAACAGCCGCAGCTCCTTTGGCAAACGCAGAGTAGCAATCTGTGAAAGACGATGCTAAAAAAGGAAATATATTTGCACACAGCACCAAAATCGGGCCATTTTCCCCCAAGTCTCCTGCTCAATGGGGAACGAGTGGGGGGAATGGTACTAGTAGGCAGCTCTATCAAACCCGGAAGCAAGCATGGTGGGCCGAATGGCCTCCTGTGCTGTCAAATTCCCTTAAAATACATTGATCGCTTTCTGCTTCAACATCTTTTTTGGTGAGTTTCACACCCTCTTATGTAAAGTTCCTCCTAAACTGGCTTTAGTTCTGCGAATGACTATCTTATAATTATACCGCCTCATTTTGACAATCTATTTATCTCCACCTTATCAAACCCTTTCCATAAATTTTAAAAACTACTGGATTATGCCTTCTCAAACACATTTCCAGGGCATCAAAGAAATGTCTAACCTGTCCAGTCTTCCTTGATAACTGTACCCTTGCTTGTTCAGGAAACAAGTACAACATTTTGTCAACAGTTTATTGAATTCCTGTTTACAGCAGGTTCGATAAGATAGGGAAAATAAATGACTGAACACATTTTAATGTCAGAATTTTATTAGTTTTAGTTCTAAAAACAATATTTTTGAAGCATTAAAGCAAAATAAATCACTTAATGATCAACATCTTAGTATTTACAGTATGTTTAAAATTCATATTTCCTACAGTAGGTTAAACAAGACAAAAATTTCCTGAAAGGTGTTCACATTTTTATGTGGCATTTAAAAGCAATCATACCTTTTCCAAAAATAAAAACTGTGTACTTTCTCTGGAGGCTCCCATTTCCTGGTCGGGTACATTTAAGTGAAAGCATGCAACAAAAATGAACTTCAAATCACTGGTGAATTAAGTTTGTTTCCATAAAATTTGTTGCACTTCCTCTTCATGAATACAATTATGTGTGATGTCACATCATTATGTGCTTTAGTCACCTCCTGACCCACGTTTCTACACCAAACCAAATGTTCTCATGCCCCTCTGCCAATTTTAAATCTGTACGAAACGATTCTCGCCTTTTCCCCAAAATAGAAAAAAATGAAAATGTTTCAATCATTTCTTCCTGCTTCCCCAACTTACAGCTTAAATTGCAGCACACAATGAATGTGTTGGTGCCCTACCAACTCCAGTGAGATTATTGATCAATTTTTGAAAACCAAGAGGTCCCAAATAATTCCTTCACAATAAAAATCATTTGGTCACTCAATCCATGTCTCTTTGTGCTGCTCACTGCTATGCACAATTGGCTGCTGCATTTTTCCCACAAAATATAGTCAAATTCACTTTATATTCTGTGAAGCACTTCAGACGTCTTGAAGATGTGATAAGGCGCTATATCAAATGTAAGTATTATTGCCAAACTCAATTAAGAGCAATATGTTCACACAACATCCCAAAGGGATAATTTTTATTTGTAATATGTGACTTTTCTCCTGTTTTACATTAATGATAACTATTGTACATATTAATTAAGTGGGTTACTGTCCAGTCCAGTATTTGGGAGTACAAGAACTGACTTCTAGAAAAGGCCAAACCGTTCTGTACATTTCCCTGGACTTTTGGTTTATGTTTTTGAACTTTGCTGTATGTAGTAATAATAAGATTTCTGGAATAAGAATGTTCACTGTCACTGGGCTCGGGGAGGGAGAAAAGAATAACTATCTCACCACACGTTTGCAGACCCATAAACAAATAATTGTGTTCATTTTATTCCGTGGGAACTTCAGACTGTGTACACGTTCTCTTTTTAAAAGTTGGATCCCGATAAAAGATACTGAAATTTAAAAAACGTCAAGACAATGGAAACTGTGAACTCTACATGCTTTTCTGTGATCCTTCCCAGCACTATATATGAGTGGGATTACACATTCATCTGAAAGCAGTACACCCACTACATATAATGGCCTATTTTACATGTTACTGAATATCAAAACACACAATATTTATTTTCAGAGCCTTTTTTGAGATAACAATCTCAGAACTAAGTGTGCAACTGAATTAGGAAGGAACTTTGATTCAGTTCAATATAAGGCAACTAGGAATAGCTTTCTAGAATACTCAGCTGTAAATTCTAATAGTGTTATAATTTTACTGGAATACAAAATGTGAACCAGACAATCAGGATACAGAAAAAAAGTAAAAATTAGATGAACACAATTATCTCTACAATCTTAACAATTTGAAGTGTACAGTACTTGATGTTCTGTTCACATACAAAGTATTACTTTGTCTAAAAGAAAGTATTTAAAAAAAACACCAGCAAACAATAGAACTGATTTCTGCATACAAAAACATTTTTACAATAAATTTTGAATTGGGTTTTAATTAGAATAAAGTACTCCATTAACACCTTACGTTTTCCCCTCTGTGCTTACAATTTAATTCTCTGTAGCAAAAATAACTGCACGCACTCGGAAAATGGATAATGCAAGCTCATCCTTTGGATATAAATGTGTGCTGATTAGTAGCTGGAGAGCCCACAGATATGTCCTGAATAAATCAGGAATTATTTGGTGATAAGCGGGATCTGTTTTGGGTACACAAAAACAAGGCAAAAGTGAGCCCTGGATCTGAATGTCATCCTTAGTCACTATTCCTCTTGTTCACAAGATCCACCACTACTTGTGGAAGGTTCCAAAATTGTCACAAATCTAATGTGCAGTCTGCGAAGAAACACAAAGTTTGTTTCTGTTGAGCATATCTGGGAAAATTGGGTCACTGAAATGCCTCAACTTGGAACAGTTAAACATGCAACAAGATTCTCGCCCATCCCTTCTATCTGATCGTGCACAATTTGAATCATAAAATGTTTCACAAAGGATTTTAATCTCAGGAAAGTGAATTCCTAATTAACCTTTGATGGTAATCCAAACAAACCATTCAGGATATCAACCTAATACTACAACCTACACCCGCACTAGTTGTATTTTGCACGTAGCATTTTCATGGTCCTAAAACGACTGCAATCATTGTGTCCGAGAATATTTGATCCCTCAATGCCTTCAACCCAATCTTTTGAAGTTTATCCTATTTTCCAAGAGCAACACCCCTTATCTATTTTGGGATAATCTTGCCCAAGGTTTTGCCTGAATTTGCAATCAAGGTTTAATTTAACTAACTTGCGTAAAATGTACCATCTCCAAGTCTATTGGTATTTTGAAGACCTGGACCACATTTTTTTTTTGCAATCTTTTCTCCCATGAAAACATTTGATTCAGCGAGTTACTCCCAAGCATCAGAATCATCTGAGAACCAATGTCCTATTGAAGAGGCGCAAGAAAACAGTCTATTCTCAACAGCTAAAACACACTGATTTACATTTGAACTACCTTTAGATGCAACCCCATCATTTTTTAGCCTCATCTGTTAACAGTTCGACATTGAATGAATATGTCCAATGAATGGTCAATAATCAAACCCAAATATTAAGTCTTTCATGTTTCATTTTAATAATAATAATCCTTGCATTTAATATAGCGCTTTTCACGTCTTCTTGTTGTTCTAGACGTCTCAAAGCGCTTTACAGAATATACTGTAAAGTGAATTGACCGTATATTTGTGGACGAACGCGGCAGCCAATTGTGCACAGCAGCGTCCCACAAACAGTTGTGGACTGAAAATGACCAATTTATTATTGTTTTGGTTTTGGAGGGATTATTATTAGGTGTGTAGAGTAAGGAAACTTGCCCAAGGTTTCGCCCTCTGCCTGGAATTGAACTCAGGTGTCGCTTGCAAAGCGAGTGCTCTAACCACTGAGCTACAGGACTCCACAATATATTTTGTATAGTACAAAAGCTCAGAACAGTCCCCTGCAAAGTATCACTGCTTACTGTCCCCAGAATCTTGACCAATTATATGAATCAAGATATTTTTCAACCCAAACGTCTAGTTTTAAAACTAGATCATAAATTCCACTTGGCTTTATCTTTTCTTTGAAAGCCTGAGATTGCAAATTTTCATCAGATGCCCCTGAAAATCCAAATAAATGTCATCCACTATATTACCCTTTTCAAACGATCCTTTAGTGGAAGTCAGGATCTCACAGAATCTCTGTGGTTTTGTAATTAAACTAAGCAGAGTCTAATATACTTTTTCCACTCATTCTTTGAAGATTCTGGGGATACCATCTACTGCAGGAGCCAAGCTGACATTTCATGGTTAAGAGTTTCTTCTTAACATGCTTTACTAACCTCAATACAATCATTCCCAACAGCTCAATGACTGTATTTTGAGGGTTTAAAGACCTCTGTAAAGCTTGAGTCCCATGGTAGGATCCTTCAAGTGATGTAATGCTAGGTCTGCTCTTTAAATCCAGCCTTGTCTACTTTGTACGTAGCATTACATAGCTTTTGATGCAGTCTTATCTTCCTCTTGTAATACTCATTTATGAACCAAATGGCCTCAAAAAATGTTGTCAAATTTCACATGTAATTTAGCAGTGATTAGGATCAACAAGCAGTTCAACACATCAATGAATGGTCCAGTCCTTTGCTGGGTGGAAAACTCATTGTGCAGACGACATCATCTCCCCATCAAGGATGATATTTAACCCACACATACCCACAATTTAATCACTCAAGTTGCATGTCAAGATTAATGAAGAACCTCAACCTAAACAATGGAGAATAGTTGATGATGCAATTCCTTCTGTACATTAAACTCAGTGAGCTTCTAAAACAGCTCTAGGTGGAATAATCCCCGTTTCCTGCAAACTGAAGCAAAATCTGTTAAGATTTTTACCAAATAGCTAAAGATACTCAATTTCTATGGAAGTACCTGCATGTTAGTCCACAAGTCACCAGCTGGTGTCGTCCTTTCAGCTCTGACCAACGCACCCATTTTATTACTGTCGTCAAAGAGATCTGTTGCATAGCAACATACAAGCCACTTAATTGTATCTGTAATTAAAGTCATTTCATGATTTGAAATATAACAACAGCAGCAACTAATTGCATTTATATAGCGCCTTCCACATCAGGAGGATGTCCCAAGCTGCTAGACGGTCAAGGTTTTGCACCCGAGCTGGGGGTTGGGATCAAAAGGGGTGGAGGGCAAGTGGAGGTGGGAGGATCATATATAAAATATAAAAATCAAATACAAACCTACAAATAGCAATATAAGTGAATTTGCCAGCTTTTAACCATTTAGCTCAATACATCGTTTGCGTGCAACAAAAAGCATCTGATGGTTTGCAAAAAGTACAGTAAAAAGGACAAACTGATTTTCAAAAGAATTGTCACAAGTAGCAAATATATTTTCCCATTATTTTCTAAATGGAGTCATAAGCGTATTAAACTCCATATATCTGTCTGTTAGTATCAAAATAACTTACATATTAAATAAGCTGCTACCTACCTCCAGAGAGGCAGGCCAAAACACCAATATTTCATGGGGGGCGGGAAGGGAAGGAAATGAGAAGTAACCCAAGTCTAAGGGGCTCAGTGCTCCAGATTTCACTAAAGCAGATGTTAAATTTAAATCATGTTGGGTAAGTAATAGCTAAGCATGTTGAACTATTTGTTTGAAATCAACAATATAGTGCCAGTTTCACACTTAATTCGAAGTATGTAGCACTGAGGGAATTGGCAAAGTACAGTACAAAGTTTATGTAAAAATAGCACTTTCATTTGGAGGGGCTAAAATATCAGTAACACCAACCAATTTAATGCACCAAACTTCAATTAGAAGTGGCCAGTCATTTTCTTATGAAGACAATGGCTAGGGATGGATATGAATTTTACTCTGGTTTTAAAAGTCAAGCAGCAACTTGATACTTTTTTTCAACATAAGGTCGACACAGTTGCAGCATCTCTTGATAATTAAACAATTTGGCCTTTAATTCTCATTAACCCTAGGATTCAATGAAAGTATAATAAAGCAATAACATTTCCATAATGAATATTGTGTTCAGTTGCATTGCCAGAGGGATAGGGTTTTTATGGATTAACGTGTAGCTTGGCTCTCAAAGTACTTCCCGGTGTGACTTCAGTCTCCACAAATTATTTCCCCTGAAAGTAAAAGAGATAGTGTTGTACTATGAAAAACAATCCTTCAAGGGAACACAAAATGTGCTGAGCCAATCAAACTCACTCTGGCATGTTAACTGCCAAAGATGCAACAAATTATTTTTGCTGTTCTTCACTTGACCGCATACAAAACAATGGTTGTATATGAAACACCTTAATTGCTCGGAACCATGTAACAAACAAAATGAGCTGTGATTCCACACCCAATCCCAAAGCAAAAGGAATATTACATACTTTCTGCAATCAGTTCATTAAGAACACATGCTGCTATGATTGTTTAAATGGGTTTTTACAAACTACATTCACTAGCATTTCATAGAAACTTAGAAGATACAGTTCAAAACTACACTTCATTTTCAAATTATATTATGCTGGTCAATCAGAATTTTTACTAGCAATCATCCAGATTGTAGAGAACCATTTTTGCTTATAGCAGGAATGTTTGACTGATTGTGAAATGTTAAGAGGATAACATTTCCAGAAATTTGGCAAAATATGGACTTTTTCTCAAGGTAAAGAGCTTGTTGTAAAACGTCAAAAATTCTTAAAACTCCAAATTTTGTGGGAATTGAAGTTAACAATTACATGGTCAATACTCTACTGGGGCAACGTGATAAAACAGGACACATGTATTTCGAGTTGTCATTAAAGTTGCTTGACTCAGGTCTCCTGTTATTCAGGCAAGAAGCATTTTCCTGAAAACAAATTAAAAATGTTTTTTTGCACATAGAACACAAAGCCATAATTCATCTTAAAATCAAAAATCACAAACTTGTAATACATAAATTGTTTACGCTATACCAAGAATCATCCAAAAATAGTGCTAGCAATTTGTCAACAGCTCTTTAACATTCTCTTACTGGAAATTGGTTTTCAATCCAAAACTTTGAAGAGATACAGGGCAACAACAAGAAAAAATACATTAGATGTTTTCCCCACTTGGTTTCATGTTACCATCTTTACTAAAGGTAGCTGAAAGAGTAATGGTGAAACATCACAACATGATCTAAGTACTTCCAACTCATTCATCTTTACTGTGCGTTATTGCTAATAGGCTATCAAGGCAAGTGTAAATGAACACACCTTACCCTCTGAACACTTTCACTACCAGTAGCAATCAGGGCTTTATTTTTCAGCCAGAACTAAATTGGGGGTTACTCAATTCCATACTTGTTTCAATATTTACACACAAAAATAACAAAGGAAGTGCTCCACCTTACCTGAGAACAATGCAATCTCCTCCAGAAAAAAACTGCATCTTACCAGTTCTCAGGCTGCCCCTGTATCATGGTGTAAAAGCCAAATCTGATGGTTGTATTGAACAGGTCAGATTATTCAGTGAGTTCTGCTTGGCTCACTGAATAATCAAATAAGTCCCATACAAAAAGATCTTATTGAACTCCCTGTGGACCTATGGACACCTAATTAAAAAGGAATTTGCATTCCCTCAGACTCAAATCAGACCTACCCAATAAGATTAAGACATCAATTTGACCAAAGAAAATATCCATAGTATGGTTAACCAAATGTAACTTTACTGTTAACCAGCACTTGAGAAACAACTCCATCCTCAAACAAACAAGTGACTAAATTGTGCAAACAGAAATGTGAATTATGACAAGATCGCCAATGTTACTCATTCCCAGAAAACAGGTTTCTACAGTCTCTACTCAGGTACCTCTTCCCTCAACCCAACTGGTACTATCCTTGTTCTCTTACACCACTTACTGTTTACAAACAAAGCCCAAGTAATAAATGATTCAAACTAAGATCAGCCAATTTACACAACATTACTTCCACCATTATTAGGGCACTCAGAGCGCAATGTATTTGCTTCCACACATTTTCAGATAAATTTACTAAATCGGAATTATCGCCTTTGTCACTATGAATAGAAATAAAAATTAGGATCTGATACAAATTATCTGCTAAGGATTTACAAACTGGACATCAAATATCAAGCTGATCAGACGGCACTGTCGAGGATTTTGAGACGTCCTCCCAAAGTGAAATGCACTATCGAAATGTAAATTATAGTGCATCAATATCACGACAGATTTGGATAAATAGGAATGCACCAATCTGATTTCTTGATTGGGAATATTCATCTATATAAATAATTAGTGTTATATATACTTACATGAATGTTTTACAGCTTTTTAAATTATATTCTATTAGTATTCTATTGCAGGCAGATACTAACTAAAATCTCAAGGGCTTTAACAGAAAAAGGAATAATTTATGATAAACTTTTGAACTCCATGGTCCTGTTTTGTGCTACATCCATTTAGCCATAAAGGCTGCAAATGATTCACCTTAATGCAGTCAAATGTATTCGCCAATGGTCTATGGTTAAGTGTTGAGTTTGCAATAAAACTCTGCTTCAAAATAATAAGATTGCTCATAGAAGCCACGAGAAAGCTGAAATCACCTTTCTTAACCCTAAAACAGATTTCAGAAGGTGAGAAATAATGTATACATATTCACAATTAAGTTTGGTTGTTAAATGTTTTTTTTCAATTTTTTTTAAAAAAACCAGCAAACACTCTCTAATAGGTAGGAACAACAATGCATTTATGTAGCGCCCTTCACGCGGGGTAGTGCTTGAATTACTATTCTTTCCCGGAGGAAAAACGTTTTGTGCGGCTCGTTGGAATTCATAACGCTGTACAGCAACTGAGTGTTTTCATGCGGTATAGGTGAAATTACTTACAATAATTATAGATAATGACAATAATTATAGTAAGAACCCAAGTCATATTTAAAAAGTTTCATATTAAAAATGGGTAGGTTATGCAGCTGTCCAATCTGCCTGCCACTCTTGCTCTACCATTTTATTAGTTGACTCTTTAGCTTTGTAATTCTAGTTTTCTCCATTCTTTCTCAGGTACTTATCTATCATTTATAGCAATAATAATCTTTTCATTTGATATAGCGCTTGTCACGTCTTCTAGACGTCTCAAAGGGCTTCACAGAATAGACTGTAAAGTGAATTGACTGTATATTTATGGGCGAAACGCAGCAGCCAATTGCACACAGCAGCGTTCCACCAACAGTCGTGGATTCAGTGAATACTTTTTTTTGTTTTTTTTCGCTTGAGAGATTATTCTCAGGCGTGTGGAGTAAGGAAACTTGCCCAAGGTTTCACCCTGCTGGGAACTAAATCCAGGTCTCTTGAGAGGCGAGTGCTCTAACCACTGAGCTACAAGAGTCCTGTAATTATTTAGCAAAAAAAATTCCACATCATTAACCTTTTGGGAAAATTAATTTTACGTTTACACAACCTCTTGCGTTAAGAAACATTTCTGGGTTTACTGTTAACTGGTTTATCTCAAATTCTAAGATTATGACCCTCCTGATGTTAGATATTCGTTCATCTACAAAGAGATGGTCAAAGAGAGGATCCACAATTATTAACTGATAGAAATATAAAACCAGTTTAAACAGAACACTGAAATACATTCAAGTTTAACTAACTGGGAGGGAAGCAGGTGATAATAATAATAATTTGGTCACTCACTCCACGACTGTATGTGTGCACGATTGGCTACCGTATTTCACCCACAAAATATACCATCGATTCACTTTACAGTATATTCTGTGAAGTAAGCTCTTTTGAGACGTCTCGAAGACGTGATAAGGCACTATATCAAATGCAGGGATTATCATTATTATAATAAAACAAGAGAAGGGCTCAAATTAGAAACTGTCTTGAAAATGTCACACTTTTAAATGCAAGAGAAAACAAATGGGATCATCAAGACATTAATAATAATCAAATAGGACGAACCAAAAAGATGCTAAACAATATTTGTTCTGGATTAGTTATTATCTGAGTATAAATTAACCATGTTAGCTGACTAGATTTTCAGAACCTGGAATAACACTGTCAGAAATCCATTTGTCAGAAGGGTTTTGCAAAATATTTACTACTAATTGCTTTGCATGCTTTTACTGAGAGTACAGCAATTATATTCTTCTAAAAAGATTGATATTTGTACAATATCTTAACAAGCTCTTACAGTATAGTATGCGTGAGGTTATTTTTCTGTGCTAAGAAGTCATTCCAATTTCTACATAATACAAAATACATCCATTGTTCTTCCAGTCTGGCACCTCCAACAAATCAGTATTTTGTGTTACAACAACTCTCTTCTGTGTACCATCAACAGTGCCAGTCATTCTTTTAGAGAATAAAGGCAGGTAGGAAAGTAGCAAAGAACCTGAGTCTATCATATAAAATAAATCGGTGATTAGAAAACAACTGTTGGTGATTGGAAAAGGTGTACCTTAAGTGTCCCTTAATGGGAATTACCAGTGTTTCAACAGCTAAAAACAAACTCTACACACATCTCTGGCTCACCCATTATTTTACAGAAAATTAACTACCTTGACTATAATGAGAAAACTCCAAAAAGCACAGAAAAACATTGAAGCTACCTAACATACATGATCAAACAGTGATACAATCATTTTCCTACAAAGGCTTCAAAGCTTAAATCAAACACAATACTGCTCCTTAAATTGAGCCAAACAAGACAACAACTAAATACTAAAACACTTTCCTACAAGCTATAAACAGGACTGACAATCCACAATGTAAATTTGCTATGACATAGATCCCAGGCTCCAAAGACCTCATTTAAGCCTGCTTTTTGATTTCTCAAAACAACATCAAAAACAATTACAACTTTGGGGGCTGGGATAAAGACTAGGAGAGAAAGGACATCAGTGTACCACATAACTCTACATCTATTTTATAAAGAGAAATAGATAAACATAAATATGCCAGTAGAACATACAATAACAAGTCCACTATTTAACAATAATTTAGTGTTTGGACTCTCCTGAAGCATTTGCAAACAAACAACTTCATCTTCTATAGAATGTTTTTCTACAGTCTTTTGCTCACTGTGACTTTTATAACCACAAAACCAATCAATAAATTTCCACCACTTGTTCCTCCCTTCCAATCGTTTCTCCTCTGTAGCAGTTTGGTCCCTTGGGATGGTTTCACTGCTCACGCAGCAGTCATTTGGTGTTTGGCCCTCGGAGTCACAAGTAGAGTTCAAGCATTTGGAATCGTCTTCCAGCATCAACGTAACCAATTCTGCTCTATCAACTACTGGAGACTGACCGCCTGATCTGCAGTTACCATTGGCATCACCTGCACCGCCATCGGATACGGTTTTGACTGTTAGTTTTTTGATTTCCACTTTCTGACACCTTTCTAGAATTTCTAAGTCTTTTAACGCCCAGAATGTGGTTGTCTGAATCAGCTCTCTTGATGGAGGAGGCGTTAGCAGGCTCACCACGACCGCCAAAAAGACAGTGATCCAAAATAGTGCAGCTGCCACGTACATGTAGTGAATGTTTTTGATAAAACTTGGTCTGGTGTCGGATACATCACAGTCAGGTATTCGATAAATAAAGGCAAGAATCAAGCGGGTGATTCCAAAAGCTGAGCCCACCAATCCTCCACAGAAAGCTCCCTGTTCGTTGCAGCGCTTCCAGAATACACCAAGGAGGAACAGGGCTGCCACGGGTGGTGTGAGGTAATCTGATACCTCTTGGATATAAAGGTACATCTGTCCTCCCTGCATCTCTACAATAATGGGGACCCAGGCAATACTCATGAATACCATGAACACAACAAAGAGACGGCCTACTGTCATGAGCTCTCGGGAGCTGGCAGTCTTTCGAATCATTTTGTAGATATCAAGTGTAAAAATAGTGCTGGCGCTGTTGAATATGGAATCTAAATCGCTCATTAAAGCTGCTATCATGACCGCCATCATGAGGCCACGGAGACCTACAGGCAAGATGCCCAAAACCAGACGTGGATAGGCAACGTTTGAGCAGCCTGCTCTGCTGCCACATACTTGCATGCAGTGCTCGGGATTAACGCAAACAACGTCATCGACAAAGAGAATCCTGGAAATCATGCCTGGAACCACTATAATAAACAAGGGTAAGAGCTTCAGAAAACCAGCCATCAATGTCGCTCCTTTAGCATGAGCAATGTTTTTTGCTGCCAAAACTCTCTGAACAATGACTTGATCTGCACACCAGTACCAAACAGATGCAGTCGTTTGACCTAACAGGAAGCCGGGCCACGGGACGTCCTCGTCAGATGGTTCACGCAAAATCTTTAAAGCATCTTCTTTCGGGTGGATATGACAAGTTTCCGAAGAACTTAAATTAAAAGAGGTTAAGATTGAAGTAACATTTGGGGAAGCCAGCATGTATCTGCGCCTGAGTTCCTCAAATCCTCCCACCTTTATCAGGCTGATAATCATCAATGTCAAAGCCCCCATAATCATCAGAACGGCCTGAATGGTATCTGTGTAGATGACAGCCACAAGACCTCCTGTGATGGTTAAAGCTGCAGTCATCCCAATCAGAATGATAACAGAGATGTACAGGTCCCATCCCAATGACTCCCGAATAAACAGTGCACCAGCGTACAAGTCAACAGAAAGCTTAGTGAAGACGTACAATAATAATGACAAGCTAGCAAAATAGATTTTGATTCTATTGCCACCAAAGCGTTTGGACAGGTACTCCGGCATGGTGTACACACCGGACCTGATGTAGACCGGGATGAAAACCCAACCCAAAAGCTGCAAAATTAATAGTGCATTGAGCTCCCAAGCGCCCACTGCAAATCCACTGGCAGCTCCAGATCCTGCTAACCCAATAAAGTGTTCACTGCCAATATTGCTCACAAACAGTGAAGCACCTACTGCCAACCAGTTCATAGAGCGTCCAGCAAGGAAGTATCCACTCACTGTACTTCTGTTGGACTTCCACATAGCAAAAAAGCCAATGCATATCACTAGGATAAAATACAATGCTACAACAGCTATGTCTGGGATTTCCATAGAGCCATGCATTTTCCACCGGTAGTTTTAATAATATTTTAAGATTACAGTAATGGATAAATAATTATCACACACGTTACTCAAATACTACAACAAAAAGCACAGTAGTAAAATACTTTATGTCCTTTGGTTTGCTGCCCTGACGGCAAATGGAGGCGTCCAGTTGTATATAGATACAGAAGTGACAACTAATATTTTATCTTGTTAACTTGACTTTTGACTATTTCTCATACTCTTTCTAGCAGCATTCCACAAGACTGTCAATGCTTAATATGTTGTTGTAGGATTTCTCAGCTGTTGCTGACAGTTCTAGCGAGGACTAGTTACAAGCCTGTAAAGACAACAAAGACAGAAAACAATGTTGATATTAGAATTCCCCTCATTGGGCTCATGCACACGTATATATATATCTATATAAAAAGGAAATAAAAAAACACTTTCAATGATAGCCAAACTAAAAAATTCATAATTGAGCGAATTCACTTTAAATGAAAAGGCAGAGTTTTGATGAACTCTATATTACCAATTACTGCTTACTCAACACCCTAACTTTGCATCTAAAGGAATATGTTAACATAAGAGTTTGAGGAATGAAAAGAGAATAAACAGATGGGGTTGATATAATGAATACACATCTTTAGGGCTGGTGGTTTATGCCAAATAAACCCGAGCAACCTCAAACACAGAAGTACAACATTGGAATTACAAAACTTGTAGATCAATTTATTTTGAATAATTTAACTATCGCTGGCATATGTTCCATTCATACAACACATTTGAAGTAATTTAAATTTTAAGAGTTTGTTTGCCATGTTTAAATAATATAATAATCCTTGCATTTGATATAGCACCTTATCACGTCTTCGAGACAACTCAAAGCGCTTCACAGTATATACTTTAAAGTGAATTGACTGTATATTTTGTGGGTGTGTGCTTACAATCCAGTGAAAGACTGTGAATGGGTATGTAGATGTCCAAAATCATAGTTATGTAGATTCTCAGAAGTTAAACAGAAAACCTTCCAATGAGAGGACTCAGGTTTGATTCCCAGACAGGGTGAAACGTTAGGCAAGTTTCCTTACTCCACATGCCTCTGTTTACCTAGCAGCAATTAGGAACCCAGTTGTTGGTCAATTCGCTTTTCTAGGGGTGATAATCCCTTCAAAAATATATCTTTTCTAATAATATGGTCACTGAATCCACCACTGTTTGTGGGACACTTCTTTGTGCAATTGGCTGCCACGTTTCACCCACCAAAATATATCGTCAATTCACTTTACAGTATATTCTGTGAAGTGCTTTGAGGCGTCTTGAAGACATGGTAAGGCGCTGCGTTAATTGCAAGGATTATTATCATCATTATTATATCAATGTAGTCAATCCACAAATAAATTATAATTATTGCCTCCTTATTGAGATTTTTTTAAATGTATCCTTATAACAAAAGCCACTGGTTGTTTTGGGTTGTATAAATATTATAAACCAAATAATTGCAAGAATAGAATGGATATGGATTTTTTTAAAGTTATACATAAAGTGGCTCAAATTAAACAGGTTATGTAGGAACAGAAAAATGCTCCACTTTGTAATTCAAGAGCAGAATAAACATTTGGTTGGCACACTTCTCAATGTTTCGCCCACAAAATATACAGTGAAGTTACTTTACAGTATATTCTGTGAAGGCGCTTTGAGACATCTCGAAGATGTGATAAGGCGTAATATCAAATGCAAGGATTATTATTTAAGTGACTTCATAAAGAATGTAAATAGAAGATTTTAATATTAAAGCAGGTATGAGGTTATACTTGCAAACCCATCAAGTAATTAGTGCATAGTACAAGTGGTTCACAGGATATGGAATTTGTACTCAAAGTGCAATGTTTACTGAAATAATTGTATTATCACAGCCCAAATTTCCAATCCTGTCAAATGAAATGTGAAAACAAAAATAAAGATGTTGGAAATCCAGTTAGTATACATTCTGTGAAATGCAAATTCCAGTTTAAACTTTCATTGCTCCCCTCAAGGACTCCAGTTCCTGGCCATATTAGTCAATGAAGCACATCTCAGCTATTTTACGATATTATGAATGAATAATTGACTTTGGTTTAGAGGCTCTAGTTATAAAATGACATAGTCTGATTAAGATTATATTTGTAAAATCCATTTGAGGTTGTAAATTTCTCCTGCCCACCTAACATTTTAACAATCTCTCCTGAAAAGCAACTTATTTCAGTCTCCAGATTATGTTTTGATACAACAAATGGATATAGCAAACATCTCTTTGAACATAATCTTTGGCAAAAATCAAAGAATTTTAAGTAAAGTTGAGGCCAGTATATTTTTGAAGGCACGGTTATTAGAATTAGTAAGTATATAAATGCACCATAATCACTGTGTTTGCCATTCATTATTTCGTAACGGCCTTGTTAGAATCCATCATCTTTTTGGTTATCACAATAAGTGAAATAAATCATTCATATACACTTATTTTCAAAGTGACATTCATTTAGAGATCCAACTTGAGGAAAGTTTGAGGTCATAAGATGAGAGGGTCAATGAAGCCCTACAGATACAGAAATCAGCACAGAGCAAAATTATATCAAATGAACAAACTTCATATACCAGAATGCATTTGTAAATGGTTCGTAGATCTACTTTTGCACATGCCAAAAAGAAACCACAAGTCTTCAATCAATGAGTGGAGGCGAGTACCTTAAAGTTACACAAGAAAAAATCGTAGACAGTACAGCTCACAACAAGCCATTCCAGTTTGGGTGGTGTTCAATCTCCACACGAGTGTCTCGTCTCATAACCACATGAGTACCTCATCCCACAACCACATGAGTGCCTCGTCCCATAATCCGGATTTTTCCCCATATCCTTCAACTCTATTCTCTCTTAACCATTTGTTTTGAAGGCGCACATGGTTGCCTCTCCAACGACTGACACTCCTACCACTCTCTGTCTCAAAACATGATTCCTAATCTCCATTATGGACCTCCTAATTCTGATTCTAAAACTACGTAAACGAATTAAGTTTTCCCTATGCACCTTATCTAAGCTTCCCATCACCTTATTACCCTCGATCATATCCCCTTTCCGCCTTCTGAATTCCAAGGAAAAAAGCCCCAGGTTTATTGAGCATTTCTCTATAACTGTAATGTTCTCTTCATTCCAGGCTCTACTGCCTTTCAGCGCCTTATCACCTTTCTTATAATGAGGAGTCCAAAATAAGTTTCACATACCTTATATCTCACATAATCTTCACATTTCAATACAAAACTTAAGTTGTTCTTTAAGAGCTTACCATTTGAAAAATGTATTGTTTACTGATTACTAAAGAAATCTTGATTCCAATACTTATCTCTAACCCTGCACTGTTATCTACCCACCCACAGGAAATAGACTGTTTGTATACTATTCACTGCACATAATGTACTAATATATTTTCATATATGCATTTCCTCTCCCTTTCTATACAAACAATCTTTTTAACCTTGTGCATAGCGTTGTCCCATAATCAGCCATGAATTGAATGACCAATCTTATCTGGAGGATTATTCCACAAAGAGAAACTCCCTTCTCTTTTTGAGTAGAGCGGTGGGATGGACTTTTATCGTCCATCTCAACAGACTGACGGGACCTCAGTTTTATTTTGCTTTTCATCTGAAGGTTGGCACACTAGGTCCCAAACTAGGAGCTAAATATAATTTAGCTAAATGTATATGTCGGAGCAGAATTTGTTTTCACTATAATGGGAGATTTCATTCTACTCTCCATCATTCTGTCAGACCACTCAATTTTTAAAACAGTGAAGGAAACTGGACAATAAGGATCATTAATAATACAAATACTTGGAGGTTACTTCACTAATTTTGAATATTTTCAAAAATAAAATAATCCATGAGGTCAGTTATCAAGACCATCTTATTCACTGGAGAGAAAGTTACAAAGAAAACGAATGCCTTTCAAAGTACCGTCAATTATTTACAGCATTATTATTATTAATAATATTTATTATTATTGCAAAACAGTTAAAGAAAAGCAGGACAATCAGTGATTTTATAATAAATCAACTTACCTTCATATCCAGGAAAAGATTAACACAATAATGAAATTATATTATTGAAACTGTATATTAAAATAATTTGTAAATGGCATAAGAAACTATTGCTAAAAGGAACAACTTTATAACTTTCGTGCACCACTTACCTACACAAACAGCAGGGAGAAAACACAGCACAACTCTGCTTCCTATTGAAACAAGATTCTAGCACTGTCAAAACATCACACTGTCTGAAACTGTTAACTTGATTTTGTATTTGTTAAGGATAAAATAGATTAACAAAACTTGCATTACTTTTGAATAATTTATAAAAGTATAAAAGTAGTTACATATACCGTGGAACATGATTAGCAAACTTATTTTATGGTGAATATTATGCTTTTTGTCTCAATTTACTTACCGTGTAAATGAATGGAACCACACAATTATAGTGAAATTCTCAGTTACTTTCTGGAAAATACAATCATTAACCTGCCATTGTTTATCTTGGAAAACACTGCAGGATAGATACAATTCATGAAATCAATGGAAAATTAGTTACCTCTGATTTTTTAATNAAAAACTCACCATCTTAGTTACTGCAGTTTTCTAAAGTGTGCATTGCAGTTCAGCTACGAAAAATGGGTCAATCTCAGGATCACAATCTTTCTGCAAAGTATGCAGTCAGTTTCAGTCAGTCTGGCACATAACCTAAAGTACAGCATGCAGCACATACTTATTAGAGTTTTGAACGTATCACTCCTTGAATCAACATCAATTTGAAGCTGAGCTGACTATTTCCTGTAATTGAACTTGAGGTCTCCTGCGTTATTCAGCCATTAGGCTCATTTAGTGTATCAATTGCAATATGGAATAGGAGATGAGAAAAAAAATCCCCCCACGCCAATTTAATGTTTTGAATATGCTGGTACTCTTATTTTAATCACAAATTGCTGTCACTTCTACCAGCACAAAAAAAAACTTTTCATTCGTGTGAGATAAAATGCAAGGATTATTATTATTAAAGTAGCTCAAAATGTTCTAAACTTTGAAAGAATAAAATATGCAGTTGTATTTCCAGCCATTTTTCATAACTTTAGTGAAAAAGCAGTAGCTGGATTCCTAGTGGAAAAAGTCTATACAATCACCAGGTAAAACTTACCAACTGTCCAGCGATATGGTAAACCTGGACTGTATAATGAAGAATGGGCTTGGAATGTTTATCACAAAGCAGAACACAGTACTTAGACTGCATTAGAGCTGTGAAGACAAGCTCTTGAAGTGGACAAGTCAACATTTACATAACAGTATGAAATACGAAGCAAACAACCAAATATTTGACTTTGTTTAAGATAAAGAGCCTGCAGCGCTACAACAATTTCTACATTGAACTTGGGCAAGTTTCCTTACTCGACACGCCTGATAATAATCCCTCAAGAAAAAAAACACAATAATAATTTGGTCACTTAATCCATGACACACGTTTTGTGGGTTACTGCCGTGCGTGATTAACTGCCGCGTTTCTCCCACAAATATACAGTCAATTCACTTTACAGTATATTCTGTGAAGCTTTGAGACGTGTCGAAGATGTGAAAAAGCTGTATATCAAATCATTGTATATTATTATTGTTTGCTAAACCTGTTGGGTCACAATTGGAATCCACTTATTAATTTAAGTTTTCCAAATATTAATTTCAAAAATAAAATATCCTGAAATAAAAAAAACTTGCAAATAAATTTTAATAAACAAACGACTCTCCGAAATACATTTGTACAACCGCAAAGATTAATAGATATTTGTGTGAAAATGTTCCTCCACTTGCTCAGTGACGTTTTGAAGACAGTGAAAGAAAAAGCAGAGGGATAGGATAGGAAATCGTTCAACATAAACAAGCTTATGTTATAGTGTGAGCTCACAAACAAATTGATGTACTCTGTCTGCATTGGTAACGATGATCTTAGAATAAGAGCAAGGCTGCAATTGGGTCGGACAGGAATAATAAATAGACATTAGAGCAAACATCTACGCCACCTGGTGGTTTAGGGAAAGGGAGCAGAAAAGATCCACACCCCCCACCAAGAACTTTGTGCAAATAAATCAGAAGAATAAAATTCTAGTTATCTTATTCTTTCTCTCTATCATGAATGTTTTCATCAATTCAAGCTAGCCAGCACGTCTGGTTTGGAAGCACAATAGAGATTGACTAAGGCTCTATTCTCCGATTCATTTTCCATTTTCCAAGGGAATGCATCGCTTTAGACTGCTGCAGAAAATCTCCCTTTAACATTAAAAGGGCAGCCTTGGGAAACTAAATGGGCCGCCTCTGCAGTCAACAAAGGCACAAAGAGATTTACAAGTATTTGAATAACCACCTTCCCCCACCCTGATATTTTTCCACCTCTCGTGGTACAAAGAGCTGTGAAAGCAAAGAAATGACCTTGGCATTTTACTGCTCATTGCAGAACAAAGCCAGACATAGAGAGAGGGAGAGAAGGATGTATTTTCTGGGTAGTTAGGGTGAAGCACTCACCCTCCGCATGGCTTTCATAATCAACGCTAGATCAGATCTAGGCATTTTGTGCTGTGCTATGAGGTCCTCGCTGTGCTGTTTCCAGTCAAATGTTTTTTGTGGTGTTTCTTATCCCCGCCTCCTAACATACATACGTCCTCGCCTGCCTTGCAAGAACCACTGGCAGCATTCCTCTTCCACCCACTCCCTCCCTGCTTAAAAGCACAGGGCTTTCTCAGGACATTAGCATCACTTTAAGGATTGCCTATTAAAATGGGCATTATTACCTCTCTAAAGCACCTATACCAAATAATAATAATAATCCTTGCATTCACTATAGCGCCTTCTTTCGTCGTTGAAACATCTCAAAGCGTTTCACAGAATATATTATAAAGTGGGTCATTTCTAGGCAAAATTTGTGTTCCTTTGACCCAGTTCCTGTTAAAAGCACAATATCCACCAGCAATCCACCATTGCTATAGCTCACCCCCCAAAATACAGTTGACTCTTAAATCAGATTTATGAAAAGCATAATCATGGTTAAAAAATCCATTTGTTAAATATAACAATTCCTAAAAAAAATTCCCCAAAAGCTGCATTATAATAATCCTGCACATTCCTGCACACCCAATATCCCAAAGACAGAGATGTCCAATTTACCTGGAAGATTGTTGGCCAGGACATTGGGAGAAACTCCTCTATCATTTATTCTTTAGTATCCACCCAAACTAACAGTCCGCACCTGTTTAACATCTCATATGAAGGACAGCACCTCCAACAATGCCTACAAAATCCAGCCAATTCACTTTACAGTATATTCTGTGAAGCGCTTTGAGATGTCTTAAAGATATGATAAACCACTATATCAAATGTAAGGATTATTATTCCTAATATAGTATTTCCCCAACACTCTATCCAGGACTGTGAACTCAAAATCCCCAATTTGCTCGTAAAAAGAATGGACTTGCACTCTGGTGCACATTTGAGGTTTAGAATTATTGCAGTTTATTGTGTTTTCTGAGCTAGATGCTCAGAAATGCACTAAATGTCTGACAAGTGCTCTATCTCTTCATTAAAGGCTGTTAGAAAATAATAAAATACCGATAGATTCTTGCAAATCTACAGGTGTGAAAGCAGCTTGTGCTGATTGACATACCTGGTTCCCTCTTAGCCAGCTGTTACATTAAGAAAATAAGATTAGCGCCCTTCCTGCTCCTGAGGAATGAGGATTGAACAAAGTTGCTTGTTGAAGTAGTCTTTGAGATGTAATCAAAGCTGGATGGTGACTAATTTCAGAATCAGCACTAGTTCATATCCAGGAATGCGTGTGTCCTGACGATGGTATTCCAGTCTTTAGTTTATAGCAAACATTCTCTCCCCTCTTGACCATCTAAAAGCATAAAAAAGCCACCACTATCCAGGAGAAAAAATGATGAAATCAGGATCAGTATTCAGGGCAGGAGCATTTTCAGATCTGTAGCATCATCAATATTTCCCTTTAATCCTTTTTGGGCTTTTCGTGGCCCATATTGCAGTCTTGGAAAGATGTCGGCAGTTACTCCTATGAACAGAAGGTTATTAGCAAGGCTATACATTTTAGTCTTTCATGACTAGTATGAGGTAAAATGTGAGGAAGCACAATTACAGTCTGTAGTGTCATTTCAGAGGAAAAACTTAAGGACGTGACTCAGGTAATAAAAGGACTGCAATTTGTTTCCATTGAGTACAATGGAAAAAAGTTCACTGGAGAGGGTGCAAAGGAGATTCACAAGGATGATCCCAGATCTGAGAGGTTATATCTATCAGGAAAGGCTGAACATGCTTCGGACTCCTTTCTCTTGAAAAGAGGAAGGTAAGCGATGACCTTATAGAGGTCTTTAAAATTATGAAAGGTTTTGATAGGGTAGACATAGGGAAGATGTTTCCACTTGTGGGGGAGACCAAAACCATATATCAATATAAAATAGTCACAAATAGATCAAATAGGGAAGTTAGAAGAAATTTCTTCACACCGAGAGGAGTGGGAATGTGGAACATGGTACCACAAGGAGTTGTTGAGGCAAACATCGCAGAAGTATCTAAGGGGAAGCTAGATAGGTACATGGGGGAAAAAGGTTATGCTTGAAGGCTTGGTTGAGGAAGGGCAGGAGGAGGCTCATTGTGGAACATTAACACCAGCATAGACCAGTTGGGCTGATTCTGTGCTGTACATTCTAATGTCTTGAGGAACTGTGGTCGCTGGGGGTTGGTGGGTGGAGTATATTTCAATTTTAATTGTTATGTTATTTTGTTGATTTGTATTTAGAGAAGTATGCATTACTGTAGGTTTGTTTCAAATTACTCTTCTTTTTGTCAATTTACAATAAAGCATTAATAATTAATTGCTCACTTGGAAGCCAATCTACTAAGCGCCCTAGTCTCTGCCGAAAGGATAAAGGAACTCTAGACACCTATCAACCTCATTTAGTTCCTGTGCAAAATAGTGTGCAAGTCTCAGTCAACCCACTTTCTGCCAACACTCTACTCCTGAAGAATGCGTTTCACAATATGGATATGAGGTATGAGATTAGTCTTCAAATACACAATTTGGGCCAACCTAATTGAAATTCTGTATTTAAAGACATTGTAATTTACAGACAGTGTCTATAAATTGACATTGGAAATCATAGATTTATAGAAATTCTAGCAGTGCATTCTACACTATTAGAATTTAAAGGGAAAATATTCAGCATTCTAACTTGGTATTAAATTTGTCAGCATGGTATCTAAAAATATTTGGGAAAAAAATGCCAGTTGGGTCAAATCTCACCGCACTTTTACCAAAAACTTTTACCTACTCATATCTAATGATGCAGTTATTATTGTTTTACACCTACATACCTATTCGAATGTTTAAGCATTCACTAAGTACTATTTGGCCACCTCTTTTTTTCATTTTCAGAGAAACCAGCCATGTTAATCATTTCAAAACAAATTAAGTCAAGGACAGCATTTTTTTTCCAACTCATAAAGTCTGAGTTATTTTTCTGCACTTGTTGCTTTCTATTTTAGCACAATTTATTGACATCTTTTGCCTTACGTAGAAAAAAAGCAATATAACATAATGGTAGAAAAGACTTATTTAGTCTAATATCAATAGCAAAAGAGCTATGGTATTATCTGGAAGACACCCATTTGAAAAATACGAATGCCTAATTTTCCAAGATGAGAAATGTTGTTTCGCATCAGGGATAGCAGAACTAGNTTTTTTTTGGCCATAGAGAAATAATTTTGTATTCACTCGTATTCACTTACTATGGGTAGTGTTCAGCTATAAGAAATTCCCAGGCTCTATCCTTACTTTACAACAACAACAACTTGCATTTATATGGCGCCCTTCATGGGGATTTACAAATTATGGTCATCCTACCTCCCCCCCCACCCTGTGTGTGTAGAAACATCGAGAATTGAGGCAAAGAGGAGGGGCATAAGGACATGGTGGGAGGGAACGTACGAAAACCTCGAAGAATTGATGGACGGTCAAGAAGGAATGTTATTGCAGGAGGGGAGGGACCGTATGGAAACTTCTAGAAGGAATGAAGGTGTAAGTGTAGAAACTTCTAGGAGGAGTGAAGGAGGAGGTGTGCAAACTTCGAGATGGAGGATGAGTAGTTGTGGAAACTTCTAGAAATAGTGATGGAGGAGGGAAGAGGTGTAGAAACTTCTAGAAGGAGTGATGGAGAAGGACTGTCGAGAAGCAGTGATGGAGGAGGGAAGAGGAGGTGCAGAGACTTCTAGAAGGAGTAATGGATGTGTGAAAACTTCTAGAGGGAGTGATGGAGAAGGGAAGAGGTGTGGAAACTTCCAGAAGGGATGATGGAGGAGGTGTGGAACTTCCAGAAGGGATGATGGAGGAGGTGTGGAAACTTCCAGAAGGGACGATGGAGGAGGCGGGGAAACTTCTAGAAAGAAGTGGTGGACGAGGCGTGGAAACTTCTAGAGGGAGTGATGGAGGAGGACCGTCGAGAAGGAGTGGAGGAGGAGGAGGACCGTCGAGAAGGAGTGGAGGAGGAGGAGGACCGTCGAGAAGGAGTGGAGGAGGAGGAGGACCGTCGAGAAGGAGTGGAGGAGGAGGAGGAGGGAGAGGAGGAGGGTGGCCGAGTAGGAGAATGCGGCAGCGACGCTCCGCCAAACAGGAAGGAAAAGGGGAGGACAATGTAAATCGGGTCAAATTAAACGAATCCGCCGTTTTCACACCTCGGCTCTCAACATAAAAAAGGGGACGAGGGGAAGGGGGGGGGCGAGGGGAAGGGGGGGGGAGAGGGGAAGGGGGGGGGCGAGGGGAAGGGGGGGGAGAGGGGAAGGGGGGGGCGAGGGGAAGAGGGGGGCGAGGGGAAGGGGGGGGCGAGGGGAAGGGGGGGGGCGAGGGGAAGGGGGGGGGGCGAGGGGAAGGGGGGGGCGAGGGGAAGGGGGGGGCGAGGGGAAGGGGGGGGGCGAGGGGAAGGGGGGGGGGCGAGGGGAAGGGGGGGGGGCGAGGGGAAGGGGGGGGGGCGAGGGGAAGGGGGGGGGGGGGGGGGGCGAGGGGAAGGGGGGGGGCGAGGGGAAGGGGGGGGGGGGGGGGCGAGAAAACGTTAGGATCCCGCGTCATGGGAGTCATCGGTCCACGGTTCCGCCTCCGATTAGCCCCCACACAGACAGACGGACAGTCAGTCAGTCAGTCAGACAGACACTAACGCTTCACGACGAGTGAGTGCGTGGTCGCCACAGGCGCTTTGAGACGCCTCGACCGCGTGGGGGGACGGGATGGGGGGGGGGGATGGGACGGGACGGGAGGGCGGGAAGTCGAACCGGCGCATCGAATGCGAGGCTTCTTGTTATCCCCATCAAAATAATTATTATTCTGATATCAAAGCGCAATTTATTTGGGGGGTTGGGGGGGGTTTGTCAATATCGTTGTCAATTATTATCTTTTTTTTTAATGAGGAATAATTTCCCTTTGGCCGATTTTCCTCCCTCCTTTTTTTTTGTTTATCTCTCTCCCTCCTCTTTATCCCTCTCTCCCTCCTTATTCGCCTCACTCCCTCCATCCCTCCTCCTTATTCGCCTCACTCCCTCCATCCCTCCTCCTTATTCGCCTCACTCCCTCCATCCCTCCTCCTTATTCGCCTCACTCCCTCCATCCCTCCTCCTTATTCGCCTCACTCCCTCCATCCCTCCTCCTTATTCGCCTCACTCCCTCCATCCCTCCTCCTTATTCGCCTCACTCACTCCCTCCATCCCTCCTCCTTATTCGCCTCACTCACTCCCTCCCTCCTCCTTATTCGCCTCACTCCCTCCCATCCCTCCTTCTTATTCGCCTCCCTCCCTCCATCCCTCCCCATCTGACTAACCTCTCCAACAAGAGGTGGGGGGGTTCAATAAACCGATCGATTAATTGATTGAGAAAGAAAAGAAGGAAAGAAAGAAAGACAGAAAGACAGACAGACAGCGTCGCCACACTCACCAGCCGCTGCTTTCTCTCCTCAGAGCCGCTCCGAACCGTTTGTTGTCTCTCGAGGCGACGATTTGTAATTCAACGGACGCCCACGGGGGCGGGCGCGGGCGGTGGGCGGGCGGAAGGGCGCGCCGGCCAATCAGGCGGCGGGCCCGTCCGCGTCCTGCCTTGCCATTGGTCGCTCTGCCCTGTCGATCGCCGGTCACCGCGGCCAATCACGGTGGGGGCGCCTCCCCCCCCCTCCCGTCGCCCCGCCCCCCCCTCCCGCCAGACACGGCCGAGCTTTCCTGTCAATCGTCACACCGCAGCCAATCACGGCGCGGGCGAGCGGCCCGTTGCCATTGGCCGGCGTTCTGTGTCAATCACCGTATGCCAGCCAATCAGGAGGTGGCAGTGGGCGTTGCTCTTTCCTGTCAATCATCTCATAATTAACAAGAATCCTCGCATTTCATATAACAGCAATAAATCGTAGCATTTCATATCATAATAATAATAATAGTAATCCTCGCATTTGATACAGCGCCTTGGTCACGTCTTCGAGACGTCTCAACGCGCTTTGCGGGATACGCTGTAAGGTGTAGTGACTGTGTGTTTTGTGGGCAGCGTCCCCACAAACAGCCGTGGATTGAGCGACCAATTTATTCTTTTTTTAAGGCAGTCGTTACGCCCGGAAAAGCGATCCGCCAATCGACTAACAACTGCGTTCCTATTTACTGCTGGGTAAGCCGAGGCGCGCGGAGTAAGGAAACTTGCCCAACATTTCGCTCCGTCCAGGAATCGAACTCAGATCCTCTCTGCGGGGCCGGTGCTCTAACCGCTGAGCTGCAGGACTCCACTTGATAGCAAGATCGGTGCAGAGTAAGATGGGCGATTACATTGTGCTATTATTTCTGTGCTATTAATTAGCACGTATTGTGCTAGAATGATCCATGCAATTGAAGAATTATTACAATAACATAAGTGAAGCGTAGTGTTCTACTCTGCAGCTGTGGAGTAATTTTGTTAATACTAATAATATTCCTTGCATTTAATATAGCGCCTTATCACGTTGTCGAGATGTCTCGAAGAGCTTCACAGTATGCACTGTAAAGTGGACTGTATATTTTGCAGGCGAAACGTTTTCAGTAATTTAAATGTAAAGACCTACTCTAAGCGAGAAATAAAGGGAAGCCTATAGATCAGGGGTCGGCAATTATTTTGGCTGGCGGGCCACTTCACGAGTTTTGGTAAGCTTCGCGGGCCACACACTTAATATAGATGCAAATAATAATAATAATAATCCTTGCATTTGATATAGCGCTTTTCATGTCGGGAGGACGTCCCAAAGCGCTTCACAGAACACACTGTAAAGTGAATTGATTGTATATTTGTGGGCAAACGCGGCAGCCAATTGCGCACAGCAATGTCTCACAAACAGTCGTAGATTGAAAATGACCAATTTATTATTGTTTTTGGTTTTGGAGGGATTATTATTAGGCTCTGTGTGGAGTAAGGAAACTTGCCCAAGGTTTCGCCCTCTGCCTGGAATTGAACTCGGGTCTCTCGCTTGCAAAGCAAGTGCTCTCACCACTGAGCTACAGGACTCCACAATACTTAATAATAGCTCAAAATCAAGTCTTACATTTGTACATGCATAAAATAAAGTCTATATAATTAACCTTCATTAAAATGAGGTTAAATAAAAACAACTCATTGAGCAGAAATAAATTTGGTATTTATTCATGTATTCATATATTGATTAGAATGTGAGAAACTCACTCAATGGGAAGAATGAAAGCGCTGATGTGCGTTAACCAAACAATGGAAGTCAGGCATCGTCTCCGTTATTGCAGTGCGGAGTGCTGCTGCAAGGTGGTCATCAGTCATCACAGATCTATGTTTTGATTTATGAATTTCATCACAGAAAATGTCTCCTCGCATATGTATGTTGATCCAAACATCAAAAGCACCTCCGGGCATGAGCCTTTAATTTTTGGAAAGGTATATTCATTCAGAGAGGTGTAAAAACTGGAAAGTGGCACTGATTTGAATTGCTCTGCAAGCAATGGATCACATTGCGGGTCAATAAGCTCGAGTTGAAGGTCAAATGGGGCTTTGTCAATATCAAATGAGAAAGGTTAAGAAACAAAGATAGGTCATTTTTAATCAAATTGAAATCCTGAAATCGGCGAAAAAATTTGGCAGGTAAGTCAAGTAGTGGCGAAATATACTTTTCAAGGCTTTGATCGCAAGCAGTATTCTGCTGTAAAGTTAGAAAGTGGGCGTACAGCCTGTTTCCTATCTGACACGATAAAATAAATAATTTCATCATAAATGACTTGACACTGCAATACAAATCGTGCACAAAGGTCCCCTTCCGTTACAGTTTTGAATTCAGTTCATTTATGTGGCCCGTGATATCAACGGCAAACGCAAAATCAGAGCCAATTTGCATCATTCAGCGGTGGGAAATTGAAATCTTTTTGTTTCATGCCCAAAAATAAATCAATCACTGTTCTCAGATCCCAAACTCTTTTCAAGACCTTTCCTAAACTAAGTCACCTTACATTCATTTGATACAGATCATTCGTGTGCTCGGATTCCAATTCCTCAAGCAGAGTTACAAATTGCCTGTGGTTTAATCCTCTTGCTCGAATGTAGTTGACCACTTTCGTAACTACGACATTTCGTAACGACATTGCTTAGTTTTAGAACACTCTACAGAGGACCTCTTGGTCCTCCACTGGCTCCCCATCCCCCAGAGGATTGATTTCAAGATCCTCATCCTCACCTACAAGGCCATTCACGGCCTTGCTCCCTCCTACCTCTCCGACCTACTATCCCCCTACCTACCTGCCCGTACCCTCCGTTCCTCTGGCTCCGGTCTGCTCCACGTCCCCCGCCCCAATCGCCCTACCATCGGTGGTCGGGCCTTCAGCCTCTCAGCCCCCAGGCTCTGGAACTCTATCCCCAGTGCCTTCGCCGCCTCCTCCCTTTCCTCCTTCAAGGCCGGTCTCAAAACCTTTCTCTTTGACCGAGCCTTCAGCTCCCCTCTCGACTCTCTTCCCCCTCCTCGCTCCCTCCCTTCCCTCCCCTCACCCTGACCATTTCCCCCCAATGCTCGGGTCATGACCCAACTGTGCAGCGCCTTGGGACGTCCTCCTGACGTGAAAGGCGCTTTATAAATGGAACCTTGTTGTTGTTGTTGTTGGTGGATAATGCAGTGTAGAAAAACAATATTCTGTTCAGGATTTCTTTCTTTGACTTGTTCTTGAATTCTTTTCAGTTATCCAACGTTTTTGCCTGTCAGATTTGGGCTTCCATCGGTGGTCACATTCACCAATTTTTTCCACTCCACTCCTAATTTTAAGATACACTTATTTACTGCCTCCAAAAATCTTCTCCAGTTGTCGTATCTTTCATTGACTGTGTAAATTATCAACTGGGCTGCGTCTTTGACAGCACAACTCTGATCGAGTGCCAAATTGATGCAAAATTGCTTACTTTATTTTGTAATTGCAGATACAGGTTCTCAGAGATATCCTCGACACCCCTCACAATATTCACCAAAGAATTTTTTTTTCCTTAGCCTTGACAAGCTAATGTTATCAAACTGGTTTTCTTGTATGGGCATAAAATTGAAGCAGAATCAACCATTCATTCTTTTATAAATTCTCCTTCAGAGAATGGTTTGCTGTTCTTGGCGATTTTGTGTGCAATCACGTAACTCACTCTTGTAATCTCATCCTGGGACGCAAATTGTTTTGTGAAAATGCTTTGCTCTTTTTGCATTCGAACAATCATCTCGTCAGCTTTCTTTCCTTTTTCTTGTGCAGAAACATTCTTACGTTTGCAAGCATGTTTGCTCTAAAATGGCGATTCAAGTTGTAGTTTTTGAGCACTGCCACACTTTCTCTGCAAATTAAGCACAGTTTTTCCACCCACACAGGTAAAAAAAATTTAGAAGTCCACCCTTTGTTAAATATTCAGCCTTCATCGTCCACTTTCCGCTTCTTTGATAAACTCATTTCGAATTAACGTCCTCTTCAGTGAAAAGTATTGCTGCGGTTGCTGCTGAAAGATATTGCCACGGTTGCCCACGTCCGCGTTTGAAAATTTGCCGATCCGTACATTTCTGACGTCAGCCTGATTCAACACTTAAGGGAACGTGCGCACAACTAAACAGTGTGATTGGCTGATGTTCCCGGTCAGATTCAAATGCGAAATTTGTGTGACTTTCTGGGACTGAACGAACTATAATTTTTTCTATTGCTAACACAATGACGGGCCGGATAGAATCATTTGGCGGGCCAGATATGGACGGCGGGCCATCTTTTGCCCACCCCTGCTATAGAACAACAACAAGATTACATTTGTATGGTACCTTTCACGTCGGGAGGACGTCCCAAGGTGCTGGACAGTGTACAGCATTTCAGACCTGAGCTGGGGTCAGGGGGGAGAAGGGAGGGGAAGGGGGGTGACCAATGGCATGGTCAAAGAGGAGAGTTTTGAGGCGGGACTTGAAGGAGGCTAAGGAGGGGACGAGGCGGAGTGATTGGGGGCTGGAGTTCCAGAGGTTGGGGGCAGAGTGGCTGAAGGTGGGTGGGTCGGGGGACGGGGAGCAGGCTGGAGTCGGCTGAGCGGAGGGAACGGACGGGTTGGTAGGGGGTTAGGGGATCACAAAGGTAGGGTGGGGGCGAGGCCATGGAGGGCTTTGTAGGTGAGCCGGCTGAGCGGAGGGAGCGGGCAGGTTGGTAGGGGGTTAGGGGATCACAAAGGTAGGGTGGGGGCGAGGCCATGGAGGGCTTTGTATGTGAGGACCAGGATCTTGAACTGGATCCTCTGAAGGATAGGGAGCCAGTGGAGTCGGGTGAGAGTGGGGGAGATGGGGTCACGGAGTTTGGTGCGGGAGAGGACACGGGCTGCAGAGTTCTGGATTACCTGCAGCCTGTGGAGGGAGGAGTTGGGAAGGCCGACAAGCAGGACGTTCGCATAGTCGAGCCTGGAGGTGATGAAGGCATGAACAAGAGTTTTAGCGCCTGAGGGGTGAGGTGGTGGCGGAGTCGGGCGATGTTACGGAGGTGAGGGAAGGCAGAGCGCGTCATGGGTCATGGTCATAGATGCTGAAAATGTGAAACAAAAGCAAAAATGGTGGAAATCGACAGTTAATCAATAACTGGAAGAGATGGTCGAATGTTTCGGCCATCAGTTCACTGTTAAGTTGTCAGTGTCCCAGTAAAAGGAACTTTGGAAAGCTTCTAGTGGAGAATAACATTTGTTCTTCCTAGTTCCAAATACTGCACATTCCTCTGCAAGCAGACACACACTGCCCTTCAGTTAATTGAAACAAGCAATTACTCCCACGCATCTCTTTCTCTCTCTCAGACTGATGTCTCAGATGATCTCTAAATCACTTGGAGGCATGAGATGGGGTGAGGCAGAGGGATTGCGGGATAGAGTTCCAGAGTGTGGGGGCAGAGATGCTGAATGCCCGACCGCCAATGGTGGGGCGGGAAGTGCGGGGGACCTGAATCAAGACAGTGTCCGCCGAGTTAAAAGAAAGTGGGTGAAACCCTCTTTGGGGGACTGTTGACCTCAACAATCTAAGATAACACCCCATTGCAGTGCCGCGCGCACTGCATTGTCAGAGGTGCTGTCCTTTGGATGAGACGTTAAACCAAGATACTAAATATCCCTCGGGACTACTCAAAAACAAACATGCGTTTCTTCCGGTGTCCTGGACAACAATCTTCCAGATCAGCAAAAGGCTAAATACTGCAGATGCTGGAAATCTGCAATAAAAACAAAAGTTGCTGAGTGTCGAGTCAGGCAACAACAACTTGGATTTATAGCGCCCTCCACGCCGGACGGCGTCTCAGGGCGCTTCAATGGAAAGAGGAAAAGTGAGTTAACGTCTCAGGTCGATGACCTTTCGTCAGAACTGAGTGTTCCCAACGACTTCTGTTTTTATTTCTATCTTCCAGATAAGATTGGTCAGTCACATGGTGGTTTGTAAGACATTTTTGTGCACAAATTCGCTGTCGTGTTCACCTACACATTTAAAGTCACTACACAATACCTGAACCAACAAACTTAGAGATGACACAAGCCTAACATTGAAGACAACCGTTATACACAGGAGCTGCAACCAGCTCAGGGCATTAATAATAATAATCCTTGCATTTGATATAGCGCCTTATCAAGTAGTTGAAACATCTCAAAGTGCTTCACAGGATATATTGTAAAGTGAACTGACGGGTTACGGTGGGCGAAACGCAGCAGCCAATTGTGCACAGCAGTGGCCCATAGTCGTGGATTGAGTGACTACATTTTTTGGTGGAAGGGATTATGGAAGGGATTATTACCCCTGGAAAGCGACTAACAATCAGGTTCCTATTTACTGCTAAGCAAACAGAGCCTTGTGTGTGGAGTAAGGGAAATTGCACTCTGTCCGGGAATCAAACCCAGGTTCTCTCGCTTGCGAGGCGAGCATGCTAACCACTACACTACAGGACTGCAATTAATAACCCAGATGATGATGAGGTGTAGAGTTCCACATCAACTCAAACCGGTCAGTCCAACATTATATTTTACCAGAATCATGCCGGATAGTGTGTCAGTGAGCAGGAGGCAGATGGATGGGACACTGCTAGAGTTTAATCAACACACAGTTGCAAACAATTGTGTTTTGAACATCATTTCGGTTGGAAATTGCTTTATTAAATCTTTTGTACACAAATCAATGTCCAAGCAGACTGAGAGACGAGCATCGAGATAAAGTTAGACAACCATATGTTAGACAACTCAGTTTTAAGTGCATATAGTTATACAGTTTGTTTCATTATTTTGCTCAGTTTCTGAATCTTGGTTTTTGCAGACATATCAACGTATTTATCACCGATGCTGACAATCATTCCCCCCAAGATTGATGTATCCGTCTAAATAATGAAAAGAAAACACTTTAGTGAATAGAGAAAAAATATATGATTTCCTTCATTGTGAGGCTCACTGTTTAAAGAGTGCAAATTTATAGATTTGGTTTAAACATTAAAAGTGCATATGAATGTACATCACATGAAAATTACACAAGTGCTCATGTTGTAACACAAATTATAGGATCTGACCGCAGTAGTTTCTCCCCCTCTTTCTTATGATGAAATAATATATTTCATCATATATTGCCTGATCACATCTTCGAGATGTTTCAAAGCACTTCACAGAATACACTGTAAAGTGAATTGACTATATATTTCATGGTGAAACACAATATAGCAGTGTCCCACAAACAGTTGCGGATTGAGTGACCAAATTATTATTATTTTTGGAAGGGATTATTACTCCTGGAAAAGCGAATTGACTAACAACTGGGGTTCCTATTTACTGTTGGGTAAACAGAGGCGTGTGGACTAAGGAAACTTGCCCAACATCTCACCCTGCCGGGGAATCGAACCACTCGCTTGTGAGTCGAGTGCTCTAACCACCGAGCTACAGGACTCCACCATAGATACGCCATAAAGCATGGATTATGAACAGCATTCCATCAACATGAATCTTTCCCACTGAGAGGAGAGTTCTTCCAATTCTCTACATCCTGTTTGCATCTAAACTCAAGCTATAGAGAGTTCTNAAAAAAACTTAAAACGTTTGAAGAAACAAAATCCAAAGCAATGAAACCAAGGAAGTGGGAAAGAATAAAGTGGAATGAATGAAGATGGAGTGGAAAATTTAAAAGAAAATATGGGAAGGTGACAATATTCTGGCTGTGAAGGATTCAGAAGGTTCTACATTCAGACAAGCTTCAAAAAAATCCCATCAAAAAACAAAACAATAATAAATTGGTCATTTTCAATCTACGACTGTTTGTGGGACATTGCTGTGCGCAATTGGCTGCCGCTTTCGCCCACAAATATACAGTCAATTCACTTTACAGTGTGTTCTGTGAAGCGCTTTGGGACGTCCTCCCGACGTGAAAAGCGCTATATCAAAATGCAAGGATTATTATTATTATTATAAGCTATTTTCCAGTTGTCATAATACTGTTGTAGTTATGCAGTGTCGTTTAAATAAAAAAACATCACAAATTGCACGCAAATCAGGAAGTGAGAGATGTAAAAGATGGTGATCAAAGGACTTTTAAGGAGTATCTTGAATGTAAAGTATCTTGTAGAGTATCTTGAATGTAAAGATAGAGGTAGCAAGGCAAAGTAGATTTGGAAAAGTCTTACAGAGGACAGCATGATGGCTGAATGCACATTTTTATAGTCAAGTCATGCTCCAAAAGCTAAAATAATGGTGATTATTTCTGTGAGGGTCTTACCTTGCTGTCCAGTTTCAGGACTTCACCTTTCTTCAGAAAACTATTGAGAACAGATTTTAGTTCGGTAAGATTACCTTCATCCAGGGGCTGCCAAACCAAACAGACTATTAGCATTTAATATCCTCAACACGAACCTAGACAAGCAGCAATTTTAGTAAACTTCTCAAAGACTGTACGCGGTAACTGTACACACACCACCTTCAAATAAAAGATTACGTTCTTAGGCTTAGTTGAGGAAAGGCAGGAGGAGGCTCATGTGGAGCATAAATGCTGGCATGGACCAGTTGGGCCTATTTCTGGTGCCATATATTCTAAGTAAAAGGTACACAAATAAGTCATCCTTACGTTGATGTACCGCATTTCATGTCAGGAGGACATTTGAAAACAATATGCTTTGCAGCATATACTGTAAGGTAATGGTGACTGTATTTTGTAGGTGAATGTGGCAGCCCGTTTGCACACAGCCATGTCCCAAAAATGGCCAAGAAGCGAATGACCAATGTCATTTGGGGATGATTGTTGACCAGGACTCCAGGAGAAAACCCCCCCTACTTTTTATGAGACCTTCGATAATAACAATAATATTTGCATTTGATATAGCACCTTATCACGTTGTCGACGTCTCAAAGCGCTTCACAGAATGTTACTGTAAGGTGTAGTAATTGTGTATTTTGTGGGCCCCAATTGCCCACAGACAGCCGTGGATTGAGTGACCAAATTATTATTATTTTTTCAATGGGTTATTACTCCCGGAAAGCGATCCTCCAATCCACTAACAACCGGGTTCCTACTTACTGCTTGGTAAACAGAGGCATATGTGTGCGCGTGCGTGTGCAGTAAGGAAACGTGCCTTAGGTTTCACCCTGACCTGCCCAGGGATCAAATCCAGGCCCTCTCCCTTGCTTGCGAGGCGAGCGCACTAACCACTACACTACGGAACTCCACAAAAGAAGGCATACAAATTGAAAGTCCAGCCCCCGAGGAGAGGAGGGCAAGTTTCCTTACTCCATACGCCTCTGTTTAGCTGATAGTAAGTAGGAACCCGGTTGTTAGCCGATTGGCGGATCGCTTTTCCGGGGGTAATAATTCTTTAAAAAATAATAAATGGGTCACTCAATCCACCACTATTTGTGGTACACTGTTGTGCGCTATTGACCGCTACGTTTCGCCCACAGAGTATACAGTCCATTCACTTTACAGTATATTCAGTGAAGTGCTTTGAGACGTCTCAAAAACGTGATAAGGCGCTGTATCAAATGCAAGTATTATTATTATTTTTGAACTCTGACCCCGGCAACAGTGCATTGGAGTGCCAGAATATCATTTACAATGTAGTTCAAAGTTCCAACACATGGCCTGAACTCACAACCTTCTGACTCAAAAGTTCCACCAGCTGAGCCAGGCTGACGCAAAGGCTTTTATATTGAGAAGAGTGAGTTTACCTGAGCAGTAGTGACTGAGCAGAGGACTTCCCCACGGTGAGCGCTCATCATCTTCTCGAAAGCAACAACCACGTCAATGGCTTGGGGCAAACGTCCATTCTGCGCCAGCAGACCTGAAGGGAAGAGAAAATCAAACCTTCACCACCAGACGATGTTTGACCCTTCTCAACTACCTAACTGCAGTTGAAGGGGAAGCAAGAGGGGTTGGGGGGGGATGGAACTGCCAACTTTCACTGGCAAAATTGTTCGAGGTTTAATTTAACTGGATTTCGTTATTTAATGAGGTTGATTAAATTAATAATAATAATAATCCTTGCACTTGATAGAGCGCCTTATCACGTTGTCCTGGGTTTGGATAGCAGCTTCGGATATTGGCCACGTAATCTATTGGATCGTTGCTAATGTTATGAAGCTCTGACATTAGTGCAACAAACCATAATATTAAAGAAAACCTTCTCAGTACCAGGGACACCTATTTTTTTTGGATAAAGGAATTGCATAGACTAGGGTGGTCCAACCTTTTGTCTGCCGCGGGCCGGATTCCATATTTCCACATCCGGCCCGGTTGGTGATATTATCCAGCCTGAGACCATTTCCTACGCCTGCGCCCCCTCCCCCAACCCCCAATGGTGAACGTCCACCCAGGGCAGCAGCAGGTGCCAGAGCTTGGGAGGACGCAGCGCGGAGAGTGGAAATAATACCGACTGTTGCTGCAATCTGTTAGGATTAGGCAAGTGCGTCTCTTCCCATCCACATCCTTAGCAACCGCCGTGCAGATAGTGAACCGCGGGGATGATTGGGAGAGAGAGTGAGAGCGCGCGCCCAGGCTGGATACGGCATAAGGAGCTTTCGCGAATAGGAACTGTTCGAAAGGAGAAGGGAGTTTCTCCCAGTGTCCTGGCTAACAATCCACCAAATAAAATTGGTCACGCACCCCATGGCTGGACATTGCTGTGCGCAAATGTCTGCCACGTTATGCCCATTAAATACAGTCAATCCACTTTACAGTGTACTCTGTAAAGCGCTTTGAGACGTCTCGAAGACATGGTCAGGCGCTATATTATTATTTCACCATACGAAAGAGGGGGAGAAACTGCAGAACCAAGATTTTATAGTCAGATCCTATAAATTGCGTTACAACATGAGCACTTGTGTAATTTGCATGTGATGTACTTTTAATATTTAAACAAAATCTGTAAACTTGCACTCTTTAATCAGTGAGGCTCACAATCATGCTTTTTTTCTCAACGACATGATAAGGCGCAATATCAAATGCAAGGATTATTATTATTACAAAGCAACATTATTGTGGAAAGCTAAAATAGGGAAATACTTACCGACAAAGTTTATCGTGAGTGGGGAACATTTCTCTTTGACCAACACGTCAGTCATAGCTTTCTGCTTGACAGCGCTCTTAATGTGGGGATTGGTGACTATGGAGGAGACCTTGGGATCCTTCATTAAAGTCTGTTAACAGAAAATAGTTGGTTCAGTGAAACAGCTGCCACCTCAAAGGATGCCAAATAACAGAAGATAAAATCCTAGCCTCTTTCGAAAGTTACTGTTCATTACACAAAGTTCTTCTTTTAAACAAAGCGATCACAGGCTGTAACAAAAGGTAGTGAAAAATCCATTCAATTTTTCGAGATTGAGGCGGACAGATTTTTGTTATGCAAGGATATCAAAGGATATGTGGCAAGTGCAGGTAATTGGGAGTTGAGGTGCAGATCAGCAGAGATCTAATAGAATGGCAGAACAGGCTGGCGGGGCTGAATGGCCTCCTCCTGTTCTTATGCTTCATGTGGATAATGCACTGCTCTGAAGCGGATGCTTCAGATGGATGCAAACGATTTCGCTGGCATTTCTCAATCCTTAGGCAAAATCAACCTCATATTCAAGACTATGGAAGCCAAATTTGCAACTCTCTGCAGCAGTTTGTTTACCTTTACCTGATGAAAAAATACCATTTTGCTCTGCTTCTTGTCAGGCTGAACTCAATCCCATCCACATCCAACGCCCCCCACCGTATGGAACTCCATCCCACATCCCCTTCGCCTCATTCCCTCCCTTCAATGTATGTCTTAAGACCCTCCTCTTCGACTGAGCCTTCGGGCACCCTCCTTCCCCCGCCCTCCCCACTCCCTTATCCAAATACCCCCTCAACGCAATTCCTGACTGTTCAGCACCTTGTAATTTTGCATTGTATTACCTACAGGGGTCATTGCATCGGGGTTAGGAATGCAAAATTGTGCTGATTTTCCTCCTCCTCAACCTGAACTCTGAGGCCAAACTGTCGTGCTCTCAATGGTATAATGGTTGAGATCAGTGAATTCAGCATAAATCGAGCATTAGGTGTCTGAGCTTGTCATGCCAACTCACTGGGTAAGCAAACTTTCTTTCTTGTAAATAAACAGTTTTCTGTCAACTCTTAAACTTACTTTTATCCTGCCCAGCTCCTTTTCCACCTGGTCCAGCGTCTTCTGCTTGGAGGCAGCAGAGTACACAGCTGTGGCATACCGACCTGCAACTCCATACACCTGAACAGGTGGCTGTGGAAGAAACAGTTAAAAGTTGAAATCACGCAGCTCATTCCGTTTGAAAGCTACGTATAGGATTCAATAACGCAATAATGATTTTGGGATCGGGGTTAATAATCCCTCAAAAATAATAATAATGATTTGTTCACTCAATCCATGACTGTTTGTGGGACACTGCTGTGCAATTGGCTGCCGCAAAATATAACATGTAGGAGCAGGAGTAGGCCATTCGGCCCTTCGAGCCTGCCCCGCCATTTAATCATGGCTGATCTTCTAATTTAACTCCAGCTAATAACGTAACCCTGCCTTATCCCCATATCCCTTAATCCCTTTTGCAATAAGAAATATATCTATCTCAGTCTTGAATATGTTCAAGGACTGAGGGTCAACAGCCCTTTGGGGTAGTGAGTTCCATACATTCACCACCCTTTGAGTGAAGAAGTTCTTCCTCAACTCAGTGCGAAAGGGCTGCCTCTGATTTTAAGGTTGTGACCCCTGGTTTCAGTTTCTCCAACCAGGGGAAACAATCTCCCACTATCTACTCTATCATGCCCTTTGATGATCTTATAGGTTTCTATAAGATCCCCTCTAATTCCACTATATTCTAGAGAATATAGGCCCAAATTGGTCAGCCATTCCTCATAACTCATCCCCTTCATCCCTGGTACTAACCTAGTAAATCTACGCTGCACCCCCTCCAAGGCAAGTACATCCTTCCTTAAATAAGGAGACCAAAACTGCACACAGTATTCCAGGTGTGGTCTCACCAGAGCCCTATACAGTTGCAGCAAGACTTCCCTACTCTTATACTCTAATCCTTTCATAATGAATGCTAACATACCGTTTGCCTTCCTAATTGCTGCTGCACCTACAGACTAACTTTCTGTGATTGGTGTACAAGGACACCCAAGTCCCTCTGGACGCTAACACATTCCAATCTCTCCTCTTCTACAAAATAACCCTCTCTACTATTATTGCTACCGAGGTGGATGACTTCGCACTTCCCTACATCATACTTCATCTGCCACCTACCTGCCCAATCACCTAACCTATCTATGTCGCGCTGCATTTTTTCAATGTCGTCCTCTGGGTTGACACTTCCTCCTAGTTTTGTGTCATCCGCGATGATATACAGTTAATTTACTTTATAATATAAATTGTGAAGCGCTTTGGGACATGTTGAAGACATGATAAGGCGCTATAACAAATGAAAGGATTATTGTTATATTGTGAACTTCACAAGCTGCATCACGTTTAGTTTGTGTCCTTAAGGTACATTAGGATTCCACTGTAATATACTGGAAGGTAGACTTGGGAACGAAACTTGAAAATAATGGGTAGAATAATAGACAAGTCCAGAACAAACTAAATTTTGGTAACATTCCCTGCAACTGCAAACTCATTTTGATTTGATTTACACGTAAAAATTTGATTGTTTGACCTTCTAAAATATTTGTGATCTACATTAGGAGAAGACTAATTAAACAGCTAACAAAAATGAATCAATTTAACCCACGATTCTTATTCGACATGACCAATAATTAAAAGTAAATCTATTTTACAAAATGTCCCAACTTTGAAATTCTACCCAAATCATACCTTGATCAGTTTGGATACTGGCCTGACCCCAGAGGTGCTGAAATAACGAACCTAAAAATAGAGGAAGAAATATTAGGGTCAATTTAAAAATAATTTAGCCATGGGTTTGTAAACACAGGTAAGATTTAAATCATCAGCAAACTGATGAGGTGCAATGCCCCCCCCAAGCAGGAACCCAGTTGTTAGTCAATTAGCGGATTGCTTTCCAGGGGTAATAATAAAAAAATGTGGTCACTCAATCAACGACTGTTTGTGGCACACTGCTTTGTACAATTTCTGCTGCATTTCTCCCATAAAATACAGTCACTACACTGTACAATATACTCTGTGAAGCGATTCTAGACATCTTGTGATAAGACGCTATATCAAATGCAAGGATTATTGTCATATTATATAACATGTGTATTTCTAGATGATCATCGATTCTTTGTCATTAATTTTAGGTTCCAAATGCCTTGTGATTCGGGGGGGGGGAATTATAATAATTATCCTTGCATTTGATAAGTTATCACATCATTGCAAAAAAAAGGATTTACTAAAAAATGGTGACTTTATATTAAGGCAAAGGCAGCAGCCAGTTTGTGCAAAGCAGTGTCCAAGGTAACATGCTTGGCTACAGAATAATCCCGCCAAAAAAACAAAAACAATAATAAATTGGTCATTTTCAATCTACGACTGTTTGTGGGACATTGCTGTGCGCAATTGGCTGCCGCGTTCGCCCACAAATATATACAGTCAATTCACTTTACAGTGTGTTCTGTGAAGCGCTTTGGGACGTCCTCCCGACGTGAAAGGCGCGATATCAAATGCAAGGATTATTATTATTATTATTACAGAATGTCAGAGCCAAGTCAACCCTCCGTGGAGGTCTTGGGAATGCCAGGCACGTCCACAATATTCCAGGGCACTGCCTCTAGCCAGCCTCTAAATGTGTTGAACATAGCGATGGGTGCCTGTGCTCACAAATGCCATCATCCAAGCTCCAGGTAGTGGGAGTCCTGTAGCTCAGTGGTTAGAGCACTCGCCTTACAAGCGAGACACCTGGGTTCAACTCCAGGCAGAGGGCGAAACCTTGGGCAAGTTTCCTTACTCCACCCACACGCCTAACAATAATCCCTCCAAAAAAAACAATAATGATTAGGTCATTTCAATCCACGACTGTTTGTGGGACACTGCTGTGTGCACTTGGCTGCCGTATTTTGCTTACAAACATACAGTCAATTCACTTTACAGCATATTCTTATTGGGGTGGGGCGGACCTTCAGCCACTTTGCCCCCAGCACCTGGAACTCCATCCTGCAGTCCCTCCACCTCACCCCCTCTCCTGCCACCTTCAAGACCCATCTCAATACCTTCTTCTTCGACCGTGCTTTTGATCTCCCTGCTTCCCCCCCCTGCCCTCCACCCTCCCTGACCCCCAGCTCAGGTCTGAAACTCCGTCTGTCCAGCGCCTTGGGATGTCCTCCCGACGTGAAAGGCGCTTTGACACATGGAATTTTTTTGTTGTTGTTATAATTCTATGATTCCACAATGAAGACGCCCCTCGACTGACATTGCCCTCCAACACTCAACAGCTAATCCCTTCCCTCACCAGGAGGTTTGCGAGGTCAAAGGTATTTTACTGAGCCGATGGCTTCCCAGGGAGGGAAGAGATGGGGGAGGGAGCGAGGGAGAGATGGGGTGGGGAGGGGGGGGAGGGAGAGGGAGAGGAGAGATGGGGTGGGGAGTGGGGGAGGGAGAGGAGAGATGGGGTGGGAAGGATGGGAGGGAGAGATGGGGGAGAGATGGGGGGGGGGAGGGTGGGGAGATGGAGGGTTGGGGGACTGGAGTGGGGGGAGGAGTGGGGGAGATGGAGTGGGGGGGTGTTGGGGGGGGAGATGGAGTGGGGGGGAGGGGGGAGATGGAGTGGGGGGGGTGATGGAGGGGGAGCTGGAGTGGGGGGGTTCGGGGGGAGATGGAGTGGGGGGAGGAGGGGGGAGATGGAGTGGGGGGTGTTGGGGGGAGATGGAGTGGGGGGGTGTTGGGGGGGAGATGGAGTGGGGGGGTTGGGGGGAGATGGAGTGGGGGGGTTGGGGGAGATGGAGTGGGGGGGTTGGGGGGAGATGGAGTGGGGGTGTTGGGGGAGAGATGGAGTGGGGGGTGTTGGGGGAGAGATGGAGTGGGGGGGTTGGGGGAGATGGAGTGGGGGGTTGGGGGAGATGGAGTAGGGGGGTTGGGGGAGATGGAGTAGGGGGGTTGGGGGAGATGGAGTGGGGGGGTTGGGGGAGATGGAGTGGGGGGGTTGGGGGAGATGGAGTGGGGGGGTTGGGGGAGATGGAGTGGGGGGGTTGGGGGAGATGGAGTAGGGGGGTTGGGGGAGATGGAGTGGGGGGGTTGGGGGGAGATAGAGTGGGGGGGGATGGAGTGGGGGGGTTGGGGGGAGATGGAGTGGGGGGTGTTGGGGGAGAGATGGAGTGGGTTTGGGGGGAGATGGAGTGGGGGGGGTTGGGGGGAGGAGTGGGGGGTGTTGGGGGGAGATGGAGTGGGGGTTTGGGGGAGGGGAGGGGGTGTTGGGGGGAGATGGAGTGGGGGGTTGGGGGAGGGAGGGGGGTGTTGGGGGGAGATGGAGTGGGGGGTTGGGGGAGGGGAGGGGGGTGTTGGGGGGAGATGGAGTGGGGGGTTGGGGGAGGAGGGGTTGGGGGGAGATGGAGTGGGGGGGGGGAGGAGGGGGTTGGGGGGAGATGGAGTGGGGGGGGAGGAGGGGTTGGGGGGGAGATGGAGTGGGGGGGAGGAGGGGGTTGGAGGGGAGATGGAGTGGGGGGGGAGGAGGGGTTGGGGGGAGATAGAGTGGGGGGGAGGAGGGGGTTGGGGGGAGATGGAGTGGGGGGGGAAGGAGGGGGTTGGGGGGAGATGGAGTGGGGGGTGTTGGGGGGAGATGGAGTGGGGGGGTGTTGGGGGGAGATGGAGTGGGGGGTTGGGGGGAGATGGAGTGGGGGGGTTGGGGGAGATGGAGTGGGGGGGTTGGGGGGAGATGGAGTGGGGGGTGTTGGGGGAGAGATGGAGTGGGGGGTGTTGGGGAGAGATGGAGTGGGGGGGTTGGGGGAGATGGAGTGGGGGGGTTGGGGGAGATGGAGTAGGGGGGTTGGGGAGATGGAGTGGGGGGTTGGGGGAGATGGAGTGGGGGGGTTGGGGAGATGGAGTGGGGGGTTGGGGAGATGGAGTGGGGGGGTTGGGGGAGATGGAGTGGGGGGTTGGGGGAGATGGAGTAGGGGGGTTGGGGGAGATGGAGTGGGGGGGTTGGGGGGAGATAGAGTGGGGGAGGAGGGGGGAGATGGAGTGGGGGGGTTGGGGGGAGATGGAGTGGGGGGTGTTGGGGGAGAGATGGAGTGGGGTTGGGGGAGATGGAGTGGGGGGGTTGGGGGGAGGAGTGGGGGTGTTGGGGGGAGATGGAGTGGGGGGTTTGGGGGAGGGGAGGGGGGTGTTGGGGGGGAGATGGAGTGGGGGGGTTGGGGGAGGGGAGGGGGGTGTTGGGGGGAGATGGAGGGGGGGGGGAGGAGGGGGTTGGGGGGAGATGGAGTGGGGGGGAGGAGGGGGTTGGGGGGGAGATGGAGTGGGGGTGTTGGGGGAGGGGAGGGGGGTGTTGGGGGGAGATGGAGGGGGGGAGGAGAGGAGGGGGTTGGGGGAGGGGGGGGTTGGGGGGGGGTTGGGGGGGAGGAGGGGGTTGGGGGAGGGGTTGGAGCTATAGTTTAATGTAAACCAGTTATAATAAGGCGCGCCCTCCCCAAACTGATGGCCGCGCGGGAGGTTGGATCACGAGCACAGTGCTGACCAGGCGCTTTGCCCCCCACTCCCCCCGGGCCCCGGGTTACCCTCAGGCCGAGTCGGGCCGCCATGTCTCCCTCTGTCGCTGCCGCTGGAGGTCAAGCCAAGGCCTGAGTGACGTCACGGCCGTTTTCCGCGCAGGCGCGGAGGGGGGGTGACGGGACCGGAAGGGGCGGGGTCCGGAGCGCGGTGCTTGCCGGGAGCTGTAGTTCTCGGGCTCTCTGTTTCCAGGTGGGGGGGGTCGTGAACTGGGATAGAGGGAAAGGGGGGGAGGGGGCAGAGTGAGGGGAGGGGGGGGGCAGGGGGGTGAGGGGGTAGGGGGAGGGAGTGGGGGCAGGGAGTGGGGGGGCAGGGTTAGGGAGGGTGGGCATGGGGGGAGGGGAGAGAGGGGGAGGGAGGGGGGCAGGTTAGGGAGGGAGGGAAGGGGGGAGGGGAGGGAGGGGAGGCAGGGTTAGGGGAGGGAGGGGGCAGGGAGTTGGGGGGCAGGGTGAGGGGGGGCAGGGTGAGGGAGGTGGGGAGGGGGGGGCAAAGGGAAGAGGGGGCAGGGAGTTGTGGGGGGCAGGGTGAGGGAGGGGACAGGGAGTGGGGGGGCAGGGTGAGGGAGGGGACAGGGAGTGGGGGGGCAGGGTGAGGGGGGGCAGGGAGTGGGGGAGGGTGAGGGAGGGGACAGGGTGAGGGGGGGCAGAGAGTGGGCGGGCCAGGGTGAGGGGGGGCAGGGAGTGGGGGGCAGGGCGAGGGGGGGCAGGGTGAGGGAGGTGGGGAGGGGGGGGGAAAGGGAAGAGGGGGCAGGGAAAGGGAAGGGACTAAAGGAGGGGGTGAGGGAGAGAGAGGAGGAGGGGGAGAGGAGGAGGATGTGGGGAGCGGGAGAGAAGGACATGTTGAGGGGGGGGGGAGAGGAGACAAGAGGGCAATTCAATCAACCAGGTCTCTGGACTTTTAAGACCCAATTTATAATAATATATAACAACAACAACAACAAACAAATGTTTCGGATCACAGCTGGGGTTTGGGATTGGGGGGGGGCAGGGTGGGGGGGGGGTCAGAGGGGAAAGGAGGGTGATCGAAAGCACAGTCGAAGAGGGAGAGCCTATTATCTGATCACAATGTTACCTTTTCAAAAGAGATAATGGATCCACTGTTGACGCTGTAAAGTTGTCATGGTAGACTTTGGAAACCGCAAATCACCCATCATGAAATCGTGAAAATAAAGGTAAAAATTATGAAAGGTCATGGGGTTAAGTTTTGTGGTAATATAGTAATAATAATCCTTGCATTTGATATGGTGCCTTATCACGTCGTCGAGACGTCTCAAAGCGCTTCACAGAATATGCTGTAAAGTGAATTGACTGTATATTTTGTGGACGAAACGCGGCAGCCAATGGCGCACAGCAGCGTCCTACAAAAGGTCACGGACTGAGTGACCAAATAGTTTTTTTTTGAAGGGATTATTTACCCCCTGAAAAGTGATCCAACAATCGACTAACAAACGGGTTCCTCCATATTGCTAGGTAAGCAGAGGCGCGTGGAGTAAGGAAACTTGCTTAAGATCTCGACCTGCCCGGGGAATCGATCCCAGATCTTCTCGCTTGGAAGTGCTCTAATATGCTATAAACTTAGCCGAAAGTTAAATTTGCTCTTTTTTTTTAATAGCGTAGCAAGATCCACACTCAGTAACAAGAAGTCATTTATTCACTTTCTCCTATTCCTTCTGGTCCCCTTCCCTACACAGTTTGCCAGTACAAAACACTAACGTTCTCCTACTCTGAAGTTCTGATAAATACAGAGGAGATACGGTTTTGACTACCGCACTCTTAAAATATGAGCGCAAAAGAAATATTGTTGCGCACAAGACCTTGACATTGGTCTGTTTGATTCGTGTCGTACTGAGGAATGGAACATTTTTTTTCAATTTCTGGCAGTCGATTGTGTTTCAACACTGCAATATAAAATCCTATCAACCCATCCTATTCCCCATCTCAAAAGCGCGCTCCGCTACCCCGATTTTCAATTTCCCACATCTGTGTGGTTTGTCTGAGGGAACACAATCTATTAAAAAATAAATAAAAAATAATCCCGGCATCTGATACAGCGCCTTGTCACGTCTTCGAGATGCCTCAAAGCGCTTCACAGAATGTGCTGTAGAGTGGAGTGACTGTGGATTTTGTGGGTGAAACGTGGCAGCCAATTGCACACATACTACTTCAGCTGCTCTGCTCCCACCCTCTGGAACGCCATCCCGCAGTCCCTCCGCCTCGCCCCCCCCTCGCTTGCCTCCTTCAAGACCCATCTCA